TTATCATGAATGCTAGCCAACGGCGGTGTACGCAGAGAAGTAGGGGTTTCATTAGCACCTTTCTTGGAAGCCATAATGATTGAAGGAGCTGTGCGATGATGAAAATCTCCAAGATTGATATGGGTGGCAGACAATGAGCTGCGATTGAGCACCAAGCCACCTTTGTACTTCCATTGACGCCTGCTAATGACACCAATTCCTTTAACATCTTGGGTACTCTCTATGACACTCCTAGGCATATGTTAGTTTAGGTAGAAATGCAAGAAGAGAAGCTAGGGTAACCTAGGTCCATGGTCTCTCGCCCCCGTACGAGGGTTTCATCTGGCGTTTCAGCCTGCCGTAGTCGAGCTAAGTTGACCATCTCCTCCCATTCCTGTTCCTGTTGGCTATCAAAAAAGGTCATAGTGGGTTGGAGCGTATTGGTGGCAATCCATGTGGCATGTCTTCGAGTATAGTCGAATCAGCTGCGCAGACTCGGGCGGGACATCTGCACGCAGTTTTTAGATGTCGCTTCCGTCGGTGTCGACTGCCAACTCGCGCAGATGAACGGCGTATAGCTGGCACCCCAATTGAAATGATGTAAGATGCAGATCGCCTTGACGTATTTAGAGTTTAATTAGCCCCTCATACTTGTTGATGCTACAAGAGCCCGTCGTCCGATCGATTATCGAGTTGTGCCGTCGCAGCCAATCACATCCCAGTAGCACGTCGCAGCCATCCAACGTCATCGCGAGAAAATTCATGCAGAATCTGAAATCGTCACTGCACCCAATCCGCACCATCCGTATTTCCTCCAAAATCGCCAGAGGCATCTCATCCACTACGTGAGCGTCAATTTCGGGCAAGCACCTGTCCAGCAGCAACTTGCATATTTTTCCTGTCGCCAGATTGAAGAGGCTATGGCTAGCTACCACCAGATTAAAGAAAATCTTCAACAATGTGCCGACAACCAGCACAGGTTGACCCACATAATTATTTCCATAATTTTCTCAAGTGCGATCGATTGCATGAAACGGAACAACGATTCGGTGGAGATGGCGGGGTTCGAGCGACAGAACACAGTTAATAAGGGGCTCATCTATTACTCACTCTTCCCATATCCCTACTCTTTCCCGTTGTTACTCTTCCAAGTCGTCTTGTCGAGACAATCTTTAGACATGTGACCCTGCTTCCCGCACTAAAAATACATCCCTGAGAAAAGGCTGCCGTGTGCATGGACTTTGTTAATCGTGGCTAGCTCGGTCTATCCGCGAAAATGGTTCCTCCCCTCTCGACCTCGCCCACTGCATCGACTTGTCTATAGATTCGACCAGTTGCACGATTTCCAGGAACGCTTTCGTATAGTGTCCATGGACCTCGTATTGAATCTCGTATTTGAGGCCACTGACGTATCTATGTAGCCGCTCCAGCTCCGCCATATCGTCCACTTGATCAGCAGCGCCATAAACAATGTAGCGTAGTCTTGAACAGAAGCCAGCTGCTATTAGGCACGCAGCTTCATGCGAGCTTGTTCCGAGACAGATACATGCTCGAAGAAATCTTGCAAGGTTGTGCCCCACTCCTTCCACACGCAAATTGTGGTCTCACCGAATATTGATGCAGCCCTTTGGTTTGCCGTTGTTGAGGTTCCGTCAGGCGCGTCTGTCATACCTGTCGGAGTTCACGCGGCAAATGTACGTCGCCGCCACTCCAAAGTGAGCCCTCGGAGAAGAGAAACCATGTAACTCATATGCCTAACGTCATCGTTAATGCTCGAAGCAGTGAAGAAGACCCCCATGTCAAACAGCCACCCCTTAACTATTGTATTATTATCCGTAGGATTGAACGGAGGTGGGCTCGTCGGCCTGATCATGATCGTAGTAATTGCAATTGCTTGTGCCAGCGATGTCCGCCTATCGCTTTCTTCAATTCAGCGTGTGAGCTCTACAGTGGCATCGATGCCACTCACTCGTTGTCTGGTGGTTTCGCCTTCTTCAATGTGCGACTCCTGACGTGCTCTATCTCATGCCCGGCATAGCCCGAAGTTTTCCTCTCATAACGGCTCCACTTCCGTCATTAATGTATTCATAGTGTTCTGCATGTCCCCATTTGCTGCGACAGTGCAAGCGCAAAAGCTATCAAAGTCAAGCAGGTTTAATTAAATCGACTTTGCAACCAACCACTTTGCAGCCCACCACACCACTCACACCCGTGCTATTGAATTGCCCTAAAAAAGTGTGGTGAAATAGGAAAGTACCGGTAGCTTCAGTCAGGTGAGTTGTAAAATAGAGTTGCCAGGAAAACGAATATCGAAGCTGTGATTGAATGAGCTGACAATACAATGAAGGCAAGCGTTCACTCGGATGGCATGCCTTCCGAGTGGGTTTTAGTTTTTTTCTTGCCCGCGGTCACTAATGTGTTCGCGCATTTATGCCCCCGCAGAGCAGTTTATGATCGCTGATATTTTTACCGCGCGCTCATTGGTCGGGCATTGGGCCGAAAATGACCGTGCAACTACTGTTGGTCGTGCATTTTTTACGGTTTTGTGTACAGTGTGTGGGCGAAATTTTCGGGTGCGGAACAGAACGGAACACTACCTAAGGATACCACTCGCACGAATGGGGAATTTCGTGGCTACAAAGCCCCGTAGGGTAATGCGCTAAAGAAAAAAAAGCCAGCAAGAATCCCCTGGCGTGGCCACTCGAGTCATTATCACCAAATTTGGTGGCCACTCGAGTCATTCGTGGCCACGCGAGGGATGGTGAATCACCTTATTGGCCACTGGAGTCATTCTCTCTAGGCGGGAACCTCGGGGACACGAGGCTGGGAGCAGGTTTGGCGAAGGAAAAATCAACAAACAACGTAGGACAGCCTCGGAATCGTTGGTGTCGGCCGAACGAGCGAGGTATGAAAGTGCGGGGTTGTACGCGAAACGGTCAACCCTGATAAGGTAAACGAAACTTCCTTACAGTCATAAGGAGTTCAAATCTGGGCTAATTACAATTAACTGATAAGAAGTTGACTAACATTTGTCCAACCGAAACGCCTGGAAAAATCAATGACGGCCTTGATGTCCTCATCGATAGAACTAGCAGTTTATCGTTTAACCACCAGATGGCGATATCCCTTGAAAAGTATCTGTTACACTATAGGGAGTTTGAACTGTACGACACAGTGGGTCAGGATCTGTTGGGTTTCAATGTGACACGTGTATGGTTACTGACGTCAGCGGTCCCGACATTGCGATGGGTGGGAAGGGTTGATAGTTTGAAAATTTAACCACTTGTTACCCAAATGTCTTTACAAAATGCGAGTCTCAGCCCTGATGGACCGAACTACACCGCCTCCCGCTTTATGAGATGCCTAGAAACACATCCCTGACATTACAGCGTGTTGGAGTGCAGCAGACTTCAAGAATGTCCGCGCCGACAATAGCGAAGCAGCGAGCGACTTGATTGGTGGCAGTCTCAACGTCCAGCCAGCAACTCAGGGCGCGACATCCCTTAGTCCAAAACGGTTCGCAGGTTAAATTCCATGTTATAGAAGTTTTAAGTACGGTAACTTAGCCTTGGCCCATTCTCAACGTCAACTCCGTCGGAGCAGCAGGAAACAAAATGCAATGGTTCACCCAGACTCCATCCACCCCCCCTCACCAAATGCTGCCGTGCAGCGAAGCAGGCGAGCACAACACCAAGAATTCTCATTTTGCTCATCGAAAGCGGTTCAGTACTATACCATGCACTCTGAAGCGGTATTCTCACTCACCTTCCACTGCTCGCTACTCACCAGTCCGAGCTGAACTTTCAGACATGTAGTGGAATAAACACCATCACCAAGAATGTTTCAGTTAGATCGCAATGAGGCAGCGCGACTACCCTCATAACCGAGCTATTCACGGCATTACGGAGTTAGTGTTGTCCTTCCATTGAATCTTCAAAAGCTCCTTACTTTCTGATTTTCCTTACCAGTGGAACTAAAGATGACCGCGCCGGTGATGGCTTCATGGAATCGAGCCGCAGTGCTCGTGCCGCCGTTCGTTATAGGCGTCATGACGGGCTTCACTTTGCTGATGCTGCAGCAGTCACTGTCACCACGCTTTCCGATATCCTTTGACAGGGTAGAAACAGCAACGGTTCAGAACGAACATACGCCGATCGTGCCGGTTCGCAGTGAAGCTCTGTCCTCGTTTGAAGAGCTCGTACCGTTTCGTTACAACACGAGCTCTACAGTTGTGGACGGAAAGCTGAACGTACACTTGGTGGCTCACTCGCACGACGATCTCGGTTGGCTGAAAACCATTGATCAGTATTACGTGAGTACGGACTACGAAAAATGCCAGAGATTGAGAGATTAAAGAATCGGATCGGATTCTGCGTTACTCTCTGTCAGGAGTCCTCACTGCAGCTTGAACTCATCCCGTGTCCGCGCTGCTACCGCATTGTTCCCCGAAAATGTCGGAAATGTATTTCAAAATATTTTGCCAATGGATCTTCAAGGCCTCCCAGAGGCTGCGCTTCCGGCGTAGGGAATTCGATAAGGGGCTTCTGTGTTTGGCGGAACATCGGTCTTTGAGATTCGGAGAGCCTCGTATTAAGTTCGTGTCGTGAAAACATGGGCGTGGTTTGTATGGCGTGGGTCTATGTAGTCAGTTCGCGCTGACAAGCGGCGATGACGGAAGTCTTAGAGATGCTAACCTGCATTCACACCCTTTTTCTATTTCGTCGTACACCATTGCAGGTCGACACGGTAGAGTACATCATCGAGACCGTCGTTGACCAGCTTTCAGACAATCCTGACCGCAAGTTCATTCAAGTCGAGCAGGTGAGAGCATCTGGCCCTTCTAGGTTCAATGTGGCCTTACGTTTGCACGGTAGTACCAAGTGATCCGTACGTCTACTGCTAAATCCTAAGTGGAAGCAGTTCACGAGTCGCACCAATGCTATTTTCGTAGCAAGAAATAGTTGCAGGTGGGTAAAAAATAGTCAATGTTTCGTTCTCCCCACTTATCCGTATGTCTGCAGGGTTTTTTCTATCGTTGGTGGGAACGCCAGAACGAATCAGTGCGGGAAAAAGTACGGAAGCTGGTGGATTCTGGCCAATTGGAGTTCATGTGAGTCGGCCCAAGCCTTGATGTGGTGTGGACCACGATTCACTGACGACATTGCATTCTGATGTGACAGGAGGGTTACGATACGAATCTACTAGCATCACCCAGGCTTTTCAAGTTTTCATTACCGTAGCGTGCATGCATTCGCTGATTCCAAGTTTTCTCTCACTTCCAGAGCATGGCGTGTAGGTCATGCATGACAGGAGTACTGGAAATGCAGCATACCCCCATGGTGGGATGTTGAAGATCCCGCATTTGACATGCCATTCCCCCCTCCTACCCCCCCACAACCCCCACTCCCGTCCCGTCCCCACCCTCCCCCCCACTTCCTCCTCGCCCCTCCTCCTTCCCTCCCCCCATCCTCTCCCATACACATATCGTATTTGCTTCTTCCATGTGCTATATTACGCAGCAACGGCGGGTGGGTGATGCATGACGAGGCGTGCACGCACTACACGGACATGGTTTATCAGATGGCCATGGGGCATCGCTTCCTCAAGGCCACATTCAACGTCACCCCGCGCATCGCCCCACGCCCCAACTCCCCCAACCCCCTTCCCATCCCCCCTCCTCTCCCTCTCTCCTTCTCTCCCCCCATCCTCTCCCATACACATATCTTTTATCTTTCTTCCATGTGCTATGCTGTGCAGCAACGGCGGGTGGGTGATGCATGACGAGGCGTGCGCGCACTACACGGACATGGTGCATCAGATGGCCATGGGGCACCGCTTCCTCAAGGCCACATTCAACGTCACCCCGCGCATCGCCTGGCAGATCGACCCCTTCGGCCACTCCGCCACAGAAGCCAGCCTCATCACCGCCCAGGTGCGCCAGGAGGAAGGAAGGGAAGGAATGGCAGTGATTGGTGCTTGTTGTAAGTGACGGATGTATGTGGATATTCCACGTCACTCGCGCATAGCCTGGCAGATCAAGCATTTCGGCCACTCCGCCACCCAAGCAAGCCTCGTCACTGCTCAGGTGTGCAGTGACTGGTGGGTGAAACATCTTCTCCCATCCCATCTTCTCCCCCTTTTCTCTCCTTCCCCACACTCATCTTTATCAGTCGGGCCTAGACGCAATATCTATAAGGACGGCAAACAAGCAGGAGAAGCACGGACTACCCCGTTCCATCCCCCTTCTTCCCCCCTCCCCCCTCAGCCCATTCCCCACGCATCTCTGCATCAGGCGGGCTGGCTGCGGTGTTCCCGGAAAAGGGTGGACGAGCAGGAGAAGCTCGCTCGCATGGCTGTCCCCTCCATCACCCCTCCGTCACCCACCTGCCTTTTTTTCTTCCCACCCACGCAGCCCTCTCCACACGCATTTCTGCACACACCCTTTCCCCGCACGCATGTCTGCACCAGGCAGGGCTAGAAGCGGAGTTCATGGGGAGGGTTGACCAGCAGGACAAGGACAGTCACATGGTTGCTCGCCCATCCCACCCCCTGCACCCATTCTCTCCCCCATCCCGATTTCTTTCCTCCCCAATTTTTTCCCAACACACCAGGCGGGGCTACAAGCGGTGTTCATGGGGAGGGTGGACCAGCAGGAGAAGGAGGCTCGGTTGACCGCCCACTCTCACCCCTGACCCCTTTCCTTTCCCCATCCCTTTCCCCCCACCAGGCGGGGCTACAAGCAGTGTTTATAGGGAGGGTGGACCAGCAGGAGAAGGAGGCTCGGTTGGCTGCCAGAACAATGGAGTTTGTGTGGCGCGCTGAGGGGGCGACGCAGAGAGACAACCAGGTGCGTGTGGCGTGCTATGCTGTGTGTGTGGTAGGGCGTGTTGTGCTGCTGTGTGGTAGGGTGCGTTGCTGTGGAGGTAATATGGGAAGGACACGTGTGCGCGTTGTGCCGGTGTTGGTGGTGATAGAACATGGTGGTGCTAGTGTGTTGAGTGCGTTTCGGTTAGGATGATTGTACCAAGTTCTCCATCTTCTCTCCTCCCCCACCTCTCTCCCTCTGCATCTTGTTGCCTTGTGCCATTCGCCCTTTCCTCCCCACCTTCCCCTGCCGGGTGCTGGGAATGGTCTCCCATGACGGATACTACTCGCCCTCTCTCTCAATTCTCACCCTCTTACTTGTCTCACCTTCTCTCTTGTCCCATCCTCTCTCTTGTCTCACCCTCTCTCTTGTCTCACCCTCTCTCTTCTCTCATCCTCTCTCTTGTCTCACCCTCTCTCTTGTCCCACCCTCTCTCTTGTCTCACCCTCTCTCTTGTCCCATCCTCTCTCTTGTCTCACCCTCTCTCTTCTCCCATCCTCTCTCTTGTCTCACCCTCTCTCTTGTCCCATCCTCTCTCTTGTCTCACCCTCTCTCTTGTCTCACCCTCTCTCTTGTCTCACCCTCTCTCTTGTCTCACCCTCTCTCTTGTCTCACCCTCTCTCTTGTCCCATCCTCTCTCTTGTCTCACCCTCTCTCTTGTCCCATCCTCTCTCTTGTCTCACCCTCTCTCTTGTCCCATCCTCTCTCCATCCGCCTGCTGCTCCGCCCAACATCTCCACTTATCCCAACCCCCCCCTACAGGTGCTGGGAATGGTCTCCTTTGACGGCTACTGCTCGCGCTCGCAGTTCCGCTACCAGGAAACAGACGATCCTACCAAACACTCCCCCCTCCACCCCTCACCACCCCGCTCCACCCCTCTCCAACGCTCTCCCAGGTGCTGGGAATGGTGTCGTATGACGGCTACTACTCGCCCTCTCTGTTCCGCTACCAGGATTCAGACGATCCTTCTTCCCGCTTTCAGGTGCTCACATTCTCTCTCTGCTGCTCACATTCTCTATCTGCTGCTCACATTCTCTCTCTGCTGCTCGCATTCTCTCTCTGCTGCTCACATTCTCTCTCTGCTGCTCACATTCTCTCTCTGCTGCTCACATTCTCTCTCTGCAGCTCACATTCTCTCTCTGCTGCTCACATTCTCTCTCTGCTGCTCACATTCTCTCTCTGCTGCTCGCATTCTCTCTGCTGCTCACATTCTCTCTCTGCTGCTCACATTCTCTCTCTGCTGCTCACATTCTCTCTCTGCTGCTCACATTCTCTCTCTGATGCTCACATTCTCTCTCTGCTGCTCACATTCTCTCTCTGCTGCTCGCATTCTCTCTCTGCTGCTCACATTCTCTCTCTGCTGCTCACATTCTCTCCCTGCTGCTCGCATTCTCTCTCTGCTGCTCACATTCTCTCTCTGCTGCTCACATTCTCTCTCTGCTGCTCGCATTCTCTCTCTGCTGCTCGCATTCTCTCTCTGCTGCTCACATTCTCTCTCTGCTGCTCGCATTCTCTCTCTGCTGCTCACATTCTCTCTCTGCTGCTCGCATTCTCTCTCTTCTGCTCGCATTCTCTCTCTGCTGCTCGCATTCTCTCTCTGCTGCTCGCATTCTCTCTCTGCTGCTCACATTCTCTCTCTGCTGCTCGCATTCTCTCTCTGCTGCTCACATTCTCTCTCTGCTGCTCGCATTCTCTCTCTTCTGCTCGCATTCTCTCTCTGCTGCTCGCATTCTCTCTCTGCTGCTCGCATTCTCTCTCTGCTGCTCGCATTCTCTCTCTGCTGCTCGCATTCTCTCTCTGCTGCTCGCATTCTCTCTCTGCTGCTCGCATTCTCTCTCTGCTGCTCACATTCTCTCTCTGCTGCTCGCATTCTCTCTCTGCTGCTCGCATTCTCTCTCTGCTGCTCGCATTCTCTCTCTGCTGCTCGCATTCTCTCTCTGCTGCTCGCATTCTCTCTCTGCTGCTCGCATTCTCTCTCTGCTGCTCGCATTCTCTCTCTGCTGCTCCGCTCTCGCCCCTCTGCGTCACCAGAGATGTTAAGTGTGCTGCATGTGCACCTTTCCCATAGCCAAACCCCTTTCTCTGCCCACCAACCCAATCGTTGACTTTTTGCACCATGTCTTTCCGCACCATGCCCATGCCTTTAACCATGCCTTTAACCATGCCTTTAACCATGCCTTTAACCATGCCTTTCACCATGCCTTTCACCATGCCTCTCACCATGCCTCTCACCATGCCTTTCACCATGCCTTTCACCACTCGCTATTTCCGCTAGTCACTTGCGTGGATCCCTGCTCCTGTGCGCATCGAACCCCCTTCCAGCTCACAACCCCCTTTCACTCTGCAAGCATAACCCCCCCTTCCTGCCAGGTCGCAACCCAGCAGCTCCCCCTGCTCTCTTGCACGCCCTCGGCTCTTCCATGCCCCCTTTCCCCATCGTTTCCCCTTTGTTCGGGACAATCCTGATAAAACACCTTGCCCGCGGCTCTTCCATCTCCCCTCTGCCCTTTCCCTCTGCTCAGGACAATCCCTATGGGGGGACTCCCAACGTGCAGCGCCTGGTGGACGAGTTTGTCACGGAAGTGACCAAGAGGGTGAGTGAGTGGCGCTTGTGCCTTCCACACTTTAATCAAGTGTGCTCGCACAGGGCATGTCTTTTGAGTTGACTCTCAAAGTCAACATGCAGTGTCTTGTGGACGAGTTCGTCACAGCGCAACACCTTGTGCCATGTATTCTGATTTGCCTCACAACTCAACAACGCGCAGCCCCTCGTGGGCTAGTTTGTAGCGGAAGTGACCAAGAGGGTGAGTGCCGCTTGGATTGGACTATACTGTGCTTCAGCAGATATACTTGCATGTGCGAATCATGCTGAGGAGCAGCATATGGTATCTAAATGAGTGAAGTGACAGATTTTAAGCACGGCATTGGGGGCCTCAAGGTCCTCACGTCCTCTGGTACTCGCATGGGGAAAGTTCAGAGATCCTTCAAAACTACTTCGAATTTGCTTGTGCGTGTCATTAGCCCACCCCATCCACAGCCTCTTTCCTCCCACCAACCCCTCCATCTCAGAACCTCTTCTTCTTGCTGCCTTCCCCCTTGCTTTCCAAAACTTCCATCTCACACACCCCACATGAGGCCCCACGGGTTCAAGGCCTAGCACTGTGCCTCAACCCCATGGGAAAGCAAACCAGTTCCCCACTTACTCTTTGCCCCCGCCTCTCCCCACTCCATCCCACCAGGCAGAAAGTTGCTGCCTCATCTCCCCAGGCAGGCCATTGCTGTGGACTGACTTCGACTCACTCGCTCACTCACTCACTCACACTCACTCACTCACTCACTCACTCGCTCACTCACTCACTCACTCACTCACTCACTCACCCACTCACTCACTCACTCACTCACTCACTCTCTCACTCGCTCACTCACTCATGTTTGAGGAATTTGTGTTCGACTAGCCACCACTCACTCACCCGCTGCTTCCTCTGTGCCTTGCTCTCTTTCAAACTCCCACAAACCAGGCGGAGGGCTTCAAGACAAATCACCTGCTGTTCCCCTTGGCCGAGGTCTTCACCATTAACCAAGCCCTCACTCACTCATTCACTCACCTACTCCCTCACTGCTTCCTCTGCGCCTCACTCTCCCCCAAACTCCCAAGCAGGCGGAGGGCTTTAAGACGAACCACCTGCTGTTCCCCATGGGCGAGGACTTCACCTTGAACCTAGCCCTCACTCACCTATTCACGCACTCAATCCCTCGCTGCTTTGCCTTACTCTCTCTCCCAATCTCCGGAGCAGGCGGATGGCTTTAAGACGAACCACCTGCTGTTCCCCATGGGCGAGGACTTTGCGTTTGACCGAGCCATCTCGTGGTTCAAGAACATGGATAAGCTCATTCACTACGTCAACCTGGTGGGTGACTGGGCCATTGGTGTGGCATAGCATGGTGTGGCTTGACATGGCACGTCATGCGATGGGATGGGATGGGGTGACATGCCGTTTCGTGGTTCAAGAACATGGACAAGCTCATTCACTACGACAACCTGGTCAGTCGCTCGCTGGGTGGGATTGGCATGGCATGGTATGGGCGGTACCATCTTGCTAGGTGGGTCGCTGGTTGCTTGGCATGGCGTGGGATGGGATGGCTTGGCATGCCATCTCGTGGTTCAAGAGCATGGACAAGCTCATTTACTACGTCAACCTGGTCAGTTCCTGTGTGGTTGGCGTGGCATGGGTGGTACCATTTTGCTGGGTGGGACGCTGGGTGCTTGGCAGGCATAGCATGGGGCGGGATGGCTTGGCATGCCATCTCGTGGTTCAAAAGCATGGACAAGCTCATTTACTACGTCAACCTGGTCAGTTCCTGTGTGGTTGGCGTGACATGGGTGGTACCATTTTGCTGGGCGGGACGCTGGGTGCTTGGCAGGCATAGCATGGGGCGGGATGGCGTGGCATGCCATCTCGTGCTTCAGGAGCATGGACAAGCTTATTCACTACGTCAACCTGGTCAGTCGCTGGGTGCAGGGCGTGTTATGGCATGGTGTGGCTTGACATGCCATGTCCTGCGATGGGATGGGATGGGCCGTTAACCTGGTGAGTCACTCGTGGTGCTTGGTGGGTGGCTGTGTGTTAGGCATGGCATAGGATGGCATGGGGTGACATGCCATCTCGTGCTTCAGGAACATGGACAAGCTCATTCACTACGTCTACTGGTCAGTTGCTGGGTGCTCAGTCGCTTGTTGGTGCTGGATGGGTTGCTATATGCTTGCTTGGCATGGTGATGGTCTGATATGCCATGGGATGGATTGGATGGGTGTGATGGCACGGTTTGGGCTGGCATGCATCAGCTGCACGCATCAAGAATTCAAGCACGTCTTTGTGAGAGAGTGGTGGTGTTGTTGCAGTTTCTGAAACAATAACAGTGAATGGACAGTGCCGTTGATCTGCAGCGTACAAACACAATGCTGTCTATTTGACACCTTCACAACAATACCATATAGCAAATCGTTTCTTTCCAAGTGATTTGTTTCCCAACCATTGTGTACGTATTCTTATAACCTGCTACGACGTGATTTCGTAACCATGCAACTGTGTAACCATGTTACAGGACGGGAGGGTGAACGCGCTCTATTCCACGCCATCCATGTATCTTGATGCACTACACTCTGCCAATGCCACGTGGCCTCTCAAGACTGGTGACATGTTCCCGTGAGTCATAACTGTTTGTTCACCCTTGCTAGCAACCATTACCACCCACCCACCTGCACCCATTCATGCCCACTCGCACTCCTGACACTGCATCCATTCAAATAGAATCCATAACGCGGCCCCTATCCCTCACCCATACAGCCCTTTCTCCTCGCTTCCAATCTCTGCACTTCGAGCACCTCTCGCCCCAGCAATGCCAAGGACAGCACAGGGAGTCCCACTGGACGGGCTGGGCCAATGCACAGGAGTGCCCATTCTTCGCTCGTGCCGCCCATCATTCTCTGCATACATCTCTCACATGCCGCCCTCCTTCCCTCTTCCCGCAACCATGCCCCCCTCGCCGCAGGTACACGGGTGATGGTGCCTCCTACTGGTCAGGTTGCATCACTGGAGGGGGACTCATTCTCCGCACGTGTTCCCACGTTCTCACTGCGGTCCCCCGCCCTCTCCCTCCCCTCCTGTCCGCCCCTCGCTGCAGCTATCAGGACAGTGGCCCCTACTGGTCGGGCTACTTCAGCAGCCGCCCCTCCCTGAAGCTCCTCGCCCGCTCCTGCAGCGCCCTCCTGCTGGTGCGCTGCCCTCTCCACCTGCTCTTTTGATGTGGTGTGGTGTGGTGTGGTGTGATGTGGTGGTATGGGATGGCATGGGATGGTACGGGATGGGATGGGATGGGATGGGATGTCACATCGGGGCTTACCCCCTGAAGCTCCTGGCGTGCTCCTGCAGCTCACTGCTGCTGGTGCGCTGCTTTTCACCTGCCTGTTTCTGTGTGATGGTATGGTATGCCATGGGATGGGATGGGATGTTGTGTGGTATGATGTGATGTGATGTGATGTGATGTGATGTGATGTGATGTGATGTGATGTGATGTGATGTGATGTGATGTGATGTGATGTGATGTGATGTGATGTGATGTGATGTGATGTGATGTGATGTGATGTGATGTGATGTGATGTGATGTGATGTGATGTGATGTGATGTGAGATAAGAAGAGAACTCACCTTATGACTACTCCCCTTACTACAGTCACATCACCCAGACCTGCCGCACCCTCTCATCATTCACTCTGGCCTGTTATTTCAACCAATGACTCAACTTAACAGTCACATCAGTCACAGCTTCCCGACTCACTCATGGTTCACTCAACCCATCGGTCGCTGGTGCGCGCCTGGCCTACATGCTGGTTGGTTGGTAGGCATCAGTGCTGGACGCTACTGTTGCCTTGGCTCGCCTGGCTCACCTCACTTAACACCGTTGGAAGGCGCAATCGCCTCTTGAAGCGACTTTGAAGCACACTTGCCTTTGCTTTCTCTCTTCAAGGACAAAAAGTGAGCTGAAGGCTGACGCTGTCTTGCTCAGCCTAACAGCATCACATATGTGCCTGTCCCGCTCTCCCTTTTCTCAGGCCACGACAGCAGCAGAGGCAGCAGTGGGAAAGCAATTACTACAGGCGTTGGGCATGGTGACAGGGAGCATGATGGTCCTAGAACACCTTGTGCTGGACCCCCACATGGGGGCAGGGGCAAGCCAGAGAGGACCGGAACATCGTGCATAACAATGCACCTGCCCCTGTTTCCCATCTCTCCCTCAGGCCACGACAGCAGCAGAGGCAGCAGTGGGAAAGCAAGCGCTACAGGCATGGGGCATGGCGACCGGGCGCATGATGGTACTAGAACACCTTGTGCTGGACCCCCACATGGGAACGAGAATGAACGACAGCCAAGAGGAGCAGAAGGAGGCGGATGGCGGGAAGAGTGCGGGAGGGGTGGAGGGGATGAGCGTGGGGTGGGAGGGCAAGCGGCGGGTGCGAGTGGCGAGCTCGTTCCGACTGGAGGAGGCAGTGGCAGTGGTGCAGCACCATGATGGCATCACAGGCACGGCACAGCAGCACGTTACTGATGATTATTCTTCCAGACTTCACCGCGCTTCTGAGGAGGTAAGGCTGTTTGGGGCTGAGGTTGTTTAGAGACTGCTTTCCTGAGCTGAGGGCCATGGCTGTGGGCGGGAGGAGGCAGTGGCAGTGGTGCAGCGCAGCAGCATGATGGGATCACATGCACCGCCCAACAGCACGTTACTGACGGCTATTCTGCACGGCTGCGCCACGCAGCCGAGGAGGTGAGAGTTGTGTGGGTATGCTGCTCCTCTGAATGCATGGGCAGAGACTGCTTTCCTGAGCCAAGTGCCATGCCATGTGGGCTGGAGGAGGCGGTGGCAGTGGTGCAGCATGTGACTGAACAACACAGCAGCATGTGACTGAAGGTTATTCCATTAGGCTGCACCGCGCTGCACTGGAGGTGCGAGTCTTAAAGAGCTCGGTGCTGCGTTAATGGAAACAGACTGCTCGTATGAGTGGGTAGAAAGGCTGCTTCTATCCTCCCAACCTCACAACCTCCCTTCTCCCATCCCCACACACCGCCCATGCAGGCATCAGCTGTTCTCACAGCCGCACTGGCGCACCTCATTATGCGAGGCTCCATCCCCCCGTCCCCATCCGTACCTCCTGTCAACCTCCCCTCCAATCTCTCCTCGCGGCTCAGCAGCAGCAGCAGCAGCAGCTGTGGAGTTCACATTTAAGGAGGACGCGGTAGAGCAGCCCGGGTGGGGGTTCTGGAACCAGTTACCAGATGGGGCGGATGAGGGGGGTGAGGAGAATGATGGGGATGAGGAAGATGAGGGGGACGAAGAGGGTAAGGCACGCAAAAAAATCGACAAGATTAATGAGTTATTGTATGAGGCGGATAGAGCAGGGGCGGAGGATGACGAAGATGAGGGGGATGAGGAGGCAGGAGAGGGAGATGGTGGGAAGCATGCAGCAAGGTCCCGTGTGAAGAAGAGAGTCCCTCGTGTGAAGGGGGAGACAACAAGCAACCCCAGCGAGGTGTTTGACCTACAGGCGTTGCATCCAGCTGAACCTCAAGCGGCTCAGAATGGTGCTGCAGACCTTGGAGCGATTCAGAGCGGTGCTGCTGGGAAGGTTGCTGGTTCTGATGGGAGCAATGCACAGTCTGCTGGTGGGGGCACACGCCCTGATGAGAGGAGAGGGCGGGAGGTCGGGGAGCAGGGTAGCAGGGGGAGAAGGAGGCGGGTGCAGCAGGGTGGGGGTGGCAAAGCAGAGGAGGGGGGACAGCAGTTGCCTTCGCTGGACCTGAAAATGGTGTGTGATGATGCTGATGGTGGTGGTGTGATGTTGATGATGGTGGTGGTGTGATGCTGATGGTGGTAGTGTGATGATGATGGTGGTGGTAGTTTGGTGTAATGATGTGGTGGTGAGATAATGATGATGGTGGTGTGTGATGATGATGATGATGATGATGATGATGATGATGATGATGATGATGATGATGATGATGATGATGATGATGATGATGATGATGATGATGATGATGATGATGATGATGATGATGATGATGATGATGATGATGATGATGATGATGATGATGATGATGATGATGATGATGATGATGATGATGATGATGATGATGATGATGATGATGATGATGATGATGATGATGATGATGATGATGATGATGATGATGATGATGATGATGATGATGGTGGTGTGATGCACATCTACTGCCGGCCTGTGTTTCTTAAATCTCGCCCAGCATCCACTCATCTCTCCTCCACCTTTCACCCCCTCTCATCCTTGCATTTTAAGCCCCCTTTCTCCCTTCCTTTTCCCCCTCTCTCAGTGCCCTCTTCTCAACATCTCCTACTGTCCTCCATCCGAATCTCCCCTCCAGCCAGATCAGACCCTGGTAGGTATCCTGCATGCTTGTATGCTGTTTCACATGCCATGCCACACACATGCCATCCCATACAGCGTCATGAAGCATTACCCATTATGCGATTGCCTATAGTCAAATCAAAGCCCACATACATGCGCATCTTTGCCTCCCTCTGTTCCACTGCCCATTTCCCAACCGCCCTCGTCCATACTCTATCCGCCTTCCCGCTTATTCCACTTGCTACCCGCCTTCCCACAGGTGGTGGTGGCCTTCAACCCTCTCGCGTGGTCCCGCTCTGAAGTGATTCGATTCCCGGTATGAGTGCAATTGTGCAAGGAGGGTTTGAGTGGAAGGAGGGGAGGGTATGAATGCAATGCATCAAAATGCTTTCGGTTACTTCCTCCATCTTGCCTCACATCGACATTAGCATGAGCATGAGCATCAGCAACTGCATCGGCACCAGTGCCAGAGATCCATAGCATTAGCAGGTAAATGATTGGTTGCCCTCCTCTCCCGCACCACCCAGAGCTTTCCCTCCCGTCCCCAACACCCTCCCCCTCTGTTCTCACTCCTTGACAGGTATTTCTCCTCAAATTACTCCTCACTGCCATCTCTGATGCCCCCATCCCCTCTAAAATGACTTATGCATTCTCTCCCCACCCCTTGACAGGTGTCGTCCCCCAATCTCCAAGTCACCGATGCCTCTGGCGCCCCCATCCCCTCCCAAATACTCCAAGAGACCCTCGTCTCCCCTCCCTCCTTTCCCACCCTCTCTCCGCCTCTCCCAATGCTCTCCTTGACAGGTGTCGTCCCCCTACCTGCTAGTCACTGACGCCTCTGGCGCCCCCATCCCCTCCCAAATACTCCAAGAGACCCTCGTCTCCCCTCCCTGCTTTTCCCCTCTCTCTCCCCCTCTCCCATTGCTCTCCTTGACAGGTGTCGTCCCCCTACCTGCTAGTCACTGACGCCTCTGGTGCCCCCGTCCCCTCTCAAATACTCCAAGAGACCCTCGTCTCCCCCTCCACCCACTCCACCTACATCGCTGCTTACACCGGCGTGGGGGGCATCGTAGGGGAGGTGGAGGGGGAGGAGGAAGAAGTGGAGGGAGGGGAAGGAGGGGAGGAGGGAGGGGAGGAGGGGGAGAATGGGGAGGAGGAGGGAGGGGAGGGGGAGGAGGAGGGAGAGGAGGGGGAGGAGGAAGAGGAGTGGGTGGATTATGGGGATGGGCGAGGCCCACAGCCAAGCCATAAGCAGAAAATGAAGCATCGGGAAAGGCAGACGAAGGAGGAGACGGGGGGAAAGCAGGAGGGAGAGAAGAAGGACGGGGGCCAAAAGGAGGAAGAGCAGCAGCAGCAGCAGCAGCAGCAGCAGCAGCAGCAGCAGGCAGTGCTATCGCTTGTGTTCAATGCGGAAGTGCCTCCTCTTGGATTCGCCACCTTCTTTGTCTCGCCGGCAACCCAAGGTACAACACCTAGCAGCTATGCTGTATGGCCCACTTCAAGAGCTCTTTTCTCAGAGCGGAAAAGCTGGGTTTCTATGTTGTGAAGGTCCAGAAGCTGTGCTGTACAGCTCACTTTTGAGGCGCTTTAGAAGTTGTGCTATTCAGCTTCATTCATAGTGCCGGTTGCACCAAGGTGCCAGATTTCGCGGTGACTCGTAAGTCCCTTCAGTAGGGCGGGGCCTAAACTTTCGGGTTCAGGGTTTAGGGTTTGCTGTATAGCTCACTGAAAAGGACAGTTTGCACGGAGGCACGCAAGCAGCAAGCACACAGAGCTAGCAGCAAGCAAGCAGTGCAAGGAGGGCATACTGCCTGTGTGTTCTTCATGTCACCACACACCACCCCTGCAAACTACTCAGCTCCCCTGCTCACTTGCCTCTCACGCTTCCTTCCACGCCTTCCCCACATGCAGACACACCCGGCAGGGCGTACAAGAGTGTTGCATGGAGCAACGTGGTTGATGCTGCAAGCCACTCAACCCCCTCCTCACTGACCTCCTAACATTCCAATTCCACGCCTTCCCCCATGCAGACACACCCGGCAGGGCGTACGAGAGTGCTGCATGGAGCAACACCGTTGATGCTGGAAGCCACTCAACCCCCTCCTCACTGACCTCCTAACTTTCCAATTCCACGCCTTCTCCATGTGTAGACACACCCGGCAGGGCGTACAAGAGAGCTGCATGGAGCAGCGCTGTAGGCGCTGCAGCAGCCTTGTCAGGGGTAGCACAGGTTGATTTTGAACACTTTCAAAGTCAATCTATCTACCATTCGGCTCCCCTGCTCACTATCCACTCGATCTTCCACGCCCTCCCTCCATGCAGACACACCCGGCAGGGCGTACGAGAGTGCTGCATGGAGCAGCGTGGTTGATGCTCCAGCAGCACCCGCAGCGGCAGCAGCACAGCCTGTGGCAGCAGCACCGCCACCTGCGACAGCAGCAGCAGCAGAAGCAGCAGCAGCGACAGCATCTGAAGCAGCGTTAGCCCAGACGGAAGCTGCTGCAGCGACCAAGGCAGAGGCAGCCGAGAAGCAACCAGGCAAGGCAGGGAGGGGGAGGAAGGCAAGAGGGCGGAGGATGTTTGCGAGTGGTGGACAGGAGGGAGGGATGAACGGTGGAGAACAGAGAGGGGGGGAGGCAGGGAGCAGGGAAAGAGGAAGCAGGAGGGGATTGGAGGGCGGGGGGGGAATGGAGGAGGGCAGGATGGGTGGGGGAGGAGGGGATGGAAGGGGAGGAGGGAGCAGGCAGGAGGGGAATGATACTGTTGTGCTGGGAGGGTGGCAAGGTGGTGCTGCTGGTGCCGACAGGGGCGGTGGGGAGCGGGCGGTGTTGCGTGTCTCGTTCTCCAAGTCAGCGGTGGGCATGCAGCGGATGGAGCTGGTCTCTCGGAGTGCGAACGGCACAGAGGAGACTGTGGTGAGTAGTGCTGCCAAGAGAAAGGATCACGGGTGGGTGATGATGATATGGCAGTGGGTGTATACTGAGGGAAAGGGACTGGCAGCATGACAGGATTCAGCGGTCGAGAGTAGCAAGCCGGTAACTTCCTGCAAGGCATTATTGTCTGGTTTTTTCTAGCATAGTAAAGCTCGGCACAACTACACTGTGCAGGCTATGGAGGGCATGTGTGGTGAGGTCTGTGCTGTGGTGACTTTTGCGTCGACTCAAAAGTCTGTATGCATGATGAATGATGAGGTCCTATGTTGTGCACTTCTGTTACATGCCATGCCATGCCATGGCATGTGCGACGCCACTCCACAGCATGGCAGCGCATGGGCATGGCAGCGCATGGGCATGGCAGCGCATGGGCATGGCAGCGAGCGCCAACATGATGGAGTATGCAATGTCATGTCCTGTGCACTCCTGTGCCCTGTACCCTACACCACGCCACACCACAATACACAACACACCACACCACACCACGCCACACCACGCCATGGCAGCGCATGGGCATGGCAGTGAGTGCCAACAGGATGGAGTACACTGTACGCTACATTCGCTGGCACATACATCTTCCATGCCACCCCACCCCACGCCATCCCACCCCACCCATGCCACTCCACCCCACGCCATCCCGTCCCACCTCAGCGCATGGGCATGCCAGTGAGCGCGAGCATGATGGAGTATGCAACGTTTGGCGGCGGCGCTTACATCTTTGAACCCTCCAAGCCTGCCGCGCCCATCACCAGCACCAACGCCACCTACCAGGTCAGTGGGCGGGTGGATGGGTCACAACTGTCAGAACTTAGGCTTAGAACTGATACATTAGTAGTGAGCTCAAAGCTCTTTAAGTACATCAGGAATGAGCAAGGTATGGATGAGAGAAGGGAATCAGGGGGCAATCCTAGGGAATCAAGGGTAATCCCAAGGCAAGCTCCAATTGGTGGGTTGGAGATTGCTTGGAGATTACATTTGGGTTTGGTTGGGATGTGGGTGTACACCCAACCAAACACAAAGTGCAAACTACACTAAACTAAACTAGGATATAAAAGTACAAGTACAAATTGTGAGATTGAGGGCTAACACCAACAACAACAAGCACCAAGATGCATGCACCATGCCTCTCGTTCTCCACTGGTAGAACCCGTGCCTTGAGTGATTCAAGGCACAGCAGGCGCACACATCTTCCAACCCTCCAAGCCCGCTGTGCCCATCACGACTCACAACAACCACCCCACCAGCATGAGGCAGCATGCCTTTTGCAGTGCACTGGTGGCGCTAGTTCATTTAAGTCAGAGGCGGTGGTGTGTACCCTTGACTGACTGTGACTAACTACAACCATGCTTGTGCTTCTCGTCCTGCACTGCTCTGGTGGCGTCTGTGCCTTCATAGTGAAATGCCTTCTCACAGGTGGGGTGGGGTGGGTGGGCGAGTGGGTGCAGTTAGACATGAGCAAACACCAAACATGTTCGCACGAATCTGCACGAAAATACTCAATGTCATGTCACCAACCCCATAACAGTGTTTGGTTATTAGAGGTGTTCTAGGTTGGTGATAGGGGGCGAACATCTGCATGTTCGGGGCAAACCCAAACATGTTCGGGTTCGTGAATCGTGAGTGTGTTTTCAGTGGGCCAGCTCCTCCCGCGGCACCTCCCCCTCCCCACCCACCCAACCCCACCCCCACCCCCACCCCCACCCCCCCTTCCCCCCCCAAACACCAAATCCTCGAACATGTTCAGCCGAACATTTTTGGCAAAACATAAACGCATGTTCGAACATGTTCAAGGCGAACCGAACAGGTGTTATAACTCGCACAAGATTTCTGTTGGATTTTCCTTGCTGCAATGCTTACGTGGCGCCAGGTGCCCATTCACGTCCAGCGTGGACCGATTGTGGAGGAGTTCAGCCGCCAGATCACTCCGTGGATCTCTGAGGTGAGTGCACCTCCGTCACTTTAGACAAATTTCTCAAGTAAATCCTCCTCCTCATCCTCCTCCTCCTCCTCCTCCTCCTCCTCCTCCTCCTCCTCCTCCTCCTCCTCCTCCTCCTCCTCCTCCTCCTCCTCCTCCTCCTCCTCCTCCTCCTCCTCCTCCTCCTCCTCCTCCCCCTCCTCCTCCTCCTCCACCTCCTTGATTATGAAGGGCGCTTTTGAGAATAAGAATCTTGCAAAATTCTCACTATTTATTATGTTGTACTGCCTTTTGATTACCCTGCCATACCCTGTGGAACGTGCTTCCTCTGCCTCACTGTTTCAATGGCAACCTACCCCTCTGCGTCCTCCCCCTCCTTGCGTCTCTGCCGCTCTGCACCGCTCCCAACTCCCAGGTGTTCAGAGTGTATCCAGGACAGGACTATGCTGAGCTGCACTATGCCGTGAGTGATCTATGACTTCCGCACACTCCAATTTCAAAATAATATCATGATTCGAACCTCTTTTGGGGTGCCTCAAATTCGCTCTAGATTTTGCGCATTGTGGTTTCGAGAGTTCACATGAACAGACTAATCCTCGTCTCACAAGACGTTGCCCCAGCCAGATGGATCCCCTGATCCCCTACCCCTCTCGGGTGACACAACCACAGGTGGTGTTTCGCCGCACGGCTTGTGATTTAATCTCCCATCAGCCTGTGTTGTTCATTGCTCTGCGTGTCTGTGCATGTCTGTTCGTGTCTGTGCGTGTCTGTGCGTGTCTGTGCGTGTCTGTGCGTGTATATCATGTGTGTACTCCCAGGTGGGTCACTGCCTGCCAAGAGTCCCAACCACGAGGTGGTGACTGGCTTCACTGCCTTTGAGGCGACACCTGAGGCAATTGAAAAGGCATATGCTGCCCAATCACATCAGCCCTAGTTGTTCAGTCTCCATTCTGTGCGTGTCTATCTTGTGTGCTGCCCAGGTGGGTCACTGCCTGCCAAGCGTCCCAACCGCGAGGTGGTGACTTGTTTGACAGCTTTGAGGCGACACCTGAGGCAATTGAAAAGGCATATGCTGCTCGTTCCCATCCGCCCTTGTCATTCAGTGTCCATGCTGTGCGTGTCTGTGCGTGTCTATCGTGTGTGTATGCCCAGGTGGGTCCTCTGCCCTCCAAGCGTCCCAACCATGAGGTGGTCACTCGCTTTGTTTCTCCCATCAACAGCAGCAAGACCTTCTATTCAGACTCCAATGGCCGCAGCTACATTAAGCGGGTGAGAAGGCGTTGCCTTTGGATGAGATAACACACTCGTTGCTGCTCGTGCCTAAAAACTCGCTTCACGTCGCCCATCAACAGCAGCAAGACCGTCGCCATTTCTAAGTGGCAAATGCCTCTATGGACGTGCCCGAAATACCGTCTACATCAGCCCAGCATTCCACCATTCCAACCATCCCCACCATCCTCACCATCTCCACCTTCACTTTTCAGGTGTTGGACTACGATCTCCATCATCCCCCCATCCCACCATCCCACCATCCCACCACCCCACCACCCCGCATTCAGGTGCTGGACTATCGGTCTGACTGGGACCTCAATGTCACCGACCCCATCGCAGGGAACTACTACCCGGTGAGTCAACGCAGGTCAACAGGGCCAACCGAGGTCGGCGGAAAAAAGCCAGAGTCCACCAGAGTCAACCAGAGTCAACAGAGACAGCTCAACGCAAGAAGCATTGCACTTGGGAGTGGTCATGTTATGTCTATCATTGACGCAGTAGCGTTGCCAAATCAAGTGGAGTCAATGTGATTTAAACAACAGCCTTCTCCTTTTGTCTCCCCCTTGAGCCATTATGAGCCGTCCTGATTCGTCCTGCAACTATCCTTCCATCACTGAGCGCTCTTACTCATCATCCCTTTCTCTCTGCCCCACTCCAGCTTACAGTCGGGGCTTTCATAAAAGACAAAGCAGCCCAGTTGTCGGTGCTCGTGGACCGGGCGGCAGGCGCTGCCAGCCTGGCATCCGGACAGATAGAGGTCATGCTGCACAGGTGAGGTCATGCTGCACAGGTGAGGTTATGCTGCACAGGTGAGGTCATGCTGCACAGGTGAGGTCATGCTGCACAGGTGAGGTCATGCTGCACAGGTGAGGTCATGCTGCACAGGTGAGGTCATGCTGCACAGGTGAGGTCATGCTGCACAGGTGAGGTCACTGTAGCACAGGTGAGGTCATGCTGCACAGGTGAGGTCATGCTGCACAGGTGAGGTCATGCTGCACAGGTGAGGTCATGCTGCACAGGTGAGGTCATGCTGCACAGGTGAGGTCATGCTGCACAGGTGAGGTCATGCTGCACAGGTGAGGTCATGCTGCACAGGTGAGGTCATGCTGCACAGGTGAGGTCATGCTGCACAGGTGAGGTCATGCTGCACAGGTGAGGTCACTGTAGCACAGGTGAGGTCACTGTAGCACAGGTGGGTGCATGCTTCACAGGTGAGGTGATGCTTCACAGGTAAGGTCATGATTCATAGGTGGGGGCACTGTAGCACAGGTGGGGGCACTGTAGAACAGGGGAGGTTATTAGAAAACAGAAAGATGGAAAGAAGTGATTATCTGATTAGAATAGCATAGAGATATACATTGGTGATGTGATTATCCGATTAACCAGACTTAACCATGATTTCCACACATGCTCTTCTATCGCTTTCGGACCAACCTTGACATCCATGTTCCGCCTTCTCACCGCATCTCCCCACATCTTCCACCATCCCCCCCCCACCCACATGCCACCAGGAAGCTGAGTTCGCTGGACGGCAAGGGGGTGGGGGAGGCGTTGCAGGAGAGCAAAGCACGTCTGTCACACCCTTGTGACTTGTCACCCCATCTTCCCCCATCTCTCCCCTCCCCCACCCACGTGCCACCAGGAAGCTGAGTTCGCTGGACGGAAAGGGCGTGGGGGAGCCGCTACAGGAGAGCATCACACTCGGAAACAAGACCCGCTCCCTCACAGTGAGTGTTTGGAGCAGCAATCTCAACTCTTGCGCCCATATGTCATGTGCAGCCGCCCTTTCACTACCCTGCTTCCCCTTCCTTTGAATATCACAAACCCTCCCTCCAAACCTCCACTCCGCCCCTCCCGCACCTCCCTCTCCCAATTCTTCTACCTGTTACTCCCTCCTCAACATCCCCTCCTCCTCCGCTCCCCCTCACCCAGTTTCTCTGTCTACTACCGGTGCCACCAACCACCTCTCCCCTGCCCTGCAGTTTATAAAATCTCGGCGCTTCGAATCAAGCTGCACACAGGGCGCCCCAAGGAATGCTTGAGCGAGCCCTTTCCACCTCTCACACCCTCCAACCAACGACGTCTCTCTCTTTCTCCCCTGCTCTGCAGGTTGTGGGATCTCTGCGCTTTGGACTGCACTCCACCAAGGACTCAGGAGAAAGCGCAGGGGAGAAGCAAGGAGAGCAAGGCGAGGAGCGGCAGGGTTTGGGGCGAGGGAGCGAGTGGAGGAGGGAGCATGCACAGCGGTTATTAACCCCTCTGCAGCTTGCCTTTGCGGTTGAAGTGAGCCCTTCTCATGCTCCTCCCTCTCTTTCTCTTCGCAAGTTTTCAAAAGAATGTCACAGCACATCCACACAGCGGCTATTAACCCATCTGCAGCTTGCCTTTGCAGTTGATTGAAGTGAGCCCTTACCATCCCTCTCTCTTTTTCATTATCTCTTCCTCTTGCTCTCTTCATAGTTTTCACATCGTTTCCCATACGCACGCACAGCACCTCCTAACCCCTCTGCAGCTTGCCTTTGCGATTGAAGTGAGTCTGCACCTCACCGCCGCTCACTCAGTGACCTCTGAGCTCACTCAGTGACCTCTGAGCTCACTCAGTGACCTCTGAGCTCACTCAGTGACCTCTGACCCACCAACTAACTCTCTGCCTCTCCTTGATGATTCTTGCCCTTTCCATGTGCTCTCTCGCTCGCTCTTCTTTTCCCACTGCAATCCATCGTGCTCCACCTTTAATCCATCCACTCAAACTGCTCTCCATGTCAACGCATGCAGAATCGCCAGTCCATCAGAGCAGCACAAGGCAGCTACACGTGGCACTACTCCTTCTCCCAGCCATCATCCACGTCAGCATCATCCACATCAAACAGCAGTCCTGGCAGTGCTCCCCCCTATTCAGTCCCTCCCAACGTTGCTGTAATCTCGATGCAGGTAACTGCCATCGTGCGTGCAGGTAAGCACTGTGTTGTGCTCTGTAAGAGGCGCCTCAAAATCGCTGTGTACCATCCATGCTTTCATATTGTTCAGACGCCTCAAGATCCGTACTGCACGCACTAAGCCTCCGCTGTTTATTGTCGCTTCACCCTACCTTTCACCAACGTCGATTTAGGCACTCCAGCGAACTACCATTCACTCCACTCCATCACTCCTCTGTCTTCCATTTTCACCCTACCATACCACATGTAGTTGATCCTTCATCCCTCATCACCCCCATGTTCTCACCACCGGCATACGTGGAGGAGCTTTGAGAATGCTGTGTTGTATGTTTCATCAGAATGATGTGCTGTGCCATGCTGTGCTGTGCTGTGCTGTGCTGCAATGATACTAGTTGCAGTTTGAGGTCTCTCTAAACCAGTTGCTGTTTTCAGAAACCGATTGTGCTGAGTGAGGCTGGCCAATCTCTTTCGGCCACTCCCTCCTTTTTTATCACTCCTTTATCTCACACTCGCTCTTGCCACTGTCACACGTGCAGGAGCTCTCACCAAGCAAGGTTCTTCTGAGACTAGCTCACCTGTATCAAGTGGGTCCCACACTCACTCCCTCTCACTCATTTTCTCCTCACTCACACCTCTTCCTCACTCACTCCTCTCTCACACCCCTGCCTCGCTCGTGCCCTTCACACTCACTCACACCCCGCCCCACTCGGCCTTCCATCCATCCTTTCCTGCCGTACTGCACCGCTTCCAATCCTCTAAAAGAATCACCGTCCTCTCCCCGGCATTGCACTGTGCCACTTGCACTCCACTCCCCACTTACACTCTACACACGCCCTCATACCTCCTTCGCCACTGTACTGCCGTTGTATTCCTCGTTTCCGCCCTGATTTCATTCTCAATAATACCTCTCTCAACCTCGGCAGGGCCTCCCGGTTTCAGGAGACCAAAAGCCCCACCTCCTTCTGTACATTATGTGTCTCTGCTTCCCTGCCCCATCTGCACCTGCAGCCTGGGGAGCATGCTGACTTGTCTAGTCCAGTTCAAGTGGACCTTCGAAGATTGTTTGCAGCAAAACAGGTATTATAATCTGCTCGCCCTACCTTTTCAACAGCTCTAACATGCTCTCGTTTTTATTCCTTCACAGTCGCCTCTTTGTGACATGTAACTGGTTACCCTACCTACGCTCTCACTTGCTCTCAAACGCTCACTCGCACACACCTCTTCACACACCGCTTAGTGTTTCAGTTCAGCCACTGCTGCCTGCATAAATAAGAATTTTGTGAGTGAGCTGACCAGGAATCATACATCAATCAATTTCAGAAACCACTGGGATGCTAGCTAATAATTTAACCCTACTATCCAGCCTCAGACTGTGTAATTGCTTTCCATCCCTTACCAAGATCACACCCATCTCATCCCCCCCATGGTACTTCCCTTACTGTCACATTCCCACCCACCCCAAGCAGATTCACGAGGTGACAGAGCTGAGTCTGATGGCCAATCAGAAACGAGCAGACATGCGACAGCCTCTTTCCTGGCGAGTGGAGGGCGAGGAGGCAGTTGAGGGAGCAGGTGATGAAAATGTATCAGCTCAAGAATCGTTCGTTGATCCTGCTTCTCTTGTTGTGGAGTTGGGCCCTGCAGAAATTCGCACATTTTCAATCAGGCTGCAAGGTAGTACATGAATACATACATAGTCGAAAAAAACTTGTGTACCATATCAAAAGCAAAAAAAAATCATGTACATTGCCTTTGTGCTTTCAAAAGGCCCTCTAGTATTACACAGCGTCTGCATAGAAGAACTATGGTGAAAAATGTCTATGATTGTGGAGACTTTGTATATTTGATATTTTTTTTAATTTACAAGACATTAACATGTCGATGTAGTATAATGGTCAGTATCTCCGCCTGTCACGCGGAAGATCCGGGTTCGATCCCCGGCATCGGCGCTTGGACTTTTTGCTACCTCGACCCATAAGCTAGGTTCCCTCTCATGTCACACCCTGTTATTATTCTACTTGCTTTTTGCTTGCATCATTCATTCTACATCTCACTACTTTACCGCAGCTGTTAGTATCGGGAGAAACATTGCACACTGGCTGGTTGGCCCTGATCTCGATTCAGAAGGCTCACACCAGCGCGCCAAGCAGCATTGAGCCTTTCGTCCAGCCAGATTGTGAACTTCGATCACCAAAACAGCTTGAGCAGGCGCACTGACAATGGATCCTTGCATGCGTCAGTGCCTCCAGCAGCCTTGGGCCCGCCTCTGGCTCCTAGATTCTGGTCACACTTCGTTTGTTGAAACAGCAAGCCACGTGTCGTTTGTCTCAGCGCATAGTTTTCTGCTCCCTTCCGCGGTTTCATCTCCCTCCGTTTGTTCCATCAACGTCGTCCCTCTGTCGCTCGTCGTCCATCCGGTTACGATCGATGTACCGAACGTCGCGAGTCCTGGGACTTGTGCAATGGTTTTTCCAGCTCGCCGGTTCCGTTGACCATGCAACCACCTTCCCTGAACTTCTTTCGCCGTACTTTGTAACCAGATTTACTGCGAGGTTTCTTGATAATGGGCTGATCAATCACCCATCGACCCACTTCCTGATGAAGTATCCTCTTCGGTTCTCGAGGCTCATTCTATATCAGCACTAATTTACCCCACCACTTGAGTTAAAAACTCTGATAGTTCAACTGCAGTGCAAATCAACTGAAGGAGGTAATGAGTGATGTTTTATCTAGAGGCACTGAAGGGGATGCTGTATGTACGATTGGTCGTACATTTTTTCCGCGTTTGGCTGGAACTTGTAATACTATGTCAAGCGACACTTAGAAGCTGCCAGTGAAACACGACAACTATCCAATCAAATTCATCATCAGACTTGCCTATGTGCTCATTTTCTCCCCTCGTTGTGCGTGCAGCTTGAAGCAGCCATGGCATGGAGCAATTACGATTTGAATGCTTTCGAGGGGAAAGTGAAGCACTGTCTGCAGATCAGGAATCAGCCAGATAATGGTCAGTGGACGGGCGAGGAGGAATCTAAGTGAGTGGGTTGAAAGCGGTTGCTCATCAACCTGGAGCCCGAGTGTTGTTCAAATTAAGTACTTTCTTTTCTATCTCATTGTTCAGGCAAAATGTCTCAGAAGCAGTGCTGCAGAACATCAAATTTACAGTGCTGCGAGCATACAAGCGATTTTGCTTCTTCAGTGATTTTTTTTAACCATTGTCACTATGAGTGAGCACTTCATTACCAGATTATTCACCCGTTTTGTTTCTATCCGTCCATGCTTCTCTTCTGAACAGAGTTAACTTACCTGCTGGAAGAAGCGCTGCACAAGCTGCGGGGTCAGGAGGTTCAAGTTCTGGTTTTGCGCGAAAACTTGAATGCCATGCATGCAGCAAATTATGATTTGGTCACACGGATAAGGGGGTTTGAGCTCATGGAAGCTAGATTGAGAGAGCATGCTCACCTGGTGAGTAGGGTAAGCGAGTATGAGGTAAGGCTGGAAGAGTATGTGAGTGGAATTTGAAAGTATGAGAAGCTACAGAGCAGGGTTAGAGAGAATGTATGACGGTGGGGTTGAAGAGTACGAGAGAGAAACGGAGAAATTGGGGAGTAAGTTTAAAGATGTTGAGCAACTGGAAAGCAGGGTCAGGGCGTACGAGAGTGTAAATAGTAGATTAAGAGAGTATGAGAAACTGGAGAGTAGGTCCAGTGAGCATGATAAACCAGTGAGAATGGTTAGAGAGTATGGAAACCTGGAGAATAGGGTTAGAGAGTATAGGAAAGTGGAGAGTAGGATTTGAGAAGGTATGAGATACTGGATGCAAAGGCGAAGGGAGGACATTGAGAATCTGGCAGCGAGAACAAGGGAAGTAAGACACCTGGAAGCAAGAGTAACATTTTGTGTTTGAGCAGGGAGTACGGGGGTCACACTTTGTGGTGGCCAGACTTCAGCAGGAGATTGTGTGTCTGGAGAAGAAGGTTGAACAAGCTGGGCCGCTGGAGAAGTTGGTGCAGGACTTGAGGGAAGAGCTCGATGAGGTAGGGTGGGAAAATTATTTGTATGACTTTGCAGACATGACATGCATGTGTGGGAGCTGGGAGCATGCACAGCTTGTTGCATGCTTATTTTGTTGTTGTCATTCTGCACAAAGAGCCAACTTGTGATCTTATTGATTGTTCTGGAGCATGAGACTCTGGTTCTTTAATTTTCTTTCTTCTTTCTTTCTTTCCAATCTTTGCAGGTGACGCAGCAGCGCAACGGGCTGCGGCAGCAGCTGAGGAATACACAGGAGCACAGAGGGAGGCTGAGTCAACAAATCATGGAAGCTCAAGATATTTCCCTTCAGGCAAGTGATAAATTGCACCTCTCCAACTCTCCTGCCCCCATCTCCACCAGAACAGTTGGCGATTCCGTTCCTTGCTGTGTTGCCATTCTATGCAGTTATGCTCAGGTGGTCTTTTCAGCTGCATTAAAAAGTGGCATGGCTGCCGAAGGAGGCGGGGTTGGGGGTGGGGAGGGGGAGGGGGGGAGAGGGGTTAGCAACGTGTGTTATATTGAGGAAACCTATTTATGACTTGTTTGCTTCATGTGCCCCTCAGGTTCTGCGTGACTGCGTGAGAAAAATCGACAGAGTTCCGGCACAAGGAGTGCAGCAGCTGGTGCGAGCAATAAATGATCATATTCAGCCTGTGTTGGAGAAAGAAGGGGAGGATACTATAGAAGTCACTCCAGAGCCCAAGATAGGTGAAATTGTGACGCTTCTGATCAAGATTATTAGGACACTGCTCTGCTTGCTGCTCTGTCCAAATTGGCCAGACTGCCTGTGCCATTGCCAGACTAGATAGAGAACTTTCCCATGGCATTGGAGGGGGTCCTTGTTTGAAAATCTGTGACAGCATATTGGTAGAGTACATTATGATTAACAAAAATTCTTGTGTTACCGTATTTGATTGCAATTCTCATAAGCTGCATGCAACGGCCAGACTTATCACATCCATCTAGAATACACTCTTCATGTTGGTGTAGTAGTCTTGTAGGAAAATCAGGAAGCCCACGACCTGAATTACAATACTGAGGCTCCAGAACCTCTGGCTACCGAATCTTTGCCCACATTTAGGGCGTATTCCTATCCTCCTATCAAGAAAACCTCTTATCAAGCTCACACTGAAAAATTCCCTAAACCCAAAATCTCTCGCTACTTTCACCAGGCAAAATGTGCATTCTTGATAGGAGGTTTCTTGATAGGAGGCCGTAGGAATACGCCCTTACTGAAGCAGAAGTCGGGTAGCACAGGTTTGGGTGCAGGTGAATGCACCACCCACACACGAGGGGACTTGGGGCTGTGGGTGTGTATACCTTAGAACTTGCAATTCAGGGTGTGGGAGCACTGGCAACTGCACAGGGGAAAAGCGAGTGAGTGGGGGGAAAAGGGGTTGAGCGAAAGGGAAAGAGAGTTTGCAGGGGGGAAAGAGGGGCGAGAACAGGGGGGAAAAGAGTGTCCGGGGAAAAGAATGGGTGAGCACAGGGGAAAACGAGTGAGTGGGATGGAGAGAGGGGTGAAAACAGGGGGCAAGAGAGTGAGCAGGGGGGGAGAGAGAGGTAAACAAGGGGGGTAAGAGAGTGAGTGGGAGGGGGGAACGGACAGGGCACTGGGAGGAGAGGACAGGAGACAGGGAGGAGAGAACAAAACAGGGAGGAGAGAACAAGACACAGGGAGGAGAGAAGAGGACAGAGGGAGGAGAGAACACGACACAAAGAGGAGAGAAGAGGACACAGGGAGGAGAGAAGAGGACACAGGGAGGAGAAAACAGGACACAGGGGGGAGAGAACAGGACACAGGGAGGAGAGAACAGGACACAGGAAGGAGAGAACAGGAGACAGGGAGGAGAGAACAGGACGCAGGGAGGAGAGTAGAGGACACAGGGAGGAGAGAAGAGGACACAGGGAGGAGAAATCAGGACTCAGGGAGGAGAGAACAGGACACAGGGAGGAGAGAACAAGGTACAGGGAGGAGAGAACAGGGTACAGGGAGGAGAGAACAGGGTACAGGGAGGAGAGAACAGGGTACAGGGAGGAGAGAACAGGACACAGGGAGGAGAGAACAGGGTACAGGGAGGAGAGAACAGGGTACAGGGAGGAGAGAACAGGACACAGGGAGGAGAGAACAGGACACAGGGAGGAGAAAACAGGAGAGAACAAAATAGGGAGGAGAGAACAGGACACAGGGAGGAGAGAATAGGACACAGGGAGGAGAGAACAGGACACAAGGAGGGGAGAAGAGGACACAGCGAGGCGCGAACAGGGTACAGGTCACCTGGCACTGAAAAAGACGGTTCACTAAAGGGGGTGAAACAAAGAGCGGTGGGAAGAGGGGTTACGGGAATGGGAAGAGCGATGTGCAAATCGGTACGAGGGTGTGGGTGAATAGTGAAAGGGCGGTTTGTCGGGGGGAGAGAGGAGAGGGGGACGTTGGGAGGATGAGACGGGGGGGGGACTGCGGGAGAGTTGGAACGGAGGTGTGGGAGGGTGGGAGAACAGACGACGGTAAAAGAGGAAGGGAGGGGGGAGGGGAAAGGGAGGAAGGGGAAAGGGGGCGAGAATGAGGATATGAGCCCTGAGTGACTCTCGCGCTCCGCCACTGCAGTAGTTTACGATTCACGTTTGTCGTCACCAGCGCGACTCGTCAGTGAGAGTCATCAGAGACTGCGCAGGAAAAAATGGCGTCTGTTTGGCAAGTAGAGAATTGTTGTCCGGGGAAATAACTACAATCCGTAATCGGCGCTCATTCATGCTTTCGGACCTCTTCTCGCGGCTGCAAGAAACCACAAAGGCTGGAGTGCGATGGCGCCGCTACGTTCGCGAAACTCTAAACACGGAGAATAATGACACTAACGAATCTCTTCTACACCTTAGTACATTGTTAATATTCGCAGGAGCACTATTACTAAAAAAAAATCATCACTAGGGCTCTCAGATCTGTCCCCATAACGGAAATGGAAACAGTGATAGACGTAAACTTAAAACCGCAAAGTTACTCGTCTCTCTTGCGATGTTGACCTAGTTGTGCCTAGAAAGATGTGCTAATTACTCTCGCTGGTTCTGAGAACTACTACTAGGTCGTCACCTCGGCTCCAAAGTTTTCTACAGCGTGTTCAGTAACTGCGTTATTTGGCAAACGATCCGTTTCGCTTTTGTCACGAAACACAAACCTGTCGTGAAGGGTGTTCGCGCGAGCGATGGGATTCGCAAATAACCGAACCTCGGTTGGTCTGTATTGCGAACCATTTCTTTTCGCGTTGTGAACCGGACATTTCCAGCTCTGGTTTGACTATGAAGTTCATTTGGTGGACCTCAAAATCAGCAACAGCTTGCCGAACGAGCTCAAACCAGAACAATGTGCGAAGAAACATCGTCCAAATTCAGCATCCAGACAGCACCTATGGCGGGCACGGGGCAGCAACCCTAGAAGTCATCAGGCACTGCTGTTGACGCTGATCAACGTGTCAGCTGCCATGCGTTACGCCGTAGGGCCAATCGCCCCACGGCGCGCCTTCCACCATCCCCGCACAGCCTTGCGCCATTCTCTGGGGCCCAGAACTGGCGGCTTTTGGGTCGTAGATTTGGGTTCGAGCGGGTCAATACGGACACCGGAAATCCAAACGAGTCGACGAGCGGTTAAGATTCGCATTTAGTACGAAACATACAATCCCTGGAACCGCTTCCCGCGTTGATTTTCCTCCACCACGCCCCTCGAGAATCTATTCCCTTGATCGATTGTTCCTTATTCTCCCTCTTTCGGGACTTGGATAACGTGAGTGCGCCGTGCTGCTGTTACAAATGTTCGCGAAATCGTGCATTCGTGCTCTCAGACCTCGTGTCCAGATCTGCCTCATCTTCCTACAGTTCCGGGCTAATTTTGCGAGGATCACTTGAACGCTATCATCGCAAGGTCGTACCTGCTTCTTATCACCGTAGGTGCGTCGATTCTGCAATATGTAACTTGTATTGCAAGAGGCGTTTCTCAAGAGCCTAATAAACATAGTGGCTGCATAAGCTCTTCCCGAATTCATTCTCTCCTCCTCCTTCTCCTCCCTCCCTGGTCTCTCTCATTCCTCGTTGTGGCTGCACGTTGAAGCAGCCATGGCAGCAAGCAACGACGACTTGGCTACTCTTGAGGAAAAGCTGATTATTGGCCAGCAGACCAGGAAGCAGGCAGACGATGGTGAGTGGACGGACTAGGGGGTGAAGGAAGGGAATGAAAGCGATTGTCCTTTTTCCAGGAATTTGAGTGAACGAAGGTTAAGAATTGTGCTTGGTTTACTCTTTTTTGCTATCTCTTTCTTTTACTTCTAGGGGGCAGGTTGTACACTTCTCTCATCTTCGTGACACTCATAAGTGTTTTTAAACTCTTGATATCTGCTTCAAAGCTCTCATTGGTGAGGTGGTTTGAGTACGAATCTCGTTTAGGAGGAAATGCTGAGAAACCAACCGTGCGTGAGCACAAGCTTTTCAAATCGTGTATCTCGCTTTCGTGCGGTTCTTTGACCCATGCATATCACAAATGAACTCATCACTATAAAACCCTCCAACCATTTAGGTTATTTTTCCACGCCTCTTTACCCCAACAGAATTGACTCAAGTTGTGGAACAAGCCCTGCTCCAGCTGCACAACCAGTCAACAGAATCTGGGCTGCTGCGTGTTAATTCTGCGCATTCATATCGTGTATGAGCTTAACTCACCAAGTTATCCAACCATTCTGGTTATCCGCCCACGCCTCCCACAACAGAGTTAACTCAGGTTGTGGAACAAGCCCTGCTCGAGCTGCGCAGCCAGTCAACTGAAATTGGGCTGCTGCGCGAGACGTTGGCTGCCCTGCGTGCAGTGAATATCGAGCTTGTCACACGGATGAAGGGGTTGGAAGCTAGGCTGAGTGACCATGAGGAACTAGAGAGAAGGGTTAGGGAGTTTGAGAAGCTGGAGGAGACTAGGGTCAAAGAGTATGAGAAACTCGAGATTAGGGTCAGGGATTATGAAAAACTGGAGGAGAGGGTTAGGGAGTATGAGAAACTGGAGGAGAGGGTTAGGGAGTATGAGAAGCTGGAGGAGAGTAGGGCCAAAGAGTATGAGAAACTGGAGATTAGGGTCAGGGATCATGAGAAACTGGAGAAGAGGGTTATGGAGTATGAGAAACTGGAGAAGAGGGTCAGGGAGTATGAGAAACTGGAGAAGAGGGTTCGGGAGTATGAGAAGCTGGAGGAGAGTAGGGTCAAAGAGTATGAGAAACTGGAGGGTAGGGTCAAGGATTATGAAAAGCTGGAGAAGAGGGTTAGGGAGTACGAGAAACTCGAGAATAGGTTCCGGGAGTATGAGAAAATGGAGAGAAGGGCTCATGAGTATGAGAAACTTGAGAGTAGGAGTCGACGACAGCATGAGAAACTGGAGGCATCGAGGAAAGATTCGGACCATTGGGAAGCGAAAATGAGGATGTGGAAGGATAAAGCTGAGAAACTCGAGGAAGAGGCGAAAGAATCAGCCAGCTTGAAAGGGACGGTGAGAGAGTTGAAGGATAAAGTAGCGAAACTGGGTGCGCGAGGAAAGGAAGCAGATCAGCTGGAGGCAAGGGTGAAAGTCCTCGAGGGGTTTGAGAAAGAAGCACAACAGTCACAGGTTATGGTGAGGAGACTTAAACGCGAGGTAGAGTATTTGGAGAAAAGGATACAGGAAGCTGGGTCTTCGGAAGTTTTGATCAAGAATCTGAAGAAAGACCTGGAAGAGGTAGGATGGGGGGATTAGTACATGTGCACGAGCTCATGTGTGTTAGAATGCAAATGTGTGAGCATGTACATGTGTGATGCGTGATTTTGTACATGCATGACTGTGCACATGTGTGAGCAGGCGGATCTGTGAGCATTTGCGTGTGTGGCCATGCAACACTGGAGCATCCACATCTTGGAACATGTACATGGTTTAGGGAACCGTTTCTCGTCTTGCAAGAATACCGCTTTGTGTTATTTCCATCTTTGCAGGTGACGCTGCAGCGCAACAGGTTGAGTCAGCAGCTGAGGAACACTCAGGAGCACAGGGGGAGGCTGCAGCAACAAATGATGGAAGCCCGAGACATGACTCTTCAGGCAAGTGAAAAAAACCGCTATTCAACTCCCCTAACCTCACTTCAGACTCTCCTCGCCAGCACCATGGTTTATGATTCTATGCTGAGTTGCATCTGTCTGCAACAATGCAAGTTAGTGTGTTAACTGCATTCGATGTACTTTTCTGTGCTCCCCGGGTGCTGCATGACTGCTGTTAAGGGAGAAGGGGGGGGGGGAGGGCAGGGGAGGTTAGAGGAGGTATTGAAGTGCCTATGGCTGGACATTGATATCCATGTCTCATTGTTTTCCTGCATACCCTGCAGGTGCTGCGCAGCTGCATGGCAGAGCTCAACCAAGTGCCAGCAGTGGGGGTACCTCAGCTGGTGAGCGCAATCAAAGCTCACATTCAGCCAGAGGTGGAGCAGGAAGGGGAGGACTTGGTGGTAGTCGACTCAGACCCCAATGTAAAGGAAAATATGAAACTAGTAGTTGAGACCATCAGGACGCTGCTTGCTGCAGCTCCTCGGATGGCGAGTCTGCATCTGCCCGACTGACTGATTGCCTCAGACTGCGGCGAGCCTTTCTTGTGACTTGGTGGTAGTCAACGATAATCACTAGATTTTGTCATGGATAAATTCTTATGTGTTACTACCATGCTCTTTTTAATGTGTTAAATGTGCGCGTTATATGATTATATTGTCGGGGCATGCAGGGATGTATGTCAGATCCATCAGCCTGCATTGCCACATCCATAAAGCATCACATTTTCCTCTGGTTCTGAGGGGAGTAGGCCATGTGAGCTTTCTGTACTGACAACCTAAACGAGTGAAATCAGAAACGTACACGCAAGTGAAAGCGAGTGTGCTATACTGCAGCACAGCTTTCCGAGCTCGCCCAGGCATAAAAACATCACCACCCGCTAGCGCGAGATGAACAAGCCGAAATCATATCAGCAGCATTTCTAGCTGGCAAATTCCTCCGCCAACCAAGTTCACACACCTTGGAACAACTCCCTAGAAGGTTTAGAATAACGACGCTGCTTATCAGTCAGCAACCAGCTTCGGGAGTAGATCAGCGCGTCAGCTGCCATGCGTTGCGCCTTGGGGACAGTTGCCTCGCGGCGCACCTTCCGCCATTCCCGCACATCCTTGCGCCACAGTCCCAAGGGCTGGCGGCTTTCCAGCCCTAGATTCTGGGATAGAGGGTGATTATGTGAGAGCCGAAACTCCCTGCAGCGGGTACCCGGCGAAGAGCTCTGTAGCGAACGGCAGGTGCCGACATTTCGCTTACACGGCGAAACCTCGATTCGCTCGTTTTCAGATTGGCTGTCCCGCTTCCCCCACCTAGCGTCTCGAGATTGCCGTTCCTTGATTGTTCCCATTTTCCCTCCGCTTTCAGTCAACCTAGATGACGTCTTGATTTCGTCGTGCTCTGTTACCCTTGGACTCCAAGACCTTCCGAACCAAATCTGTCACGGATTCTGTCATTTCTACGCGTGCGTCACCTAAGCGCTTTCGTCAAGCAAGGTCGCGTCTTTGTCTTATTTCCGTCCGACCGATCCTCTTCACCATAGGTACGTCGTTTTGGAAATAAGCCATCCATTCAAATTACTCGCACAAGACAAAGCAATCGTTTCATGGTTGTATATGGTCAATACAGTTCCTACAGTGCTCACCGAAACTCTCTGCTGACACTAAGCTGCATAGCTAGAACGCAAATCATACAAAAATATCCTGCGTTTGAATCCACCTCCTCCTCCTCATCCTCCTCCTCCTCCTCCTCCTCCTTCTCCTCCTCCTCCTCCTCCTCCTCCTCCTCCTCTTCCTCCTCTGTTCTCTCTCATTCCTCGTGACTGCAGCTCGAAGCAACCATGGCAGCAAGTAACGCCGACTTGGCGATTCTTGAGGTGAAACTGAAGAACTGCCAGCAGAGCAGGAAGCAGGCAGACGATGGTGAGTGGACGGGCGAAGAGTGGGATGCAATTGCTCTTTATCATGAAAGGCGGTGAACAGAGGTTACAGTTTTTTTTATCTTTTTCGTTTTTGGGGGCCAGGTGCGTAGTAATCTTTTCCACCTCATGGCACTTTCAATGGTGTTTCAACATTAAGTATTTGCTTCAAAGCTCTTATTGTGCCAAAGATGGTTTCTGCACAAATTCTTAGGTTCAGCAGCTTCGATTTCAGCAGCAAATGCTTAGAAACAAAATCATCAAGTGTTGTGCGAGGACAAGCTTTGCAGGTGTCTTGATTGCATCTTGTTGTTTTAACCAAGGCATACCACAATTGGACTCAACATCACCAAACTATCCAACCATTCGGGTTATCTGTCCACGCCTCTTTACCCCAACAGAGTTAACTCAGGTTGTGGAACAAGCCCTGCTCCAGCTGCGCAGCCAGTCAACTGAAATTGGTTTGCTGCGTGAGACGTTGGCTGCCCTGCGTGCAGTAAATGTCGAACTGGTCACTCGGTTGAAGGGGTTTCAGCTCATGGAAGCTAGGCTGAGTGAGCATGAGAAACTGGAGAGATGCTTGAGGAGATTAGGGTCAGGGAGTATGAGAAACTTGAGAGTAGGATCAGGGATTATGAGAAACTAGAGCTTAGGGTCAGGGATTATGAGAAACTGGAGATTAGGGTTAAGGAATATGAGGAAATGGAGAGGAGGTTTCAGGAGTATGAGAAACTTGAGAGTAGGGTCAGGGATTATGAGAAACTGGAGATTAGGGTAAGAGAGTTTGAGAATATGGAGAAAAAGGTTCATGAATATGAGAAACTTGAGAGTAAGAGTCGACGACAGCATGAGAAACTGGAGGCATGGAAGAAAGAATCGGACCACTGGGAAGAGAAAATGAGGATGTGGAAGGATAAAGCTGAGAAACTCGAAGCAGAGGCGGAAGAATCAACCAACTACTGGAGAGCGAGAGTGAGAGAGTTGAAACGCGAGGTAGAGTATCTGGAAAAAAAGATTCAGGAAGCTGCGCCTTTGGAGATGCTGATCAAGAATCTGAAGAAAGACCTGGAAGAGGTAGGGTGGGAAGTTCAGTGCGCATGCATATGCACAAGCTCATGCACACGTGTGCAAATGTCTGGGAATGCAATTGTGTGGGCATGCAGATATGTGTGAGCATGCAAATGTGTGAGCGTGCAGATGTGTGTGAGCATGCTGCATGCAGATGTATGAGCGAGCAGATGTGTGAGCGTGCAGATGTGTGAGCGAGCAGATGTGTGAGCGTACAGATGTGTGAGCGTGCAGATGTGTGAGCGTGCAGATGTGTGAGCGTGCAGATGTGTGAGCGTGCAGATGTATGAGCGTGCAGATGTGTGAGCGTGCAGATGTGTGAGCGAGCAGATGTGTGAGCGTGCAGATGTGTGAGCGTGCAGATGTATGAGCGAGCAGATGTGTGAGCGTGCAGATGTGTGAGCGTGCAGATGTGTGAGCGTGCAGATGTGTGAGCGTGCAGATGTATGAGCGTGCAGATGTGTGAGCGTGCAGATGTGTGAGCGAGCAGATGTGTGAGCGTTCAGATGTGTGAGCGAGCAGATGTGTGAGCGTGCAGATGTGTGAGCGTGCAGATGTGTGAGCGAGCAGATGTGTGAGCGTGCAGATGTGTGAGCGTGCAGATGTTTGATCGTGCAGATGTGTGTGAATGTGCAGATGTCATGTGTGTGTTTTTCTGTGCGAGCATGCTCATACGGGAGGATCCACGCATTGGATCATGCACGCAGCACACCCTTATTATACGTTTATCTTCTTCCAATCTCTCATAATTTTTATTTCTGATGTCGTTTCTCATCCTGAAGCAAGCAGCCACTTATGACGAAATTAATTTGGTGTGTTCCCACCTTGGCAGGTGTCACAGCAGCGCAACAGGCTCCACCAGCAGCTGAGGAACACCCAGGAGCACAGAGGGAAGCTGCGGTAACAAATGATGGAAGCCAGAGATATGTCTCTTCAGGCAAGTGCAGAAAGTCAATGTTAGTGATTCTTTAAGGCAACCTTCCTGCCCCCATGGTTAGTGGTTGTTGCTGTGCTTCTATCTGCAGTAATGCAAGTCAATGTCTTAACTGCATTCACTGTACTTTACTGTGTCTCTAGGGTGTGCTGAAGGTGGGGGAGGGGAGGAGGGGTGGAGGGAAGGGGGGGGAAGGGGGGGGGAAGGGAAGGGGGGGGGAAGGGGGAGGGGGAGGAAGTAGCACAGTGCCTTTGGGTACAGAGTGCCTCTGGTTGGAGAGTTATATCCATGTCTATCCGTTTTCCCGCATATTCTGCAGGTTCTCCGCGACTGTGTGAGAGAACTCAACCAAGTGCCAGCAGTGGGAACTACGCAGCTCATGAGTGCAATCAACAAATACATCCAGCCGGTGGTGGAGCAGGAAGGGGAGGACCTGGTGGAAGTCGATTCTGAGCCCAAGGTAGCAGAGATTGTGAAGCTGCTAGCTGAAACCATCAGGACATTGCTGGCTGCAGCTCCTAGGTTGGTCAATCTGCATCTGCCCGACTAATGATCACCGAGTGTGCAAAGCTTCTCTTCTTATGCAGCAGTTAAAATAGGTTACAGTAGTCTTTCTGCAGATTTTTTTATGGGTAACTAGGGATAACTCATGGTGTGTTACATTCATGATTTTTTCAATGCATAACATCTGTGCACTATGTAGGAAGCTTATTAGGGTGCATCCAGGGATGTACGTCAGTCTTCACTATCACATCCTTAAGCTAGTTCCACATATTCTTATGGTATCTTTTCAGGGCAAAAAGCATGGTTAACAACAATGCCTATTGACAACCTAAACGAAGTAAATCAGGATTGTACACACGACGTATCACACAAGTGAATGCGAGTGTGCTATATCGCAGCACACTTTCACGGGCTCGCCCACCCTCGGGAAGATCAGTGGGTTTGCTCATTACGACACGCCCAGCTCCAACCAGATCAGCGTGAATTCATGGAACCGAATTCATCACCCAACCAAATTCACACAGCTTGGATGTCCGCGTGCTCTCCGTCGCCGGAACAACTCCCTAGAAACTTTAGAAATAACGTTGCTGCTTATCAGTCAGCGACCAGCTTCGGGAGTAGATCAGCGGGTCACCTGCCTGTCATGCATTGCGCCTTGGGAACAGTTGACTCACGGCGAACCTTCTGCCGCTCCCGCACATCAGCAGGCGGCTTTTGGGCCCTCAATTTTTGGTTAGACGGCGACGATGGGAGAGCCGGAGTTCCCTGTAATGGATACCAGGCGAAGAGCTCTGTAAGCTACGCAGGGTGCGACATTTCGCATACAGGGCGATACATCCATTCGCTCATTTTCGGCTCCCCCGCTTCAGTAAACCTAAAAGACGTCATGAGTTCGTCGTGCTTCTATTACGGATTTTCAGGAAACCGCGAAATGTGCTCCAAGATCATAGTAACCAGATCTGTCGCAGCTTCTTTCAATCAAATCAAGGCGTGCGTCACCTAAACGCTTTCGTCTAGCAAAGCCGTGCCTTCGTCCCTCCCGTCCGACCGATCATCTTCACCATAGGTACGTCGTTTCGAAAATGGTTCATGCATTCAACAAACTCGCATATGACAAAGCAATCGTCTCATGGTTGTACCTTCAGATATGGTCAATAAATTTCCTATAGTGCTCACTTTAGCTCTCTGCCGAGACTGAGCTGCATAGTCGAATATTCACATCAGCAGAGAAATATCTGCGTTTAAATCCTCCTCCTCTTTCTCCGCCTCCTCCTCCTCCTCCTCCTCCTCCTCCTCCTCCTCCTCCTCCTCCTCCTCCTCCTCCTCCTCCTCCTCCTCCTCCTCCTCCTCCTCCTCCTCCTCCTCCTCCTCCTCCTCCCCCCCTTCTCCTCTCTAACTCACTCATTGTGCCTCACTCTCACTCAAACAACCTTTTTCTCGTGATTGTAGCCTGAAACAGCGATGGCAGGAAGCAGCAAATGCTTGGCCGTTCTGGAGGAGATAGCGATGAAGCGTCAGCAGAGCAGGAAGCAGGAAGATGATGGTGAGGGAGGGGAACGATGGGTAAAGAATTGGTGTGAAAGTGACGCCTCTTAATTCTTTGAACAACCGTGATTAGAAATCAAGTGATGGCAGTGAGTATTTCTCGGTAGATTAAGACTCAGGCAGATGAAGGTGAGCCAGTAGAAGAGAGGGGGGATGGGAACATGTTGGATGGTTTTGAGACTGGGATTATAAAGCTAAGTACATGAATGACGGATGGATAGAAGTGTCGAGAGATATCGCAAACAACACGAAACGTTATTGTGGCAACATACTGTTTCTCCTCAGTCCTTCTTGCTTTGTTTCTGCTTCTCTCCTTTTTCATCAATTTGTAAATGCTGTTTCTCCTAAATACCGCCCTCCTGTCTTGTATGATCTCCGAAATGAGTACATTGGCGGTGTGTACAGTAGCAGATATATGTTTCCTATCATTTTTTTTTTCTCCATCCTCACCCGTTCCATTCAGATTTCAATCACCTGCTTGATGAGATCCGGCTGCAACTAAGCAACCAGTCGTCTGAAGTCAAACTGCTGCATGAAACGGTGCTTGCTTTGCGAGAAGAGAAAGGGAAGTTGGAGGCACGGGTTGAAGGGCTTGTAGCAACGGAGTTTCAACTCAAGGAGCGTGAGAAGGAGGTTGAGATGTTGCAGGCGAGAGCAGAAGAGGCCGAGAAGTTAAAGAAATGGGTTGTAGAGTGTGAGCGCTTGCAGGTGGTTAGATCGAGAGAAACAGAAGTGTTGAAAGCCAAAGTCCAAGAGATTTCTCAGCGGCACAAGGCAGAAATGGACGGCCAGGATGCAAGAGTGAAAACGTATCAGAAGGAGATTGAGAAACTGCAAGCGAAGGTAAAAGAGCAGGAGGAGGAGGAGGAGGAGGAGTGGGAGGAGGAGGAGGAGGAAGATTGGGAAGCGGAGAGTAATGTGATAGACTTGACGGAATTGGAAGAGGTAAGACCGGAGGATGGGGGTAACAGGATGGTGGCAGGCGCGTGTATGTATCAGAGCATGCATGTGTGTGTCTGTGTGGGTGTACTCGCTCGTGAGCATGGGTACACATCTTCTGCCTACTGTTATGACACACAAACGCTAGCCAAGCATTCCTCACCCTCCCTTTCCGTTCCGTAGAGGCCAATTCCTGGTTTGCCGCCCTTTCTCTCCTCAAACAAGCAAGAATGCTTTAGGTACTCCCTTTCATGCTGGAATATTCTTGGCAGATGACGGAGCAGCGCAACGGGCTGCGTCAGCAGCTGAGGAACACTCAGGAGCACAAGGCGAGGCTGCAGCAGGAACTGATAGAAGCAGGAGATAATGCCATGAAGGTGAGCTGATGGTGACCCTTTCTCGCGTTCTTGATCTCGCTCAGATGCCACATGCCTGTTTTCCTGTTTTGAATGAAATGTGTCTGCTTTGAACCTATGTTGGAAAAGTCGCCAGAAACCATAAGCGCACACCGTATAGTCGTTAACGAATATACGGTGTACGCAATTCGTACGTATATTCGTTGGGTAAAATTCGGACTGACCGGAAAAAAAAAACGGATTTGTAAAGTCGCGCACGAATTGCGAATGTGCGACGCGACTCAAAATGTACGCACGTCCCAACCCAATTTGTACGCACGTCCCAAACACATTGTCACCCACACCTGTCAAAATTTGGGACGTGGGAAAGTCAGAACCGCATTGCACCCTATGTTATCGCGCGACTCCAACACACAAACACGAATGTCGTCAACCAGCGTAGGTGGTTCAACCACATCGTGGACTATAAGGTAAGCTGTTTCCCGTCATCTGTAGTATGTCTCTCGTTCATTCTCTCTCAACGCACCCGCCCAGCTCCACTTGATGTCGACTCCTACTGGTACTCCCGCGAGTGCCACTAGTGAGGCTCCTAGTGTTTCGAATGACGCGACCATGGCGGACGACGGGGATGTTCCTGAGAACACCCATGTTATTTTTAAGCACTTCCTTACCTCTACCGAAGGTTCCTCGACTGGTCCTGAGCGTACTGTCCGCACATGCCGGCACTGCAAGCTTAAGTTCGTGGGCGGCGCCTTCCGTTGTGCGCAACACATCACGCGCTGGAAAGGGCTGAAACGGAAGGACGTCCGTCTTTGCAAGGCGCCGATCCCTGCTGCTGACCGCAGCGCCGTCCGCGAATTGTACGAAGGCAAACATGCCCGCAGGGAAGGGAAGAAGAAGGCGGAGGAGATGGCGATCGCGGCGTGTGCGGGTGGATCGAAGAAGCAGTGCATCGAAGACTTTTACGGGGAGGGGGCGTCGTGTGCGAAGGACTTGGCAGACGACGCCATCTGCCTCATGTGGGCGGCACTTCACCTCCCGGAGCATCTCGCCGATCACCCTCTCTGGCGCAACGCTGTGCGCTGCATCACGGACGCGGGCCATGGCTACGTTCCGCCGAAGCGGCGGTATGTTGGTGGCGCCGGCCTTGCGCGCTGCCGCGGAAAGATCGAGCGGGGCCTCGCTCCCATCACTGCGAGCTGGAAGCGGGATGGAGTGATGATCGGTTCGGACATGATGACGGACAAAAGTGGCCGTCCCCAAGCCAACATCCTGCTCATCAATGACTCCGGTGCTGTGTTCGCCGAAAGTATCGACTGTAAGTTGGAGACGAAGACGGGAGGTTACATTGCATCGGTTTTACGCCCGATCATTGAGAAGGTGGGGCCCGCCAACATCGTTGCCTTCTGCATGGATGGGGGCAGCAATTACGCGGCTGCATGTAGGGAGCTCATGTTAGAATTTCCTCACATTGAGCATGTGCCGTGCGCGACTCACGTCATGGATCTGCTCATGGAGGATATTGGGAAAATGGATTGGTGCAAGGACATTGTGGCAAAGGCGGGGTTGATGATTACCTTTGTGCGTGCCCACCATTTCACCAAAGGTTACATGAGAAGCCCGCAGGTGAAGGGAGGGAGGGGGAAGCAGGTGCTGAAGCCGGCGGGCACCAGATTTGGCACGCAATTCATCGCGGTGCAGCGGCTTTGCGAGGTGCGGAGTGCATTGACGCAGCTGGTGCTGAGCCCGGAGTGGCGGGATTGGGCGAAGGGGAGGAAGCCGCCGGTCGAGCCCTTCGCAGACATGATCATGGATGCCGTGTGGTGGAAAGGGGCGGAGTTCTTCGTCGACCTCCTGAAGATCCCCTTTGTCGTCATGCGCAAGACCGACTCGACGGCCAAGGGCATGATGGGCAAGATCTACGATCTGATGCTTCAGCTCACGGAAGACATCAATGCGAAGCTGGAGGAGGAGGAGGCGGGATTGGTGCTGTCCAGCACTGAACGCACGGAGGTGACCAACATCGTCCAGAAGCGCTGGGACCACAGCATGGCGTGTGCCATGCACGTGGTTGGCCGGATCCTCAATCCGGTCAACCAAGAGGAAGGCATATTCCGGACCGACCTCGAGTGCACGCGCGTCTTCAAAGCGTTTGTCGCTCGTCACTACGCAGGGCAGACGGTGACGCGCAAGGAGGGCGACGAGCTGCGTGCATCCCACGTCATCCAGGACGGACTGACGGCATTCAACACCCTGCAGGGGAGCTTCGGCCTCCCCGACGCCATCACTGACCGTGAGCTCGTGAAGGCCGGTAAGAAGACGGCCGTTGATTGGTGGACGTGGCACGGGACGGACCACCCCGAGCTGACAACGCTCGCCTGCCGCGTTCTCTCTCAGCCGATGTCCGCATCGGCGTGTGAGAGGAACTGGGCCACGTGGGAGTCGATCCACACTGCCAAGCGCAACAGGTTGGGGTCCGAGAAGTGTCGGGACCTCGTGTATGTTGCGCACAATTGGAACATTGTGCGCAACTGGCACAAGGGCCCTGATGGGCTGACGGTTCTCCCGGGGAACATCCCTGAGGCCCCCCTGCCGGAAGGGTACAAGGAGGTTCTGGAGGAGGATGAGGAGGAGGGGGAGGAGGATGAGCTGGAGGATGAGTACAAGTAGAGGAGGAAGGAAGGGACGGGGGGAGTAGAGGGTGGGAGTAGGGGGTGGGGTAGAGAGTAGGCATGGGCAAAAGGTGGCTGGGGGGGAGGGCGGGGGGGGTTGTAGGAGATGTAGGTTTGTAGTGTTAGTAGTAGTTATTCTGCAGGTCTAGGTTAGTGTAGGAGATGCATGTTGCTAGATTAGAGAAGTTGAAATTGTAAGGTTTTTTCTAACAAAAAAGTATGGTACAACCTCCCCTCCCCCCCCCTGGAGGGGTTTTTTTCCTCTGCCCGGTAAAAGTTTTATGCTGCCCGGGCAGCGTACTTTTCGCGACTTTCAAAGTCAGGCATTCAGCGTATAGCGCATTATACGCAAGCGTATATACGCTTGCGTACAATGCGCTGGGCGCGACTTTTCCAACATAGCTTTGAACTAGTATATATTTTGAACATTGTGGTTTTATTTTGATGTATGTCTGCTTCGGAAAATGTGTTTCTTTTTTTTAACAAAGGCCTGTCTGCTTCGGAAAGCCATTTCCATCCCTTGTTGCATGCATGTACCCCACAGGCGTTACGTGACTGCATGGGAGCTCTTAGCAAAGTACGTGCAGATGGAGTACCGCAGCTGCTAAGCGACATAAAGACACACATTCAGCCGGTGGTGGAGGAGGAGGATGAGGATCTAGTGGAAGTTAACTCAGAGCCAAAGCTAGGGGAGAGCATGAAGCTGCTGGTGAAGACAATCAACGCGCTGCTTTCTGCAGCTACCAAGGCCTGAGGCTTGCGGAATGCCTCCTTGCGATGGGGATGTCTTCTGGTTGATGCAACTTTAAATGTGGTGGAAAACAATCTTTTGCTTGAGGCAAGGATACCTATGATGGAGCCTACAACGAGCAGGGCATGATGCTGCTTGCCAAGCCAGTCAACAGGGCTTTTTCAGCTGCCTCTATCAGGATGTGATGTGATGGTTGCATTATTACCACCTCCAGACCATACCACACCCCGTCTTCCTTCTACGGTATGCCTCCTGTTATGAAGCACAAAGGACTGGCTGGACCTCATGCGATAAGAGCGCACTGGTAGCTGTATTGCCTTGCCAGATCGTTGTGACATGTCTCGTGAAGCAAGACCAGTTGCTGCTTTTCATGCCTCGCTGGTAGCATGAAGGACGTCCTCGTAATCCTCCACCTGAGCATTACTGCATAGTGCTACAGACATGTGTCAAAACTTACTGTTTTTCCGAACTGGTTGACCTTCCCAACTGGTTGACCTTCCCAACTGGTTGACTTTCCCAACTGGCTGACCTTCCCAACTGGCTGACCTTCCCAACCGGCTGACCTTCCCAACTGGTTGACCTTCCCAACTGGTTGACCTTCCCAACTGGTTGACCTTCCCAACTGGTTGACCTTCCCAACTGGTTGACCTTCCCAACTGGTTGACCTTCCCAACTGGTTGACCTTCCCAACTGGCTGACTTTCCCAACTGGCTGACTTTCCCAACTGGCTGACTTTCCCAACTGGCTGACTTTCCCAACTGGCTGACTTTCCCACTGGCTGACTTTCCCAACTGGCTGACTTTCCCAACTGGCTGACTTTCCCAACTGGCTGACTTTCCCAACTGGCTGACTTTCCCAACTGGCTGACTTTCCCAACTGGTTGACCTTCCCAACTGGTTGACTTTCCCAACTGGTTGACTTTCCCAACTGGTTGACTTTCCCAACTGTAGTCCTAAAATAATCCAGACTGGAAGGACAGCAACATGGTGGTAAAAAAACCTTCTGCAACACCACACTGTGGATGAAAGTTCCCGTGAGGGGTATGGACTAGTTGGTGGCAAAAAGGTGTCTGCAACACTGCTCAACAGATTAGCGTGGTGTGGAGGTGAGGGGTATCGATCCCCTTACCTATCGCATGCGAAGCGCTCTACCATGTGAGCGACACCCCCTTGGTTTCAGCTTACAAGTTAGTTACGCATTTTGGACAGGGATCATACAGTTCTTCAACCGTAGTCCTTCCCTTAGTCAGACTTGGGACTAAAACGCCTACACAAACCACTACACTACAAACACGTCTCCTACAATCAGCTGAAGAACTCGCCTCAACAAATAGCCCCACCCTACCCACCCTCCTTTTGCAGCTGCTGCACCCCTGACCAGAAGATTTGAGAAGAAAAAGAAACAATGCAACCCGTTCCACATGTCTATGTGCCCACACAAGCACCGCCAGTTTCTGTTGAAGCACCTCCCACACTCCATCCCCTTCCCTCCCTCCACTACCCTCTGTGCCCCTGAATCGACGCAAACCCCCGCTTCACGATCTGCAGCAGAAACACGTTCCACGAGTCAATCGGCCCGGGCAAGCACCAGTGCAGGCAATCCTGAGGGGGAGGGAACTTGGAATCCTTATACTTAGCCAATTCTTCCGCTGCATTCAACCCTCTGTATGGCCCTGGGTGGCCGTCCACCCTCATGCCTGCACTCGGCATCACATCCATAAGGGTGAATCTTAACGGGTCTACACCCGCGCCTGCTTCTTTAGCAGCCTCCATAACCTCGTTATAAGCTTGCAGCTGCTTCGTGTATAAGTTGAGCCCGAACGTGTTGTTGTAGGTGTAGTTGCCGCTTCTAGGTTCGGTAAGGCCTGCGCACGAACCTCCTGTGTTCCACTCGCCCTTCTCGTAGTGGTCCGGGGAGAAGGTTCGGTAGACGAACACTCGGTTCGGATTCTTCCGAAGCTCTTTCACCACATCCTGAAACACGGTGCGAATCGCGAGTGCGAACGCGCCCTTGTTGTCGACCCTCGCCGGCTCTTTCCGTTTCCACCACCCCCCTTGCGAACCAATCACCTCCCCCTTCTCCATGTAAATCGACGGCTTCACGAACCAATGCGCCGTACTCAACATGACAACGTCGAACCTGCCGATCTCACCGAACCACTTGGGGCTGGTTCGGTCGAGGTGCAGGCGCGGAATGGAGTCGGGGCAGTCAGGTACGGTGTCGTTGCCTTCCTCTACAAGCCACGCGGAGTTGGCTCTGGCGAGTGTGACTTTAGAGGAGCGGAAGACGAGGCGAAGCATGGACTTACCGCCGTGAAACTCTGGTTTCTCCACCTGGCAGGCAGCACAAGTGAAAGAGAAGAACATGGGGGGGATGAACTTGAGAGAAATTCAAGAATTTTCTTGGACACAACCCGTGGAGAGAAATTCAAGAACGGCCATGGAGTCCGTGGGCTGGACGTTATCCATTACCTCCTCATGTCGCCCCATACCCTGCTCCTCTTCCACGTCACCCGCATTACTCCATACCGCACACAACCCTCCTGAACCTCCCAACTTTCATGACCAGGTAAACCCCCGACAGGAACCCAGCCCCTCCCCTCATGAACCTCCTGAACTCCCCAGCATTCCAGCAGCCTTCCCCTCACCTGACGCAGCAGACAAACAAGCGACTCAAAGTGGTTCCGTGCAACGCTGTCCCCCACAAAGAGCACCCCTCTACCGCGCATAACCGTCATGAACTCCTCTGCATCAAATCTTGGCAGCGCACACCCCGCCCCCTCGGGCCGCCACTGCCAGCGCTCGTACTGGCTGTCCGGCCGCCCATTGCCCTGGCAGTTCTGGCTTTTGAGACGTCTCAAAACTCATACTGGCTGTCCGGCCGCCCGTTGCCCTGGCAGTTCTGGCTTTTGAGACGTCTCAAAACTCATACTGGCTGGCTGGCCGCCCATTGCCCTTTACCGTGCATAACCCTAATAACCCTCAGATCCCTCAGAACCCCTTTGAACTCCCCTAGATGCCACCAACCATCCCCTCACCTGGCTGAGCAGGCACACAAGCGACTCAAAGTGGTTCCGTGCAACGCTGTCCCCCACAAACAGCACCCCTCTACCGCGCATAACTGTCATGAACTCCTCTGCATCAAATCTTGGCAGCGCACACCCCGCCCCCTCGGGCCGCCACTGCCAGCGCTCGTACTGGCTGTCCGGCCGCCCGTTGCCCTGGCAGTTCTGGTGGCGAGTAATGTTGGGACACGTGGCGTTCGTGTAGAGAGGCGGGCTGGTGTCCGGGACCCATGACCCTCGGTATAAGTCGCAGGTGAGAGGCACTGCATTAGTGGGGAGGGAAGTAGGGAGGGGGGAAAGGGGCAGGAGGAATAGGGGCGACAGGGAAGGTGTGGCATGGTGAGACACTTGGAAGCGAAGTTGGGACAGGCCTTGTTGGTGTAAGGAAGTCGGCTGGGGTCCGGGACCCATGACCCATCGTATAGGTCGCAGGCGAGAGGCACTGCATTAAGGAGTAAGGGGAGGGGGGAGCGTTGGAACATGTATTGCTGCTAGTAAAGCGGAGGGCTGGTCTCAGGGACCCGTGCGCCCCGGTAGAGGTCACAGGTGAGAGGGGCTGTGTTGGACGGAGAGAGGAGAGGGGAGGGGTAAGAGGGCAGGTGGAAGAGGGGCGAAAAGGGAAGGTGTGGCATGATGAGACACATGAGAGTTGGGACAGGCGGTGTTGGTCCCACGCCATGGGACTCGGAACCAGGTACAGGTCGCCTGAGCGGGGGACTGCATGGGCGGGTGGGGAAGAAGGGGCACGAAGAGGAGGCATTGCATGGTAGGGTGCTTTGACGCGACGTTGGCACATGTTCGTGCTCATGGACCGGAAATCAGGTCTCTCTTCCTCTCGGGTGACACATGGAGCTGATATCATTACGAGTGAACAACTCTGAGACGACTCAAAGGCATGGCGATGAGAGGGGCGAGAGAGCACTTAGGCGACTTCTGAGTCGACTCAAAAGGCTCCTCAGGAATCAGCTATCTCTCACGGGAGGCACATGGAGCTGATGTGGTTACGAGTAAACAACTGTGAGACGCCTCAAAGAAAAGACGATGGTAGGCGCGAGAGAGCACTTGGAGCACTGGGCGGCGTACCATCCCGTTTGATGGTCCGACACCAAGTGCTCCACGCGCTCACTCGCGAGGAGAGCGCGGGTGAGCATTTGACGCCGTACCATCCAGTTTGATCTTCCTCTCCTTACGCCGTCCTCCCTTTTTTTTTTGAGTCGACTCAAGAGTGGAATCAGCTATCAGCTCTCTCACGGGCAACACAAGGAGATGGTATGGGCGAGAGCACTTGGAGCACTTGGCACCGTACCATCCAGTTGAATCTTCTCCTTGCGCCCTCCTCCCTTCTTCCTCGCACCACCTGCCATAGCCGCCCCACCAACAGCCGTCCCACCCCCACCATTAGAATCACCACCGGCGTCCCCACCACCATCCCCATTCCGCGCCCCACCACTCTCACCCCCGTTAACGTCAACCTCGACGCCACCAGCACTGTCACCACTGCTGTCACCACTACTGCCACCACTGCCGCTGTTGCTCTCATCCCTGCCGCCGCTTCTCTTGTCCGTTGCATTGCTACCCACCCCCACTCCCCCCCCGTCCGCTCCTCCTGCATTCCCCTCTCCTCCGCCCGCCTCTCCTATGTTCCAGTCACCTGGTTTCTCCTCTACCTCACCTTCCCCGCTCTCCTTCCCGCCTCCGTCCTCTCGCCTCTCATCTCCTCCCTCCTCGCCCCCGCTACTATCACTCAAACCTTCATTCATCATTTCCTCACATCCAACCAACAGGTCCTCTCCCTCTTGCCCTCCCTCCTCCTCTCCCCCTTTTTCTCCCCCCCCCTCTCCATTCCCATCCCTCTCCTTCCCTCCCCCGTCCTCTCGTCCCCCCTCTCCCCCCTCCTCTCCCCTCTCATCCCTCTCGGTATCTCCCCCCTTCTCTCCCCCTTCCTCTCCCCCCTTCTCTCCCGCTTCCTCTCCCCCCTCCTTGCCCCCGCTACTGTCACTCAAACCTTCATTCATCATCTCTTCACACCCAACCAACAAGTCCTCTCCCTCTTGCCCTCCTTCCTCCGAACCTCCCTCCGAGCCTTCGGCCGAACCTTCCTCCAATTCCCCGCCTTTCCCCACACCTATGCTGCTCCTCTCCTCCTCCCCTCCCCCCTCTCCACCCCTCGCCACTTTTTCCTCTACCCCACCACTCGAACCACCGTCTTCCCCTCCTCTCTCTGCCTCCTCAGCAGACTCTCTTGCCTTTCCTTGTCCCTCCCCTCTCTCTTTCACCCCTCCTCCGTCCACACTCCCGTCTATGCCCTCGCCCTCGGCCTCTTCCCCTCCGTCAACGCCATCCGCCTTTCCGTCGACGGCCTTCAAACTTGCCGTCGACTCTCGCGCCTCCCCCTCTCTCGCCTCCCCCATGCCCTTGTCCGTGCTACCACCACCACCCCGTCGCGACGACTCTCGAGTTGCCTCAAATGCCCCCTTCCGCGCTTCTCCCGCGCCCATCTCGCTCCCGCCAGGCCCCCATCGCCTGTTCACGCCCGCAACCCCCGCTGCTTTCACAGATTCGTTCTCGTTTCTTGCTTCCAGAGATTCCTTTCCGTTTCCCGCTCCCCTTGCAACAACGCTCACGCTCCACTGGTCCGCTTGGGAACCCGTTTCAGAGGCGCGCGTTTCCACCCAGCCCTCCGCGATCGGCGCGCGCGCGCGGAAGGAGCCCCACAGGACGACGCAAACGAGCAGCGGCAGCAGCAGCAGTGCGACGCCCAGCTGCGACTGTGCGACGGCGTGCGACGCCCAGCTGGAGAATCGCCCGGTGAGCTCCTCCTTCTTCGCCATGCCCTTGGCGAAAACGCGGCACCCTAGCGACGAAATGAACAGGATTTTCGCAGGCGGAGCCGGATCTGGAGGATAAACCGAGCAAGCCGATGAAATTCCTACCGAATTCACTAGCTAGTGAATGCCAAAGGTATCCAAACCTATAGAATCCGAACCTATAGAACCTATAGTATGCTAATATCAGGAAATGGAGATAACGAGCACGCCGCGAGCACAGTCAAGGGAAAGCAGCAGTTGCAGGTTTCCGAATCACGCGGGAAACGCCACCAGATTCCTATCCCGCCGCCCACGACGGCGCGTTTCCGCCCAGCCCGCTAGCGGCGAGCCTGCCAGCGGCGCCCCGCCCGCTTCCACGGTGCGCAAGACGCCAGCTTCGCAACCCCGCGAAGTTGCTGTAATGCCCAGGCTGGACCAGTCTGCTGCCTTGCCTGCAACGGCCGCGACTCGCGAAATGGTTACAAGGTCAAAATGGGTCGAAGGGAACCGATTATGCGCACCAAGACCACTCAGGTGGGTTTCTCCCTATTCCGATATATGGGGGTATCCAGGGCGTATGTTTCCCGTACATTATTTGCGGTGTAATGTAGTTTGTTTTGTCGGGGAGGGCGAAACAAAAAAAACGTTTTCCACCAGCTGGAACCGTCCTGAGCCGCGAAACATGACACTTTCGCACAACCAACAGACCAAAAGCATCTGTCAGACCAAAGAGATGACACAACTGTCCAGTTCCTGACACAAAATTGGCGGGAAACGGATGAATGACAGCGGCTTGGGTCTGTCACGCGGCTTGGCGAACATGCCCTTATAAAAAGCCTGTTCCGCTAACGTACACTTCGAAAACTATCTGAAGGTTTCCTGCCATGATACCCAGGCCCAGACCGCAATGCTGTCAGCAGGAGCCTCTAATGATTCCGCTTCGGTCCAGACCCCGCCAGCGACATAAGTCGCTCCTCGCAAGAGGACATGGATGCAGTCATCGGGCCTAGGGAGCACACTGAACAACGCCTGCAGAACAACGCCTAGAGGTATTTCGATTGACGCTTTTTCACCAGCTGCCTACTGAACCAGGACCAAAGCAACGACCCGCGACCTTGAAGACTTTCGTTTCGACGCGGAAATTCTCAATCAGCTTCCAACGTGTAGCCTTCGCTAGCCCAGATCATCGCATGGCTTACAACGGACACTCACCTCTTCCCAGCAACAAGAGTCTGTCAAGAAAAATATAACCATCCAGCAATTAGCTCTCCCATCACAGCGACAGACATACAGACTCGACTAATAAACTCGACTAGAAACCCAGCAACATCATCCCACTCCCCATCCCACTAACCCGACCCCAAGAATCATTCAATGGTAATTTAGGCGGCTTCCGTGGTTTGGCTACTCAGTAGTGGATTGGTTTGGTTGGTTCACTTGGCTTCAGGCAGGAGCTTCTTGAAATTATTCTTCGCAGGATAGAGCGTCGCAGGCTTCCAATCCGCGGGAATGACGTCAGCGAGAACAATAGTCTCATTCGTGTGCCCCGCGGTGAGGCGAACGCTCATCGCCTTCTTCGCGCCGGTTACCGCCTTCGCCTCCGCGCCAGCGAGCACCCACACGGCCGTGCTGCTGTCGCGCGCGAGCTTCGTCCACTTCTTCCCGCCGTCCGCGCTCACCTCGACGAGCTGCAGCGTGCCGGGCCCCGCCAGCCCCACCACCTGAATGCGGAAGTTCTCCGCCGTCGCGTTTCTCCGCACGCGCACGGCGGAGCCCTCGGCGGACGCGCAGTTGGTGCGCACGTACGTGACGTTGACGGGAGCCCCAGCGATGTCGGCCTGCACGATTTTCCCCCACGCCACGCGGGACAGCGACAGCTGATTCTCCGTCTTCACCTCGCCCACCACGCGCACCGTCACGGGCTTGTCGCGGCACCGCTTCGTGTCGTTCACGCAGCTCACCTTGTAACACGCGCCGCAGCGCTTTTGGAAGGCGGCAGGAGGAAGCTTCACGGTAAGACCCTTGCCGAAGAAGGGATTGGCGGTGTAGTTGCCGTAGTACGAGCACGTGGTATCCTTCCCCTGACTCATGCCGCCGTTGCTCCGCCTCGCGCTCGTCAACGTGAGTCTCACGCCGGCAGGTTCGACATGGATTGCGCCGACAGTCTTGTTTACGGCGGCAGTCACCGCGTTTACGACGCCAGTCACCGCGTTTACGACCGTAGTCGCGTTTATGACGGTCGTCGCGTTTTCTGCGGGAGTGGCAGCTGCGACGGAGAGGAGCACCGCGGAGGCGAGGCAGACGAAGAGAAAGGAGGCTTTGGTGGCGGTCTGGCTGAAACGAACCATTTTGACTGTAACGAGATGAAACGGGCTTACAGAGCTATTTTGTCTAATTGCATGCAGTGTGGACTGTGAGAACGATTTGAAGAGCTGATGAGATGATCGAGACTCGTCGTTACATTTATACTTCATTTGTGCAGCACTAAAGCCCACGTAGGTTCCCAAAATCCTCGTGAAGCCGCTGGAGCCTCTGCCTGGAAGTCCGCCGTGAGTTATGGGGAATCCAAAAGTGAGTTGGGATGGTTTGCTTGCTTCCGAGTAGATTGCGGCAAGTGTGGACGATTAGCATAATCGTAGCGAAAAGGTGTGAGCTGAACTGTCTGTCTGAAAGGCCGCCGTGAGTTGCGGGGAGGTAAGCTGGGCGCGGGTGGTTTGCTTGCTTGTGAGGAGCCTGCGGGGTGAAAGTACCGACTTGGCGATTGGATTTGCGAACAGACCATGAGTAGCGAAAAAAGTAGACCATGAGTTCGCTCACTCTGCCGCTCTACTGCGAATTTTGCGTGTTGCGTAACCTGCAAGTTGTTTCTTTTCGTCGACTCGCGCGACTCGAGAACGTACAATTATCTGCTCGCGCCGTGAAAGCGAGTATTGGATGAAACCGAATAGATGAAATGGAAAGCATCAGGTTCCCACTGCTAGTACAACTTCCAGCTCCTTTCCCCTCTGCTGTGGATAATTTAGCTCTTTCTTTATCAGCTTCCTCTGTGGTTAAAACTGCAATGCTGATCCTCAGTAGCACCAGCCTCCCACTCCTGCTATGGCCTTCATCTCACATTAACTCCGGTGTTGTTTCTCAGAAAGTAAACACTATGCAAGCCTACAACCATACAACGTTAGAGACCATAATAGTGGTGATGCTTCTGCCCTTTGCAGTCACAGGCAGAGTCAGGGGCATCTCATTATAACTTCGGGTGGCCACCACCTCTGCATCCTCGCTTTCAGACGTCCGCTGCACCTCCACCACACACGGTTGCGACCCGTCCATCAGCCCAAAAAAACTCAAATTTGAACGTAACACTGTAGTTGTCGCCATCTTGGTTCACTATATAAATCGAAAGAAAGTTCTTATCGGGGTTGAAGAACGACGCAATGCAGTGGTGGCACCCGTCGCTCGTGTCGATTCTCAGCGGCATGCTCCCCCGTGGCGACGCGCGAGCCATCTGCTTCATCAGGTAAAACTTCTTCGAAAACGTTATCTCCAGTGGCACGATCGTAGGGTCGGTCACATTGTCGTGCGTTATTGTAAACAGCCCCCACTTAGCAGAGTTGGGGTTATTAGGGAGGTATGGGTTGATCGCCTGCCAGTAAATCCAAGCTGATGCACCCATGATGTTGATCGCCTGGATTGCAGATCGCATCAGAAACAACCCCACGTCGGTGTCCGCTCCTCCCACCCACATCGGTCCAATCTCCGACACCCACACTTCCTTCCCCACACCCATGCCCATCCGCGCTAACCCAACATACAGCTTCTCCATAAACTCCCTTGTATCCGTGGTGGTGGGCGGCGGGGGGACATACCCATGCACAGAAATCCTCTTCAAATCGGATAGCAACCGCCCGGAAAACAGATTCGAGTTTCGCATCGTGAACCCGACAAAGCTGTCGAACCCCGCGATACGCGTGGGAAGCCTTTTCTCCTGCAGTGCACGCGCCACAGCCGTGCAAAGCCTATCCAGCTCAGCAGCAGTGTAACTGCACCCCTCGTGCCGCCCGCCCTGTGACCACCACCCTTCCAGCGGCTCATTCGCCGGATTCATCGTGCTGAACGTCACATTCCACTTGCGATGAAAATGGTCCACTATGGTCGCTAGATACTCTGCAAACTCGTCGTACCGATCCGGTGAGAGGTTCGACGCTCCTCCCACATTCCCCGCGGTGTCCCCACTGATGGTCATCCACCAAGGCGGGGAATACGCTATTGCCTCCACCTCATCTACACCGCGCTCCACCGCTCCCTTTAGCACCTTCCGCTGCCGCCAGTCCGCTGTCCAGTCGTACGGGCCGGCCTGTGTCGGCTTGTAGCCGGGGAGGTTGGTGTGGTGGAAGGTGTGTTTGGTGAGCTGCGGGCTGTTGCTGGCATTGAAGCTTGCGCCCAGCAGGTAACGCGCGAGGTTGAACCCGATGCTCGTGGCAGGTGAGAAGAGCAGGTCGAGAAGGGTTGTGAGCTGATCGTCTGGCAGCTTGCCAATGTAGTTGGCAGTCCTAGTGGGAGAGGGAGGGGCGCATGAGGGGGGAATGGGGAGTGGAAGCGCGAGGTTGATATTGATGACAGTGGAAGGTGGGAAGCGCAGGTCGAGGAGGGTTGTGAGGTGATCGTCTGGTAGCTTGCCAATGTAGTTGGCAGTCCTAGTGGGGGAAGGGGCAGGTGCAGAGGGGAAGGGGGAAGGGAGAAGAGGGAAGGGGGAAGGAAGTGGTAGCAGGAGAGGTTGAATCCGATGCTGGTGGGAGGCGAGAAGAGCAGGTCGAGGAGCGTGGTGAGCTGGTCTGGAGGTAGCTTCCCGATGTAATTTGCCTTCCTGTGGGAAGAGGGAGGGCAGAGCAGAGGAATGGGGGAAAGGAAGGGGAAGCGGGAAGGGGAAAGATGGAAGTGGGGAGAGGATAGGGAAGGAGGGGCGAGTTTGTGGGTGTGGGAGAGGGCGACGAGGGTGAGTGGGAGGTAGCTGGCCGAGGTAAATGGTCGACGAGGGGGCTGACCTGAAGGGGCAAGGCTAGGGAGAGGAAGAATGGAAGGGGGTGAAATCGAACAACAGGAGAGGAGGGCAAGGAAGAGGGTTGAAACTGGCGCATAAACTATCTCTGCCATGCAACCCCTTGCACTCTCAAGCGCACGCTGACGATCCCATACACTCACAATCCCGCGCACTCACAAGCCCATACACCAACAACCCCATGAATGACAACCCCACGAACTCACCACGCTATCATGCAACCATCAGGCTAGCTTAGACGTGTTCGTAAAGACGTGCTCTCTCGCACTCACCATGCAAAGGGGTGTTATCTCATCTCACCACGCCAAAGGCGTGCTCTCTCCCACTCACTCACAACCCCGTACACAGTGTTTATCCTGCGGTCATCATACGATCATGAAGGCGTGCTCTCTCCCTCTCACTCACAACCCCGTACACAGTGTTTATCCTGCGGTCATCATACGATCATGAAGGCGTGCTCTCTCACACTCACTCACAACCCCGTACACAGTGTTTATCCTGCGGTCATCATACGATCATGAAGGCGTGCTCTCTCCCACTCACTCACAACCCCGTACACAGTGTTTATCCTGCGGTCATCATACGATCATGAAGGCGTGCTCTCTCCCACTCACTCACCACCCCGTACACCGTGTTTATCCTGCGGTCATCATACGATCATGAAGGCGTGCTCTCTCCCACTCACTCACCACCCCGTACACCGTGTTTATCCTGCGGTCATCATACGATCATGAAGGCGTGCTCTCTCCCACTCACTCACCACCCCGTACACAGTGTTTATCCTGCGGTCACCATACGATCATGAAGGCGTGCTCTCTCCCACTCACTCATCACCCCGTACACAGTGTTTATCCTGCGGTCACCATACGATCATGAAGGCGTGCTCTCTCCCACTCACTCACCACCCCGTACACAGTGTTTATCCTGCGGTCACCATACGATCATGAAGACATGCTCTCTCCCACTCACTCACCACCCCGTACACAGTGTTTATCCTGCGGTCATCATACGATCATGAAGGCGTGCTCTCTCCCACTCACTCACCACCCCGTACACAGTGTTTATCCTGCGGTCATCATACGATCATGAAGGCGTGCCCTCTCCCACTCACTCACAACCCTGTACACAGCGTTTATCCTGCGGTTATCATACGATCATCAAGGCGTGCTCTCTCCCACTCACTCACCACCCCGTACACAGTGTTTATCCTGCGGTCACCATACGATCATGAAGGCGTGCTCTCTCCCACTCACTCACCACCCCGTACACAGTGTTTATCCTGCGGTCATCATACGATCATAAAGACATGCTCTCTCCCACTCACTCACCACCCCGTACACAGTGTTTATCCTGCGGTCATCATATGATCATAGAGACATGCTCTCTCCCACTCACCACGCCAACGAGGTGCCCCAGCCTCTCCAGGTCTGTCCACTGAGATCCGGACTGATGGTGATGCTGGCTGGGCCTGGGAGGCGGAGAGAGGGAGAGGGGGGGAGGGGACGGGGGAGAGAGGTGAGTTGAAGGTTTATACAGAATAATAGATGATTTTGGGGCTGGGCACGGAGGGGCAAGGAAGTGAGGGAGGGGGAAAGGAAGGGAAGAGAGGGGTAGGGGCAGGTATGTGCGGAATGGTGATGACTCTGGCTGGAAGGAGAGGAAGGGAAGAGGGGAAATGATTAGTGAGGGAAGAGGGCAGCTGACGTGGATTGGTGGACATTCCACATGCCATTGCACACTTTCGTACCACACCTGCTGTCACCACACCTGCTGTTCCTCATGCCATGGTGGAGGGGATCGCATATTAGCGCCTTGATGCAGTGTGAGTGTGCATCGCACTACCATATCCTTCTAGACCCTCTCAACCCATATCAGTTCAACAACCTCCCATCACTCCAAGTCACCACCCATCACCTCCCATCACCTCCGATCACCACCCATCACCGCTCATAACCGGCAGCCACCATGCAAGCCCTACCAGCGGAGCGGCACACGGTGATCACTTCATTGGGGGGGTTGAGGGTCGACGCCGCTACCGGCTCAGCTCGTCCCGGCCCCCTCAGTCCCCCTGCGCCACCCCCCGTTTCCCCCGCGCCTCCCCCGCCCTCCGCGCTACCCCCCGCCCCCTCCAGCGGCGCCCACACGGTGCTGGCGCGCGCCTTGTTGCGCGCCACGTCCAGCAGGTCGCGCCGCGTCGCCGTCTCAGGCGGCAACGCACTTGACTCGTCCCCTCCGCCACCGCCATTTTCTGCAGGAGTTTCGTGCGTGGAGGGCAGCACGGAGGGCTGCGCGGAGGGCAGCGCGAGGTGGTTGAAGCAGGCGGGGTCGAGGAGGGCGGGCGGAAGGAGCTGCGGAAGCAGCGCCTGCAGCGCGCACGAGTCCAGCTCCACCTCGCGCAGCGGCGGCGGCGGAGACGGAGAAGGGTCGTCGAGGGGAGCACTCTTCGCGACGCCTGCGGCGGCGTCGCTCGGTTGCTGCTGTGCGACGAGCAGGCGAATCGGGGAGCGCGACGCGAGCGACTGTTCTGGGTGCGACGAGTCGCCCGAGTCGCCGCTGAGATCGTTTAAGCTGTTGAAAAATGGGTGTAGAGACGAGGCGGACGGTAGGGACGAGGCGGGGATGGCGAGGGTGGCAGAGGCGGCGGAGGCGGCGGAGGAGCGGTTGCGGTCGGCGTGGGCGGCGCGAGCGAGGTCGACGGCAGATAACAAGGAGAGGAGCAGCAAGCAGAGCGCGGATACCGCGGAGAGGTGCGTGGCTGGGGCGATGCGGAACCGCGCAGGATGTGCCTGGCGTGGCGGAAGGGGGTGAAGGGGAAGGATGTGGGGCGGAGCCATGTGCGCTGCGGCAGCGCCCACTGTCCGACAGTCCGTCCGACAATCTGTTCCTTCTGTCGGTCGCGGAGCATCACAGTGGTTCACGCAGCGGTAAAATGTTACTGTTACTCATCACCGCCGTGGTTCACGCCGCGTCGCGTTGCCGTCCATTGCGCCTTGGACGTTCGCCTAATAAGGAGGTGACATTTACGTCTGTCGCAACCTCAGATTGTGAGCTTCACACCTCGCGGGGACTATCGGCGTCATCGGCAGAAGCGTGCGGCTCAGCTTGAGCAATGAAAGGAATGCTATCATCGGTGCAAAGAGTGGGCGGCTCTCCGCGTTGCGGCCAGCTCACGATGAGCGTCGCTGCTGTCAGAATCCCAGTCACTAACCACTGGGATAAAAGGGCTTGTTTACATAGCGGGTGAGTGCGCCCATAACCCCCCAGGCCAACGTGCCTGTAACCCTTCCCTAGGATCATCGGGGATCACCAGTGGACCTCTGACACCCCCCCGCACTGGGATGCCCGAAGTGCACACACCGGGATTCGAACTCGAGACCTTCGCTCTGATACCATGTCAGAATCCCAACCACTAACCACTGGGATAAAAGGGCTTGTTTGTATAGCGGGTGAGTGCGCCCATAACCCCCCAGGCCGACATGCCTGTAACCCTTCCCTAGGATCAATCGGGGATCACCAGTGGACCTCTGACACCCCCCCGCACTGGGATGCCCGAAGTGCACACACCGGGAATCGAACCCGAGACCTTCGCTCTGATACCATGTCAGAATCCCAGTCACTAACCACTGGGATAAAAGGGCTTGTTTACATAGCGGGTGAGTGCGCCCATAACCCCCCAGGCCAACGTGCATGTAACCCTTCCCTAGGATCATCGGGGATCACCAGTGGACCTTTGACAGCTGCGTCGCTGGCTGAACTCAAAATGTCGGCGTACGCGGCGCAATCGATGGTGTAATACCCTATCTCGGCGGATAAATTACGGATTCGAGTCGCGAGCGAGGGGACTGGACTGATACTCTTTGTCCTGATGTAGGGTCACCCTGCTCGCTGGGCCCGCGTCGCGTCTTCCCCTTCAATTGGCTCGGCCAAAAGGCAGTGTCTGCAGTGCCTGTAATCGGCGGCCGAGCCGCGGAGTGGAGACAAAGTTCATGCATCGCGACGTGATTGGCTCCGCACCGCACAGATCAGGTTATCGAAGAAAATGCGGCTGGGAACAAGCGGACATTTCTGAGGCGAGGTTCATTCATCCCCAAACCTCGCCCTTCTGGGCGGTAAAATATCGCGCTACAAGAACTGTAATGACGAAGGTCAAATAAGGCATACTGCACTACCCTATTTCTAAGAAAATTCCAGCTCATATTCAATAGCATATTTTTAGCAGCATAGTTCAATCTATGAATATACTGAGGAAAGAGATGGTCTTATTGCAGTTGTATCCTTGACAACGAAATTATTTAATCGATTTTTTGTGTTTGTGTAAAGACATATACGTAACAGGTGTTACAAAAATATCGCGTTAGGTTATGCTAAAGTCTGTTGCCCTAGGGTACAATGTATCTCATGCCCTTTAAAGCTGCACATATATATGTTGTCAAATTAGGTTATGTAAAGTCTGTTGCCCTAGGGTACAATGTATCTCATGCCCTTTAAAGCTGCTTGAGGCCGCTTTTTAGCGGCGCGAAATCAGCCCGGTCGACAACTATCTAGGGCTGAAAATCGCACGCGACAGGCCGGCGAGCAAGTTGTGGCTTCACCAGTAAGTCGACGTCGACAAGCTGCGCAGACGCTTCGTCGATGAGGAGCAGACCGGGCGAGTGCCGAAAATGCCGGTCTCCGTCGACGCATGTGTGGAGTTGACGTTCGACGGCAGGAGGCACGATCACGTGATGAGGAGGAGTATCGGCAAAAGGTCGGTTCACTGTAGTTCGCAGCGACGACGACGAGGCTGAACATTGCCTTCGCGTGCAGCACGCTGGGCATGTCAAAATAGTAGGTATGGCTAGAGCCACTAGCCTAGGGTTAAGGCTAGGTAAGGGAGAGAAGTTCAAGCAAAGGAGGGGTTCACTATGGAAAGACAAGTACAAATAGAATGAGCAAGACAAGGTGGTGCACCACCACCAAACATGAGGCAGCTACACTAACACTACAAACAATTATACAAAATATGGGCAACATATTTTGACACGCACCCATAATTGTTTGCAGGGATAAGTGTAGCAACGCCCCCTGAAGGGGTACACCATGCAGTGTGTAGCAGAAGTGGGGGCAAGCGAAGTGGAGGGACTGTGAGAGGAGTGGAGATAGGAGGCGACAGGTGAAGCCACAGTCACACGGGCAACAAGTTTGGCGCGCACAGTGGCTACCGAGCGCACGAGGGCACCGGACTACGGGAGTATCTGGCTCCGCGGCTACGACGAGCGGCAGGAGCAACGGACCCACAGGCGACTGGCGAAGCAGACTCACTGAGCTACCGAGAGCACGGGGGCTCCGGACTACTGGCGCTGCGGACGACACGACGGCAACCTCCGCTCAACCTCCCCTAACAGTCCCACACCCCCTTTTCACACACCCCCTTGCTGCACCCCTAGCTCTACTCCCACAACACCCCCCTAGCGCCACTCCCTCGGCTCCCACACATCCCCCCCCCCCGGCGGTAGCTGCAGCAGTGGGAGACGGAGTAGGAGGAGGAGCAGGGAACGGCTCACACGCCCGCCACTCCCATAGCCGCCACCCCAAGATCCAAACGCAGGCGGGGCGGGGCGGGTAGCAGTTGGGGCGGCGTGCGAGCGGAAAGCAGGGCAGGGCGCGGGTCCCTGGGGCGCTGCGACGGGCAACTAACAGGGTGGCGCGCGGGCCCCCAGGGCGCCACGACGGGCAATGGGAGGGGGCGACGCGCGGGCCCCCAGGGCGCTGCGACGGACGACGGGAGAGGGGGCGACGCGCGGGCCCCCAGGGCGCCACGACGGGCGACGGGAGGGGGCGACGCGCGGGCCCCCAGGGCGCCGCGACGGGCAATGGGAGGGGGCGACGCGCGGGCCCCCAGGGCGCCGCGACGGGCGACGGGAGGGGGCGACGCGCGGGCCCCCAGGGCGCCGCGTCGGGCGACGGGAGGGGGGCGACGCGCAGGCCCCCAAGGCGTCGCGTCGGGCGACGGGAAGGGGGGGCGACGCGCAGGCCCCCAAGGCGTCGCGATGGACGACGGGAGGGGACAGCGCGCGGGGCCCTGGGGCGCCACGACGAGTGACGAAATCGCCGCGCGCGCCCGGTGAGCGTGGCAGGCAGGAAGCTGCCATGCGCCCCGAGCGCGTGGCGGGCAGAAAACCGACGCGCGCTCCGGGCGCGCGACGGGCAGCAGAGAGGCCCATGAGCGGAAGCGTAGTGGTGAGCCCTCTGAGACAGGTCCTAGGAAAAACCTCTCTCTGATAGCATGTCAAAATAGTAGGTATGGCTAGAGCCACTAGCCTAGGGTTAAGGCTAGGTAAGGGAGAGAAGTTTAAGCAAAGGAGGGGGTTCAAAGACAAGTACAAATAGAATGAGCAAGACAAGGTGGTGCACCACCACTAAACATGAGGCAGCTACACTACAGACAATTATATGAAATATGGGCAACATATTTTGACAGGGCAGCTGCTCGACAGTGCGGAGCGACAACCACTAGCGCGAGATTGACCGCTGTCTGCACCACCTCACTGAAACCCGTGACGTTGCTCTGGATTTTGGCAGCAGACCAGATGCGCTGTGTCTGGTTGGCTATGCAGACGCCGACGACGTGGGTGACAAGCAGAATTGGACGAGCACGGACGGCTATGTGTTCGTTCTTGGAGGAGCCGCAGTTTACTGGTCGAGCCAGTGCATCAAGTGCACGACGCCCTGAGTCGGAGTACGTCGCGACCACGGAAGCTGGCAATGAGGCACGTCGTCTGCGCTTTCTCCTTGCAGAGTTCAAACTGCTCGATGCAGGGAAGCTGACTGTGCTGGACGTGGACAACCAGTCGACCATCATTGTTGCAGAAGGTTTAAGGCTCAAGGGCAAACTAAAGTACATGGAGCGGCGCTACGCCTGGTTGTAGTAGATGGTGAAGCGCGGCAAGATTGCTCTTCAGTACCTTCCGACCACCAAGCAGCCGGCAAACTTTCCGACGAAGGCGCTGCATATTCCGCCCTCAACCTGTGCTCCGTTGTAATCGGCCAAGTGCATGTGACGGACGTTGGCGACGGGGATGACGAGGTGCAGCAGTAGGTGCCGTGCCCTTCTGCACGGCTGGTATGGTGAACTGCGTGCCATATGTTGGGTGCATGTAGATAGAGTTTGTTCTTGTATTCTATCCCTTGAGTTCTGGGTAAACCTAGTGTGTGGGGTGCCCGAGGGTGAGCGAGGCATGGGAGTGTCGAAAAGAAAGGCCTCGACTTCGCTTGGGCGCAGCTGATCTCCCCGTCGACGAGAAGTTCGCGACGGATTGGTCGACAAAGCGGGCTTCTGCAGTCTACAGAAGTTGCAGTCGAGCAGACTCTGCTCGATCGAATCTGGTCGACATCGTCAACGAGCAGCGCTGGTCGAAGACATCGATCGACAAAGCCCGTCGAGATGTTTTGGTTGATTAGGCCCGTAGAGGAGCTCTGGTCGACGATTCTGGTCAAAGAGCTCTGGTCGACGAGCTCTGCTTGATGAACTCTGGTCGACGAGCTCTGCTCGAGGAGCTCTGGTCGACGAGCACCATCGTGCTGATCAGCCGAATTCGCAGAGGTGCGCAAAACTCTGCGGAGGCATGCGAAACTTCGCCTAGGAGGTTTTGGCGAAGTTCGACCTACGGAACGGCAGCACCTGCTCGGCTGTTAGCACCTTGCGAAACTGACAACACATTTTTACGTGGCACCTGCACAATGTGCCCGGAGATGAAACCGTCAACCTGCACTTACTTGATAGGTGCGCACATCTACGCAGATAGACACTTCCGACTGTAGATAGGCACATGCAACTGCAGTGCTGGCAGATCGTGTGCAGTGCAACGCTGGCAGATCGCTCTGCTGAAGCGTTGGTAAGCCGCTCTGCTGAAGCGTTGGTAAGCCACTCTTCTGCTGCGTTGGCAGAGTTTGCTCTGCAGAGTGCTTGCTAGGGGTTGCATGTCATTCGAGCCATGTCATCTTGCATGCCTCATTTGTACTCTAATGTTTTCGATATTATTTCAATTTCCTTAGTGAAACTCTTGCCAATCTTCTCTCTGAACACAGTAAGTAATAAGAACGCTAGTGCAACGCTGCGATCACTCGCACAACCCCGTGCCCTCCTCCGTAGTTTACTCCCGTTGTGTAGTAACTCTCCGTAGTAGCGAAGGTGTGGGTGCGGTCCGAGAAGAGATCATAGGCTCTGAATATAAAGTGTTACGAGTGCAATCGAGCAAGCGAGCGAGGAATGCACTATCAAAGCAAACTGCATATTGAGCGAAGGCATGAGCGAATAATATACAGCGAAGCAAGAATGGTAACGGTAATGTGTGAAAATGGGATGCGATACGGGCCTGGCGCCGAGGTTGGGAAATGTCGAGGCGGAGGTCCGGAGCGCGGGTTACCAACCGAGCCGTGTGGTTGGGCCACGTTGTGAACAGTGGGGAACGGTGGTCGAGGCGAGTGTCGCGAGTGGTAACGGTGTACTGTTGGGAACTATTGGCGGGAACAATGGTGTACGTGGTAAGTAGGGGTGCGAACTAAGGAAATAGAATTTTTCCTGACACCAAGCTACGGTCGCGGAGTCGCGAGATGGTTGGGTGGAGGCTCGGGGTTGGGAAACCCGAAGGCGACGCGATGGTGGTTCGGAAGGCGAGGTCGTTGGACCGAGCCTGCTCTTCCAAAACCGGAGTTGTACGCGTGACCTAGTAAGGGCGTGTTACATTTCTTAAAGCCGTAAAAGTCCGGACCACCGTCTGAAAACGGTTCAGATTTTGAACATCTGACAGTCCGAATCCAGCGTCCGGATTAAGCCTCGTCCGACGCTGTTTATGAAAACATTTTTAGGCTACTAAGGTAATCGTATTTGCGACGTTGTAACCATGATTACGACGTTGTGTCGATTAAGGTAACAGCAAGGCGATTTGAAAAATTTTGCTCGTCAACCAATAAAATTGCATTAATGCAACGTCTGTCCACTTACTGAACGGTAACGTCCGTTCGATTTGGAAGGCAATTTAATGCAAAATGTTTCATCAGCGGTCCGATCGTTAACGACATCGCAACTAATTTAACGAAAAAATAAGCGAACGCAAACGAAAGAAGTAACCACCAAAATGTTCGGACGACGGCCCGTCCGGACGGTCTGAAGTGAAAAATGTAACAAGCCCTAAGGAATTACATAAAATTTCTTGAAGTGGGCCTGGGTCCGGACGATGGAGAGTGGAAAATGAACGCGCCCTTATGGAACGAACGTGATTCTGGTCTGTGTACAAACGTCGGTCAGTGTCAGCCTCGTTGACTCTGGTTCCAGTTCGGTGAGCTCTCGAACCTTCGCCAAACCTCAGGCTAGGAGGCTCACCGACAGCACGACTCTTCTCGCACAGTCGCATCGCATCGCTCACTCGGTAATCCGTGTTCGCAAATTTCCGCCTGCCGTCTTTCGGTCGCTCATATCGGCACTACACTACGGAGATAAACGGATCCGTTCGCACATGCGACGATGTTCTGAGTTCGGCTCGGGTGGAGATGATACTGTAGTGTAGACCAGTGGTGTTGTGCCTGACTTGCCAGCAACGCGCAGAGTTTCTTGTGATGCGCTTTGGACAGTAAGCGTGCGCTTTTGACGCCGAGAAACCCGCGGGCACCGAACGCGTGGGATGGTGCCTCCTAATTTACCTGAAACGCGCCTTAGACGGCGAACTCGTCATATACCGTGGCCTGAAACAGTTCTAATCTCGGAACGGAAACAGTAACAGTGACAGTTAGTAGACAGCGGGGCAGACGACCGTCACGGCCGCGCATGGCTCCGCCGCACAACCTCCCCCTTCACTCCTCACGCGGCTTCTCCATCCGCGCAGCCGCGCGCCTCTCGGCGGTGTTATCCGCCGCGTGCTGCGCGCTGCTTCTCGATTCCGCCGCCTCCGGCGCCGCCCCCGCGTCGTCCCTAGTACCGTCCGCCCGGCACGCCGTTTCATCTCTTCACCAGCCGGCATCGGCCGACGATGAGTCACCGTTGTCGTCAAATTACGGCTCGACCGTCTTCCCTAGTACCGCCTGGTCGTTGCTACACCCGTTTCTCGACTTAGACAAATCAGACAATCTCAGCGGCGACTCGTCGCGAATAGAACAGTCGCACGCGACGCGCTCTCCGCCGCATCGCCTGCTCGTCGCACAGCAGCAGGCCAGCGTCGCCGCTGCCGCCGCGAGCGTCGCGACGAGTGCTCGCGTCAACAAGCCTCCGCCGCCGCCTCCGCCGCCGCCGCCGCCGCCGCCGCTGCGCGAGGTGGAGCTGGACTCGTGCGCGCTGCAGGCGCTGCTGCCGCAACTCCTCCCCCCCTCCCTCCTCGACCCCGCCTGCTTCAACCACCTCGCGCAGCCCTCCGCGCAGCACTCCGCGCTGCACTCCGCGCTGCACTCCGCGCAGCCCTCCCCCGCGCTCGACTCCCCCCCGCACGGCGGTGCGTCCACGTCTCCGCTCAGCGACAGCGCCGGCAGCGGCAGCGCAGCGGCTGCAGCAGCGGCGGCAGCGACAGGGGCGGCAGCGGCAGCGGCGGAAGCGACAGGGGGGGACAGCGACGAGCCTGAGACGGCGACGCGGAGGGATCTGCTGGACGTGGCGCGCAACAAGTGGCGCGCCAGCACCGTGTGGGCGCCGCTGGACGCGGAGAGCAGCGCGCAAGGCGCGGGAGGCGCGGGGGGAACGGGGGGCGCGGGGGTAATGGGGGGCGCGGGGGTAATGGGGGGCGCGGGGGTAATGGGGGGCGCGGGGGTAATGGGGCTAACAGAGGGCGCGGGGGTAATGGGGGGAACGGGGGGACCGGGACGAGCGGTGCCGGCAGCGTCAGCGTCGACCCTCACTCCCCCGAATGAAGTGATCACTGTGTGCCGCTCCGCTGGTAGGGCTTGCATGGTGGCTGGTGGTGATGGGCGGTGTGGTGAGTTGGCGATGGGTTCAGATGGGTTGAGATGGGAGGAGAAGGTTAGGTTATGGCCGTACGGATGGACAGTCCCACTGAGTCACTGCCTGGAGGCTCCTAGCCCGCACACGCATGGCGTGGCAGGAATTGTGGTGACAGCACAGGAAAGTGTGGAATGACAGCATGACACGTGGCATGTCCATCAATCCACCTCAGCTGTTTTCTTCCCTTTCTTCTCAACTCTTCTTCATATGCTCCCGTTTTCCCCTTCCCCGCTCCCGTTTTCCCCTTCCCCACTCCCCTTTGCCAGCGTAACCATCATCCGTCCCTCACTCTCCCTCGTTGCCACCCCCAGCCAGCATCATCACCGTGGACAGCAACTGCGCCCTTACCTTCCCTCCCGTCTCCCTCTCTCTTCCTTCCTTCCCCGCTCCCCTCGCTCCCCTGTCTCTCCATGCCCCCGCCACCATCACCATCGGTCCACACGTCCTTCCATGCACGCCTGACCAGAGCCCGCGCCCTCCCCCACTTCCTTTTCCCCCTCCTCCAATCCAACCTCTCCCTTCTCTCCCCTGCTTCCCCCCCCCTGTCTGCCAGGTCCAGCTACCATCACCATCAGTCCGGATCTCAGTGGGCAGACCTGGAGAGGCTGGGGCACGTCTTTGACGCCTTCTCTCTTCTCCCCCTCTCCCCCTCTCCCCCTCTCCCCCTCTCCCCCTCTCGCCCTCTCGCCCTCTCGCCCTCTCGCCCTCTCCCCCTGTCCCCTCCATCTCTCTCCCGTCTCTCCCGTGCTCCCCCCTGTCTGCCAGGTCCAGCTACCATCACCATCAGTCCGGATCTCAGTGGGCAGACCTGGAGAGGCTGGGGCACCTCGTTGGCATGGTGAGTGGGTTGAATGGGCCCCTGAGTAGCATGGGCCTCTGAGTTGCATCGGGCCCTGAGTTGCATGATATAGGCGTCAGCGTCAACCCTCTTCTTTGCTCTTCTCTTCCTGCCATTAAGTTTCACCTTGTTTGCTTGTTCCACTCTCTTGTCCCTTGCCCTCCCCGCCTTGCCCTTTCCTACCCCTCTCCCCTCAACCTGCTCTTCTCGCCCTCCCAGAACATTAAAATAAGCTCCTCCCTCGCGCACCCCCTCCCTCCCCCCCCCCCCTTCCTCCCCCACACACCTGGATTGCCAACTACATTGGCAAGCATCATTTCATCTCACCTCCCTCCTCGTCCTGATCCTTTCACACCCCCCAGAGCTTCAGACCGAGCCTCGGATCAAGCCCCCCCTGCCCTCTCCCTGCCTTCCGCCTGCCTCCCTCTGCCCCCTCGTACCCCTCCCCTCCCCCCGCTGCCCTCTCTCCCCCACCAGGACTGCCAACTACCTCGGCAAGCTACCCTCAGACCTGCTCTTCTCGCCGTTCCTCGAGCCTCACATTATGCTACCTGCGCTCCCCCTGTCCTTCCCTCTCCACCCCACCCCCACGCTGCTCGCCCTCCCCCCTAGGGCTGCCAACTACATTGGCAAGCTAACCCCAGACCAGCCCACCACGCTCCTCGACCTGCTCTTCTCGCCGTTCCAGAGCCTCACATTATGCCTCCTTCGCTCCCCCTGTCCTTCCCCCTCCCCCAACCTCACCCTGCCCGCCCTCTCCCACCAGGACTGCCAGGCAAGCTACCGGACGATCAGCTCACCACACTCCTCGACCTGCTCTTCCCACCTTCCACCCGAATCGAGTTCAACCCCGTTCGCAAACACTTCCTTCCTCCTTCCCCCCTTCTCCCTCCCCCTTGCCGCTTCCCCCTTTCCCCTTCCCCCTTCCCCCTTTCCCCTTCCCCCTTCTCCCTTTCCCCTGCCCCTGCCCCTTCCCATCACACCAGGACTGCCAACTACATTGGCAAACTACCAGACGATCAGCTCACCACCCTTCTCGACCTGCTCTTCTCCCCCACCACGGGCATAGGGTTCAACCTCGCCCTTCCACTCCCCATTCCCGCCTCATGTGCCCCTTCCCTCCCCCCAGGACTGCCAACTACATAGGGAAATTACCTGACGACCAACTGACCACCCTGCTCGACCTGCTCTTCTCCCCCACCACGGGCATCGGGTTCAACCTCGCGCGCTACCTGCTGGGCGCAAGCTTCAATGCCACCAACAGCCCACAGCTTACCAAAGACACCTTCCACCAGACCAACCTCCCCGGCTACAAGCCGACACAGGCCGGCCCGTACGACTGGACGGCAGACTGGCGGCAGCGGAAGGTGCTGATGGGAGCGGTGGAGCGCGGTGTAGATGAGGTGGAGGCGATAGCGTATTCCCCCCCTTGGTGGATGACCATCAGTGGGGACACCGCGGGGAACGTCGGCGGCGCGTCGAACCTCTCACCGGATAGGTACGGCGAGTTTGCCGAGTATCTAGCAACCATAGTGGAGCATTTCCGGCGGGAGTGGAATGTGACGTTCAGCACGATGAATCCGGCGAATGAGCCGTTGGAGGGGTGGTGGCAGCAGGGGGGGAAGCACGAGGGGTGCACGTTTACCGCTGCTGAGTTAGAGAGGTTGTGCACGGCCGTGGCGCGTGCGCTAAAGCGGAAGAAGCTTCCGACGCAGGTCGCGGGGTTTGACAGCTTTGTCGGGTTCACGGTGCGAAACGCGAAGACGTGGACCGGGCAGCTGCTGTCCAGCCTGAAACGGATCTCCGTGCATGGGTATGTCCCTCCACCGCCCACCACCACGGATACCAGGGAGTTTATCGAGCAGCTTTATGTGTGGTTGGCAAGGGTGGGGATGGGTGTGGGGAAGGAAGTTTGGGTTTCGGAGATTGGGCCGATGTGGGCGGGAGGCGAGGACACCGACGTTGGGTTGTTTCTAATGCGATCGGCGATTCAGGCGATCAACATCATGGGCGCTTCGGCGTGGATTTACTGGCAGCCGATCACCCCGGACCTCCCGACAAACCCTAATTCGTTCCGGTGGGGGCTGCTCACGATAAAGCACAACGGCGTTTCGGATCCTACGGTCATTCCGCTGGAAATGTCGTTTTCGAAAAAGTTTTTCATGATGAAGCAGATGGCGCGCGCGTCGCCACGAGGGAGCGTGCCGTTGAGGATTGATACGAGTGGCGGGTGCCACCACTGCATTGCGTCGTTCTTCAACCCCGATAAGAACTTCCTCTCAATTTATATAGTGAACCAGGATGGCGGGGACTACAGTGTAACGTTTAATTTCGAGTTTTTTGGGCTGATGGATGGGGCGAGCCTGTGTGAGGTGGAGGTGCAGCGGACGTCTGAAAGCGAGGATGCAGTGGTGGTTTCTACTGATAGTTTTACTGAAATGCCGCAGACTCTGCCTGTGACCGCAAATGGCAGAAGCCTCACTACTATAATGATTTCCAATGTTGTATGGTTGTAGAGTTGCAAAATGCTTTCCCCCCAACGAACAAGGGATCCTGGAGTTAGAATGGGATGAAGCTAACAGGAGGAGTTGGTGGGATGGTGGTATTGATGAGACAGGGAGCCGCTTTGGTGGTGGTGGATCATACTGGACGTAGGTTCCCACGATGCCTATACTAGTATACTACTGGAAAGTTGCTTGTGTTCCATTTCATTCTATGCTAGCGTCTTTTCTGTGTCTACACGCCTAGAACCAGGATGATATTTCATCAAATGCGAGAATGCGGGAGATTTCACAGTGCGACTCGGTATAATTGTAAATTATTGTGTCCATCGAATCGACGAAACATATTCCAGGTTACGCGACACGCAAACTTCGCATCAAGCCCACGAAGTTCCTTTCCCACAAAATTCCTTCTCCCCGCCATTCAAACCTCTTCGCCACCATTATGAGAATCGCCCTCACTTGCCGCTAACTCCTCAGAAGCAAGCAAACCACCGGGACTCACTTTTGAATTCCCCGTAACTCACGGCGGACTTCCAGGCAGAGGCTCCAGCGGCTTCACTAGGATTTGGGAACCTACGTGGGCTGTAGTGTGCTGCACAAATGAAGTATAAATGTAACGATGAGTCTCGCTGATCCCATCAGCAATTCAATCGTTCTCTCACTGTCCACACTCCATACGTTAGAAACGAACATCTGTAAACCCGTTTTCAGCTTCTCATTAAAAACATGGCTCGTTTCAGCCAGATGGCCGCCAAGGCCTCCTTTCTCTTCGTCTGCCTCGCCTCCGCGGTGCTCCTCTCCGCTGCATCTGCCACTCCCGCCGCAAACTCGACTGCTGCCGGCGCCAAAGCGACTCCCACCGCAAACAAGACTGCCGCTGCAAACGTGACTCACCCAAACCGCGTCGGAGCCGCCGGCGTGAGCCTAACGTTGACGAGCGCGAAGCGGAGCAAAGACATGAGCCAGGGGAAGGATACCACGTGCTCGTACTACGGCAACTACACCACCAACCCCTTCTTCGGCAAAGGCCTTACCGTGAAGCTTCCTCCCGCCGCCTTTCAACAGCGCTGCGGCGCGTGCTACAAGGTGAGCTGCGTGAACGACACGAAGCGGTGCCGCGACAAGCCCGTGACGGTGCGCGTGGTGGGCGAGGTGAAGTCAGAGAATCATCTGACGCTGTCCCGCGTGGCGTGGGGGAAAATCGTGCAGGCCGACATCGCCGGCGGGCCAATCAACGTCACGTACGTGCGCACCAACTGCGTGTCGATCGTGGGCTCCGCGGTGCGCGTGCGGCGGAACGCGACGGCGGAGAACTTGCGCATTCAGATGGTGGGGCTGGCGGGGCCCGGCACGCTACACCTCGTCGAGGTGAGCGCGGACGGCGGCAAGAAGTGGACGAAGCTGTCGCGCGACGGCAGCACGGCCGTGTGGGTGCTATCCGGCGCGGAGGCGAAAGCGGTAACCGGCGCGAAGAAGGCGATGAGCGTTCGCCTCACGGCGGGACACACGCTGGAAGTGATCGTTCTCGCTGACGTCATTCCCGCGGATTGGAAGCCTGCGACGCTCTACCCTGCGAAGGCAAACTTCAAGAAGTTGATGCCCGAAGCCAAGTAGTATCAAACCAAGCTGAATGAGGTTTTAGAATTCTCAAAACTCGATTCGTGAAGCTGATGCCTGAAGCCAAGTAGTAAACCAAGCCGAGTAAAGCCAAGCTGAAGACACCTAGAATGCACCACGACGGATGTCTGAACGCTATGATTTAGAGGCGTGACCTCTAGTTAACAGGAACTCTAGGTTGTACTAAGCAGTAGAGCACTCTTGTAGCTTTCCAACGAGCCGTAGATCACCTCGAACGCCCAAGTATCGAGTGAGATATAGCTGTTTATGTGCTAGGTAGTGCCCTTAGACTCAAAGATAGGAGCTCTCTGGATTTTGGTCGAATTGCACTGTGTACAATGAACTCTGTTTTTCAGTATGAAACATGCATACAAGTCGAGCACATTTATAGCAACTGGAATTTCTCGAATCGCACATGTAACATTCTAGGCACTACGAGGTGTATCGCGAACATTCGCGTAACAAATTCGAAGGGGTGAAATTCGGTACCCGAATTTCACCGAACCGAATTTCTCTTCAACCTCGATTCTTCATGATGCTGCCATGTGGCATCACTTGAGTGGGTCTTCCAAAGTCAACCCACAACTTCACGAAACCTGCAATGAACACATTCGGAAGCAACACATTCGGTGGTTGGGGGCAAACCCCCCCCCCACACGCAACCTCCAACACTCCCCCTTGCACCCAAGCCACTAGAAGTTCAATCCAACACGCTCACAGCATGCACGGAATGAATCCTTAGGGAGTGGTTTGGTGAGGAAGTCCGCGGGTTGAGCTTTGGTGCTTATGAAAGTGAGTTTGACCTCACCCTTCTCAACCGCCTCACGAATGAAGTGATGCTTCACTTCAATGTGCTTGGTTCGCCCGTGAAGGACGGCGTTGTGAGAGAGGCTTATGGCGGCTTGGTTGTCACAAAAGAGAGGAATTGGCTTCGTTTGAGGATGCCCAAGCTCCGCTAGAAGACGCCGTAACCATATCGCCTCCATGGCACCTTGAGTGAGTGCCATATACTCCGCTTCCGTTGAGCTTAGAGCCACGGTAAGTTGCTTCTTGCTTTGCCAACTCACGGCTGCCCCAAGCAAGGTGAAGACGTACCCGGAGGTACTCTTGCGCGTGCTCGGATCTCCCGCGTAGTCCGAGTCTGCATAACCCTTGAGTTCAATTGGGCCGGCTTCATACACGAGCCCCAAGTTAGGTGTGCCTTGGAGGTAGCGTAGAACGCGTCCTCCCGCGCGTACATGCTCGGTATGAGGGTTGCTCACGACTCGTCCAAGCACCCCGGCGGCGTATGCGAGGTCGGGACGAGTAGAAACGGCGGCATACATGAGCGAGCCCACTAGCGAATGAAACCGCTTCCCTTCGGCTTCATCGAGGGTGGATTCTTCCTCTCCCGTGAGGCAAGAGAACCCCGTAGCTAGTGGTGTTCCCACCGGTTTGCTATTGCCCATGCCGAAGCTCTCCACTACCCCCTTCACATACTTCTCTTGATGGAGGTGGATAGTCCCGTTGGCTCGGTCACGGTCAATGTGCATCCCAAGGTAGTACGTGACCGGCCCCAAGTCCCTCATAGCAAACTCCGCCCCTAGCCGTTTCTTGACCTCCTGAATGAGGTCCTTGGAGTCGGAGAAGAGGAGTAAGTCATCGACGTAGAGCAAAAGCACCAATTGCTTCTCCCCCTCCTTCAACACGTACAAAGCGCTATCGCACTCGCTACGCGCGAAGCCGTGTTGAAGAAGAAAGTCGTCGATGCGCTTGTACCATCCACGCGGACTTTGCTTCAAGCCATAGAGGGTACGCTTGAGCTTCCACACCCTTCCGCTACCGTCATCGTACCCCGGGGGTTGCCGCATGTAGACTTCTTCCATAAGAAGCCCGTAGAGGAAGGCGGTGCAAACGTCCAATTGCTCCACCTCGAGGTTAAGCGATGCCGCTAGCGCGAGCAACACTCGAAGAGTTGTAGCCTTGGCGACGGGAGCGAAGGTCTCACTATAATGCTCCCCCTCCCGTTGAGTGTACCCTTGAGCTACAAGCCGCGCCTTGTAGCGTTCGACACTCCCATCGGCTCCCAACTTCTTCTTAAGCACCCATTTGCACCCCACCAAGTAGGCACCCTTCGGCGGGTCGACGAGCTCGAACACGTCATTCTCCTTGATCGATGCTAGCTCCTTCTCCATCGCTTGCTTCCATAGCGGCGCATCCGGAGAAGCCAAAGCCTCCGTGTGGGTGCGAGGGTCATCTCTCATGGTGGCGAAGCAATATGCCGCACGCTCCTCATCCAACTCCCCAACGGCTACCGTAGCGTAGTCGGCTAACTTCGTGTTGGGGCGAGGTGTACGACGCCCACGGGTCAACGCCAATGGTAGGGAAGAAGGTGCGGAGGAAGTTGCCTCCTCGGTTGGTGGCACCTCCACGACATCGTCATCGCACTCCTCGTTCTCTCCCCCTCCATTCTCGGCTTCCTTCTCTTGCGATGGAACCTCCACCGCTTCATCTTCCTCTCGTGCGGGAAGTACGACGGTGAGTTGCGGCGTTGGTTGTTCCTTCGTCGGAAACTTGTCTTCGTCGAACACCACGTCTCGAGATGTGACGACGCGCCTTTCACCCAAGTCCCACACGCGCCACGCACGCTCGTTCGCCGCAACTCCCAAGTAGATTGCCGCACGAGCCTTCGGTTGCAACTTGTGACGAAGGGGATCCGGTACATGGTAGTAGCAAAGGCACCCAAAGGTGCGTAGGCGGGATAGGTTCGGCTTCGTTCCGGTCCATGCTTCGAACGGAGTCGTTCCCGGGAGCACCCTCGTCGGCAAACGGTTGCGAATCCACGCCGCTAGCGAACTCGCCTCACCCCACCACTCGCTCCCAAGCTTGGAGTGTTGAAGAAGAGAACGAACGGCTTCCACCAACGTGCGATTAAGCCGCTCCGCCGCTCCATTTTGTTGGGGTGTGTAGGGTGTTGTGACGTCGTGCTTAATGCCCTTGCTCTTCATCCATTTCTCGAGCTCCGCGTTTACGAATTCACCGCCACCATCGGTACGAATGACCTTGATCCGCTTCTTGTCGTCGTCGCAAACTTCGAGCGCCCACTCTTGAATCGCCTTGGCCGCATCTCCCTTAGCCTTCAAGAGTCGGGTCCAACACATCCGCGTCGCGTCGTCGAGCATCACCAAGAGGAACCGCGCTCCTCCCTTTGATGCGTTTCGCATCGGTCCACACACATCCATGTGAACAAGCACAAGCGGGTCCTTAGCGAGGGGAGAGGTACGGCTACCAAATGGCTTGCGAGCCATTTTTCCTTCGACACACGCCGCGCACACGCCCTTCTCGTCGTCGCCGGCGATCACGTTGACTCCCTTCGCGAGTCCTTTGTTGACCAACTCCTTGACCGAGTCGTAGTTGGCGTGCGCAAGCCGATTATGCCACGCCTTAAGAGTCGCCTTTGAACCTTGCGCCACGTTGGATGAAGCCACTCCCGGGTGCATCTTGAGTTGGTAGGGTTCTCCGTTGAGAACGCCTTGTGCGAATTGCTTCCCCTTCCAAAAGAGGTTCATCATCTCGCCGTCGATGGTGACCTTCACGTCCTTCTTCGCGAGTTGAGTGACGGAGAGTAGATTCACCTTCAACCCTGGAACGTGAAGCACGTTCGTGATGTCAACCGGTCCGCCATCGACGATGAGACGCGTACTCCCAACTCCAACCACCGGTAGCGACTTGTTGTTCCCGAAGACGACACGCTTGACGTCCCGCGGTGCACCAACGTTGGTGAGGAACGATGCCGAGTGCGTCATGTGTTGCGTTGCGCCGGTGTCGAGGAACCACGCGTCGTTTGGAGTGTTGGTCCCGTCACCGGCCAATAACACGATCGACTCCCTTGTATCATCCGCCTCGCCGGATGCCGTGTGCGCGTTGCCCTCGTGGTTCCGCGCCTTCGATGGAGTCCAATCGCTCGGCCGCTTCCGACACTCTCGCCAAAAGTGTCCCGCTTTGCCGCAATAGTGGCACTTGCTCGCGCCGTTTGATGTGTTCCCCTTGCCGCGATCGCTTCCACCGTACGACTTCTTCGTCGCACCCTTGCTCCACTTGGACTTTCCTCCGGAACTCCCTCCGGAGAACATGGCGGTCTCCACGCTCTCATTAGCGAATTGTCGGCGACGCGATTCCTCATGGAGAAGCCGACCAACCACCATTTCTTTCGTCCAAGTGCCTTGCACGCTATCGAGTGTCGTAATCACCGTCGACCACTCTTCCGGAAGGCCGCAAAGCAAGGTGAGAATCCAATCATCCTCCATGACCGTTCCACCGAGGTCCAAGAATGTTTCCCCGAGTTCCTCCACACGAGTCGCATACTCGTGCATCGATTCGCCCGCGCGCAACTTCACCGTGTAGAACGCGTTCCGGGCTAGGATCTTGCCGTGGAGAGTCTTGTTCACGTGCATTGTCTCGAGCCGCTTCCACGCTTCATGCGCCGACGCTTCGAGCTTGATGCACGTGCGCACCGAGCTCACGAGGTTGATGCCGATCCGCGAGATTAGCGTAGCGAACGCCTTTTGGTCCTTCTTCTTCCATGCCGCGATGGCGCTCTCGTCGTCCGTCGGCTTTTTCTCCGTCCCATCGAAGAGACCCCAAAGTCCCCGCTCCATCATGAGCACTTGGAACTTAAACTTCCACGCGGAGTAGTTTTGTCCCGTGAAAATCGGTACCGCCGACGTGTCGAACATCGTCGCGGTTGCCCAGGGTTCGCCGGAATTGACAACGACACCACCCGAGGAAGTACCGGAGGCTTCGCTTGACGTCATCATGCTCGCCACTCGTCGCGTGCGTAGACTCCTCCGACCAGCACTGATACCACTGATATAGAGGCGTGAACTCAATTTAACAGGAACTCTAGGTTGTACTAAGCAGTAGAGCACACTTGTAGCTTTCCAACGAGCCGTAGATCACCTCGAACGCCCAAGTATCGAGTGAGATATAGCTGTTTATGTGCTAGGTAGTGCCCTTAGACTCAAAGATAGGAGCTCTCTGGATTTTGGTCGAATTGCACTGTGTACAATGAACTCTGTTTTTCGGTATGAAACATGCATACAAGTCGAGCACATTTATAGCAACTGGAATTTCTCGAATCGCACATGTAACATTCTAGGCACTACGAGGTGTATCGCGAACATTCGCGTAACAAATTCGAAGGGGTGAAATTCGGTACCCGAATTTCACCGAACCGAATTTCTCTTCAACCTCGATTCTTCATGATGCTGCCATGTGGCATCACTTGAGTGGGTCTTCCAAAGTCAACCCACAACTTCACGAAACCTGCAATGAACACATTCGGAAGCAACACATTCGGTGGTTGGGGGCAACCCCCCCCCCACACGCAACCTCCAACACGCTATACTAGGAAGAAGGTAAGTAGTGTAAGAAATGGCGAATGTTGGATGATTCTTGGGGTCGGGTTAGCGGGATGGTGAGTGGGATGGATGATATTCATGGGGTTTCAGTGCGGAATGGATTGTGTGTGCGAATCGATGGTTGTCTTGACCATTTTGAGTAATATATGGCCTTTTATTGAAGCACGGCACTGGCGAGCCGGACAAGAAGCCTGTGAAGGGGAACGTGTTCGGTCGGAGCTATGCAGCACGCTATGATCTGACGAATCGCGACAGTTGTATGTCAGACATAGTGGTTCTGTTCTGGTGGTCAGTTACTCTGACAGGAATGCTGAAGTGTGCTGGTTGGGCAAAGGCAAGCACAAATGTGAGCAGGCCTTGGGTTTGTACAAATTCATGGTGCAGCAGAACTAGGCGCGTTCTTCCATAAGAAAACGCACTTGCTTCTACAATGAAAAAAGATCTATGCATGTATAATAATTTAGTATATTCAATAACATTCAAGCAAATCTAACTGCTTATTTATTTAGGAAGCTCGTATGAACCACCAATACCTGGTTGGCCCAACATTATTCCCAGAACCATGTACTCCCAACTATGCTTCTCACTCACTTCCTGGCAGGCTTGACGGCAATGGCCGACCGCACAGAGTGGCCCTTCTCATCCACCCAAGTGAGGCTCCCATACTGAAAGTTTGTTGAGGTCTTAGTCACCTTGAAGGTCACCACAAAGCTGACCTTCTGGCCAGGCGAGATGGTGAAACTGCTGGGCTTCACAGTCACCTCCACCCCATTCGGCTTCTGAATCTTGGCAGTGTAAGTCGAGCCAGAGTCAGCGACACAGGTGACGGTGCGTGTGACTGTGATCGAGCCCTTGAGGTTGGCAAGTGCGATGGTGGGGCGGTTGAGGTTCCTGGGAGGCACAGAGGTGAGCTTTTCATTCGGGTACTCAGACTGGGTCCTCTGCATATCCAGCCCGGCCAGAAAATTCAAATACGCGGTTTTCCGAGCGTCGTACGTCAACCCAGGGTCGAGAACCCTAGGCGGGAACACATGCCCGTTGCCCATATCCCACGGCGTGGCCGCTTGCCCTGACGCAGCGCTAGAGATAGCAGCGCCATTGACATCCTTGGTAGTAGCTGTCGTCATGATAGCAGACATGACCTGCGCGGGGCTCCAAGAAGGGTACTTCTGGATCACCAGAGCAGCAATCCCCGCCAGGTGAGGCGTCGCCATGGAGGTTCCGGACAGCTGAGCCGACCCACCCTTGTCGCCCACGCGGCTGCCTGGCGCAGCAGCGTAGAGATCCACTCCCGGGCCGAGAATGTCGGGCTTTAAGATCGAGTCGGTGGCCAGGCCGTTGCCTGTGCCGATGTCGGGGAAGATGAGGGGGCCTGTGGAGGAGAATTCGGCCACGGTGGGCGCGGTGTCGCCCGCTGAGGGTGTGGCTGAGGATGACGTCAGATTGGCGGATGATGCTGACCTGGATGCGCCTGCTGAGCTGGCGAGAGTGAGGCCGCCGCGGGCAATGGTGCTGGGGGACGGGGCAGAGAGATGGGGGGACGTTGGAGGGATACAGGGGGGAAGGTTGGTAGGAGTTAGGGAGATGGGGGGTTGAGGGAGGAAAGTAATGCAAACGTTTCAACCGAGTGCTTACCAGTCTTCCATCGTATCAAAGCGAGACGAAGGTTTGATGATGGGAGTAAACAAGGCGAGGAACATGGCTCTGTGAGGTAAAAGGAGCTCTGGTCACTGTTAGCGGTACAAGGCTCACCTGGCGCCGACTGTGAGGTAGAAGGGCACGTAGTTGTCGAGCGTGCGGTCGCCCTGTGGGTGGCCGTCGTTGCCCGCATTCTCTGTGAGGCATAAGACTCACCTTGGCCCCATTGTAAGCCTCAAGCCTCACCTGGCGCTGACTGTAAATTACAAGGCTCACCTAGCACCGACTGTGAGGTAGAAGGGCGCATAGTTGTCAAGCGTGCGGTAACCCTGTGGGGGGCCGTCGTTGCCCGCCGCAAAGGTCACTACCACGCCCGCCTGCACATTGGGACGAGGGGAGGATGGAGAGGAGAGGAGAACTTGTGATGCTGGTATGCAGACTGTTGGTATGCAGAGTGTTGGTATGCGGACTGTTGGTATGCAAGTGCTTAGGAAATTGTGGAAATCAGGGGCGTGAGAGCATCACAGTGAGTATGAAGGAGAACTGGTGTTGAAGTAGGAGAGTTGCGAGGAGAGGAGAGGGAGCGAAGAAGGGTGCAGGCAGGGGGGAGAGGCGAGAGTGCCGCAGGCGAGAATGAGAGGGTGGTACAGGGGAGAGGTACAGGGGAGAGGTACAGGGGAGAGGTACAGGGGAGAGGTACAGGGGAGAGGTACAGGGGAGAGGTACAGGGGAGAGGTACAGGGGAGAGGTACAGGGGAGAGGTACAGGGGAGAGGTACAGGGGAGAGGTACAGGGGAGAGGTACAGGGGAGAGGTACAGGGGAGAGGTACAGGGGAGAGGTACAGGGGAGAGGTACAGGGGAGAGGTACAGGGGAGAGGTACAGGGGAGAGGTACAGGGGAGAGGTACAGGGGAGAGGTACAGGGGAGAGGTACAGGGGAGAGGTACAGGGGAGAGGTACAGGGGAGAGGTACAGGGGAGAGGTACAGGGGAGAGGTACAGGGGAGAGGTACAGGGGAGAGGTACAGGGGAGAGGTACAGGGGAGAGGTACAGGGGAGAGGTACAGGGGAGAGGTACAGGGGAGAGGTACAGGGGAGAGGTACAGGGGAGAGGTACAGGGGAGAGGTACAGGGGAGAGGTACAGGGGAGAGGTACAGGGGAGAGGTACAGGGGAGAGGTACAGGGGAGAGGTACAGGGGAGAGGTACAGGGGAGAGGTACAGGGGAGAGGTACAGGGGAGAGGTACAGGGGAGAGGTACAGGGGAGAGGTACAGGGGAGAGGTACAGGGGAGAGGTACAGGGGAGAGGTACAGGGGAGAGGTACAGGGGAGAGGTACAGGGGAGAGGTACAGGGGAGAGGTACAGGGGAGAGGTACAGGGGAGAGGTACAGGGGAGAGGTACAGGGGAGAGGTACAGGGGAGAGGTACAGGGGAGAGGTACAGGGGAGAGGTACAGGGGAGAGGTACAGGGGAGAGGTACAGGGGAGAGGTACAGGGGAGAGGTACAGGGGAGAGGTACAGGGGAGAGGTACAGGGGAGAGGTACAGGGGAGAGGTACAGGGGAGAGGTACAGGGGAGAGGTACAGGGGAGAGGTACAGGGGAGAGGTACAGGGGAGAGGTACAGGGGAGAGGTACAGGGGAGAGGTACAGGGGAGAGGTACAGGGGAGAGGTACAGGGGAGAGGTACAGGGGAGAGGTACAGGGGAGAGGTACAGGGGAGAGGTACAGGGGAGAGGTACAGGGGAGAGGTACAGGGGAGAGGTACAGGGGAGAGGTACAGGGGAGAGGTACAGGGGAGAGGTACAGGGGAGAGGTACAGGGGAGAGGTACAGGGGAGAGGTACAGGGGAGAGGTACAGGGGAGAGGTACAGGGGAGAGGTACAGGGGAGAGGTACAGGGGAGAGGTACAGGGGAGAGGTACAGGGGAGAGGTACAGGGGAGAGGTACAGGGGAGAGGTACAGGGGAGAGGTACAGGGGAGAGGTACAGGGGAGAGGTACAGGGGAGAGGTACAGGGGAGAGGTACAGGGGAGAGGTACAGGGGAGAGGTACAGGGGAGAGGTACAGGGGAGAGGTACAGGGGAGAGGTACAGGGGAGAGGTACAGGGGAGAGGTACAGGGGAGAGGTACAGGGGAGAGGTACAGGGGAGAGGTACAGGGGAGAGGTACAGGGGAGAGGTACAGGGGAGAGGTACAGGGGAGAGGTACAGGGGAGAGGTACAGGGGAGAGGTACAGGGGAGAGGTACAGGGGAGAGGTACAGGGGAGAGGTACAGGGGAGAGGTACAGGGGAGAGGTACAGGGGAGAGGTACAGGGGAGAGGTACAGGGGAGAGGTACAGGGGAGAGGTACAGGGGAGAGGTACAGGGGAGAGGTACAGGGGAGAGGTACAGGGGAGAGGTACAGGGGAGAGGTACAGGGGAGAGGTACAGGGGAGAGGTACAGGGGAGAGGTACAGGGGAGAGGTACAGGGGAGAGGTACAGGGGAGAGGTACAGGGGAGAGGTACAGGGGAGAGGTACAGGGGAGAGGTACAGGGGAGAGGTACAGGGGAGAGGTACAGGGGAGAGGTACAGGGGAGAGGTACAGGGGAGAGGTACAGGGGAGAGGTACAGGGGAGAGGTACAGGGGAGAGGTACAGGGGAGAGGTACAGGGGAGAGGTACAGGGGAGAGGTACAGGGGAGAGGTACAGGGGAGAGGTACAGGGGAGAGGTACAGGGGAGAGGTACAGGGGAGAGGTACAGGGGAGAGGTACAGGGGAGAGGTACAGGGGAGAGGTACAGGGGAGAGGTACAGGGGAGAGGTACAGGGGAGAGCTAAGACGGGTTTCTCACCAGGTTGGCATCGAGGAAGGCGATGACGTCAAAGTAGGTGTCGGTGGGGTTCACGGAGGGGAGCACAGTCGAGAGGGGAGGGGGGAGGGGATCTCTTACGAGGTTGGCGTTGAGGAAGGCAATATCATCAAAGTAGGTGTCGGTGGGGTTGACGCCGCCCAGGGAGAGCGAGATCACATCCACGCCGTCCGCCACTCCCTGATTGACGGCTGCGATGATGTCCGCCTCCTCCGCCCACATGCCCTGGCTGGACGACCAGAAGACCTTGTACATCACGAGCCGCGCCGCTGGCGCCATGCCGCTCGCCTTGCCGCCCGCCATGGCCACTCCCTTATTGCCCGCTGCCGCGCTGCGTGTGGGAAGAGATCGGGGAAGGGGGGAATGGAGGGGTGGGGGGGAGAGGAACTGTTGAGTTGACTCAAAGGCCATGCCGCTCGCCTTGTCGCCCGCCATGGCCACGCCCTTGTTGCCCGCTGCCGCGCTGCGAAGGGCAGAAGGGGGGGTAATGCGTGGAAAGCGGGGTAGCGGGGAGGGGGAACGCATGAGGGGGGGCGGCGGGGTGCATGGAAGAGGATGAATTGGGGATGGATAAAGGGAGGATACATGGGGGGAGTAGTTGCGAACACATAGCAAGACTTGGAACACAAGGGCTCGTGTGAAGCTTGGACGAGTAGCTTGCATCTGTAAGATGCAAGCAGCCTGCTTAGTGAATGTCAGCGACCCGACTCCCACGGCCGACTCCCACGGCCGACTCCCACGGCCGACTCCCACGGCCCACTCACCCCGCACACCACGTGCCGTGGCCGTTGGCGTCGCGCGGAGACAGCCAATCCCCGGTGAGATCGATCCCGTTGGCGCTTTTATACGCCTTATAAAACGCGCGCGCTCCGATGAGCTTGTTATTGCACTTGAAATCCTTCGTCGCGTCGCACTTCCCCGACCACCCGGCGGGGCGCGACGAGGAAAATCCCGCGTCGCTAAACGACGGGTGTTCCGGCCAAATGCCCGTGTCGATGATTGCGACGACCGTGCCGTCGCCCGCCTTCGCCTGCCCGCCATTCGCGGGCCAGAGCGACCCGGCGGTGTTCATCCCGAGGAAGGTGGGCGACTCGGTCGTGAAGAGGCGCTTGCGCGCGCTCGGCCGCACGGACGCCACGGCGGGGTGGCGCTTCAGCCGCCGCAGCTGCTCCGCCGTGAGTTCCGCCGAGAAGCCGTTGGAGGAGTACTTGTAGCTGCGCGTGGGGAACGGGGGAGCAGGGTGGCGGAAGAGGGGGCACATTTACTACTCCCAGCTGCTCCGCCGTGAGTTCCGCGGCGTGTCTCACTGTTTCCTACGCGTTTGTTGCTCACCTGTACGCCACCTTGTCCGATGCCACGCCCACTTCCGACGCGATCTGCGCCTGCTGCATCTCGAGCATCTGCGCGTACGCCTTGACCTGCGGGTTGTTCTTGCTGAGCCGCGCGCGGCGCGGAACTCTGCCGCCCGTCGCCGTCACCTCTTCGTCCACCGCCTCCGCCGTCGCCGTCAGACCTGCCGGGCGGGCAGCGCTGTCGTCATTGTTTTCGTCCGCCCAGCCGGAGAAGCTCGAGACGGCTCCGCGATACGCCGCAAGGGGAAGCGCAGAGCGGAGGCGAACGATATATAGACCGCTGCCACCGTCGTTGCCGCCACCATTGCCTTCTCCACCGCTGCCGCCACCGCCGCTGCCGCCACCACCGCCGCCTCCGCCGCCACCGCCGCCACCTCCGCTGCCACCAAGGCCGCTCGGCACATTTCTAGGCTCGACAACTGTAGGCGGGGGAAAAGGAACACGAACGAGGTAAGATATTATGAATATTCTCCCGTGTTTCATGTGCACATTGCGTTTCAGTACAGTTAATTATGCGTTAAGATGATGCGTCCGTACTTACGCCGGACAGAGAGGCATTGACACGTGGCGGCGAGGAGCAACAGGGCGAGGAGAAGACGATTGACGGAACACATCGTGCCGTTGACCGTGACTCGCGACAAGCGGGTCTAACCTATTTCGAGCCAAGTCAGGAGGATGGTGCAAGATGTAGGTTCGAGTTGAATGATATTCGTAATATCGTGACTTATTGACGATTCTAGCGTGAGAAGTGCCGCCTCGTTATGTGAGCACACAGGTGCTAGTGACAGGGTAAGTTGAGATACGAAATCACGTGCGGGTTATTATACATGGCTTGCGGATGGGGCGCCCCGTGCCGTCTTTCTGCACATGCGCCTCGAAAGACGTCGTGGGTAGGTGCTGGGGGAAGACTGCTGTAGCTAAGACGTCTTCGCGTGTGGGTGAATTTTGGGGGAGCGTGTTGGTTGGATTGACTAGTCGATGGCGAGCAGAATTCGGAGCAGCAATTCCACAGTCCACCCCAATAATTGTGATGTCGTCGAGGCGCATGTCGCATGGACAATCTGGGGAGTACGAGGCGGAGAAATGGCGCGCCTCGTAACTCCACCGACGTCGATGCTCTAACTTGCATATAGTGTCCTCTGATATGATTTATAACAGAGTGGGATGGAAAAACAGCTAACGTAACTGACTGTGGCCGATGCAGGCAGTAAAAGGGTGAAGGCCTACATAACAATAGGACGTATTTCCTCCCTCGATCGATCCCTCCCGCGATCAATATTTCATGGATACTGTAATACTGTAGCATTGCGTTCACAGAGTAACCATATTCTGAAAACATTTACGAATGTACAGTACATTGTGCTTCACGAGCCTGTCACCTCCTATCGAACGCGATAGCGATCGCGACCCGCGGGCTGTGTGACAGCCACGTTCGATCGTTGTCGTACAGTTCTCAGGGTAACTTGAATGCTCCAGAAAAAACACCGCATCCAAACTATGCGACGGTGTACAGATTTCGTTGGTATGTCGCCCAACCTTCTTATACCCCAATGTAATACCGAGCCTGTCACCTGGGGCTCGAAACCAACAAGCGATTGGTGATCTCCCCAATCGGGCCCCAAACCTGCGATCGATGTGCTGGTCGGTTTTTCCTAGCGATCGCGCAATCGAACGAGGGAGGGGACGCGTCCTTCCTTAGGCCGCAAACTCTTGGTTGTTTCAGTATCGCTCACTTCAGTCGCATGTGCGTATCCACCACATATTCACCGTAATCTCTGGCGTGATGACCGCGTCGTTCTTGCTTTCCTGCTGTATGTCGTGTAGACCCCCTTTGACAGGTTCACGCGCGAAACATCCAGCACATGTTACCCCCGTTCGCCACGGCTACCGTACTGTAACGCGCAAAATTGTTTCGCACCGTACTAGAACGCTACCAGTTTTAGAAGTTGGGAATCTGAGGCTTGTTTGAATCTGGGGTTCCACGCCCAATCATCTGCGGCTTCGGTCAGTCTAGTTTCGCGATGCGGTTGTGCGAGAGTGATCTCGTCTCGTAATTTTCGATCAGTTTACGCCACGGACCATGGGCTTCGCCATGTGATGTCCAACGCTGCCTGATTTTGTTTATGCTGCATGTTCAAACGCTTTTCTTGACCTAACCATTCTTTCTAATGGCCAAACCTGACTGTCTGGACGTCTGCAGCAGATCGCGCGGTGCCTTTTCTGTCTGGCTGAGAATTTACCGTCTGAGTGAGATTTGACTGACTGTGAGATCGACGAAGACTTGTCGTCTCCTCAGTTTGCGTCATCAGAAATGACGAGAAAACTAACGATCGAATCCGTGCTTCAATCGCCCAAGTCCGCACCGTCAGCTCCAGCAGCCGTCGCGCTAGACGCCCATCCGTCAGATTCTCGCCTTTTGGCCGTCAGTTACGACACCGTTAACAAGTCTTCCGTACACATTCCGTCGGCCCGTCCGCCGCCTCCGTCAATTGACGGATCTCGTCTGAACGTCGTCAATGCTCAGGATTCCACTCAGTCGATTAGACTTTCCGTCTATTCAGGCGCTCGATATGGTGTTACCCTGTATAGTGACAGAGACGATCGTGACGATAACGGATGTGTCGCCGTGTGGACGAGAGAGCGGCCGTTATCCCCGTTAGAATCGCTCTCGTTTAAAGGGTTCCGAGTGAGTACGATCCTATGGGTGCCCGATGACCCGAATCTGCTATTAGGGGGGACTCAGAGTGGACACGTGGCAGTCTGGGATTTGCGGTTGGGAGGAGAGCCGTGCCAGGTGGGACCGGAAAAGGCGGCGTGGAGAGCGGCGGATGGCAGGCGAGTGACGTCACTGGCGGCGGGGGGAGGGAGGTCACGAGGAGAAGCAGGAGGGGGCGGAGGGGGAGGGGGTGGTGTGGGGGCAGGAGGGGCGGGTGAGAGGGGCGGGGAGGAGGTGTTGAGTGGCAGCGCGGGGGGAAGGGTGATGAGATGGAGCAGGCGAATGATGGGCATGGTGAGTGCGAGTGATGGGCATGGTGAGTGCGCGCGTGTGATCGGAAGGGGGATAGGCTCGTGTGAGTCTTCTCTCAACCCCTCTTGTTTCCTTCTCCTCCCCCCTCTCGTCTCCATTCTCCTCTCCTCTCTCCTTTTCCTTCTCCTCCCCTATCTCTCCACCTCCCATCTCACTCATCATCTCCCTTTTGCCCCCCACGCCCTGCCAACAGCCGTTGGAAATCATCCCCCTCACCCCACCTGGCGTTTCACCTGACAGCTGGCGCATGCTGACGCAGTGGCCCCTGGTGCCCTCGGAGCTGCAGATGGGGACAACAGCAGCGTGGCGAGGAGCACCTGGAAATGCACCTGAAGAAGCACCTGGTGGAGCATCTGGATTTTCACCTGGGATTTCACCTGGAGTATTTTACATGGGCACTGATTGTGGTGGTGTGTTCCAAGGGCATCTCTCTCCTTCCCCACTCACCACCTCTGCATCTACCCCCTCCTCCTCCTCCGCCTTCTGCGCCTCCTCATCCACCAGCCAATCACGGCTTGACTTTCAGTTTGGCTCCTCTTCGCCCTCCGCTCCTGCCACCTCAGCTGCCACGTCAGATGCTGTGTCAGCAACTGCATTCGGTTACGGGTCCATGGCTCCCAGCCAAGCAGGGTTACCTGCAAAGCAAGAGTCAGAGCCAGGTAAGCAGAGGCCTCTGTGACTGCAAAGCACGATTTGGAGTTATGTAAGCAGAGGCATCCGTAACAGTGTAACAGCAGCAGCTCCCATTTTCGCAGCCAGTGCAACCACCAGCACTCCAACCGAATTCTTGATCCCGACCGGCTTGATCCCTACACCCGACCGAAATCCTTAAGCCCGAAACCTGCATTCCCAGGTGCTGGTGGTTGCACTGGTGGAATCCAGTGCAAGCACCAGCACTCCGTTCCTCTATTCCTGTATGTACCTTCTTCAGTCACTCTCCCTGTGACCTCCATTCCCCACCTGCAGCTTGCCATACCCCCATGCACTGCCATACCCCCATGCACTGCCATACCCCCATGCACTGCCATACCCCCATGCACTGCCATACCCCCATGCACTGCCATACCCCCATGCACTGCCATACCCCCATGCACTGCCATACCCCCATGCACTGCCATACCCCCATGCACTGCCATACCCCCATGCACTGCCATACCCCCATGCACTGCCATACCCCCATGCACTGCCATACCCGTTTTTGTACTGATTCCACATTCCAGCTTCTTCATGACACATTCAGACCCTGTATTCTACTGATTGTTCCGCCATCTCCCAGTTCCCCTTCTCCTCGCCCTTTTTCCTCCCCTTCCTCATCGTTGTTCCATAATGGCTCCCTCACATGCACCTTGCATTGCACTGCACCCCACACCCACTAGGGGCGTTCCTTCCCCGTCACTCTTTTCCCCTCCCACCTTCCCCCCTCACACCCCCTATCGCAGCACAGCACCTTCATATCTTGCCTGCTCTGCCTCCCGTGTACCGCCCTGCTCTTGCCTGCTCTGCCTCCCATGTACCGCCCTGCTCTGTCCCCACCTTGCCCTCATCCATTCACCTCATCCACGCCCCTCTTTCCCTCCCTACCCCTCTCTCCTTCCCATCCCACAGCCCCCCACCACAGTGCCCCCCATCCCACAGCTCTGTGCCCCCCATCCCACAGCTCTCCACCACAGCGCCTTCATATCCGGCCTGCACTGCCACCCGTGCGCCGCCCTCCTCTCCTCCGACCCTCCTCTCTGGCTCACATCCCTCGGCACCACTCATTCCCACAACAGTCGTACCACCGTGTGCCACAGCAGCAGCAATGCCACCGGGTTCCACAGCAGCAACCAATCTTTGAGGCGGTTCAAAAGTGAACGACCATTCACCCCATGCACGCCCCTCTTCCCCTCCCCCCCCATCCCACAGCCCCCCACCACAGCGCCTTCATATCCGGCCTGCACTGCCACCCGTGCGCCGCCTTCCTCTCCTCCGACCCTCCTCTCTGGCTCACATCCCTCTCTGCCTCTCACTGCCACAGCAGTCATGCCTCCGTGTGCCACAGCAGCAGCAGCAGCGGCAGCCGCAGCAGCAGCAGCAGCAGGAGCAGCAGAAGCAGTGGTTCTGATGACTCTTTATACCGTGGTTCACATAGGAGGGGAGATGCCGTGGAGGAGTGGTATGGCATGGGTTCAACATGCCATGCCATGGGTTCACGGACTCACCATCACGAATCCACTATGCCATACGTCAATGATGCTGCTGCCATGCCGTGGCATGGTGATTTGATTCTCTCCAGCTCCTGGGATATGACCGTCAAGCTGTGGTCATCTAGCAACCCACACAGGTAAGCTAGATCTGTCGTCCTGAGTGATTGCTTTCCTTTCATGGGAATCCTCATGCCTTGTAGCGTATGAATGTACGCTAATAGTGCCCCTCTACTTCACCGTCCCTCCCCACCCACCCTTTCCTCGCTACACCGTTACACTGTTACACTGTTACACTCTGCTAGGGTCGTGGGGCACTGCAAGAGCACCTGCTTCCCCTATCCCCATGATCATTACAATGTCTTCTGACACTCCTGTGCATTTCTCAATCCCCATTCCCACTCACCACCTCCCTGCGAAGCAGGCCGTTACTAACCCTCCAATCATTTGACGACACGTGTCATGATGTGCGCTGGTGCCCTTCAAGCCTCTCCCTGTTCGCCGTCTCTGTTGGCTCCGGGAGGATCCAGCTCTGGGACCTGGCCCGTAGCACCCGCCGTCCAGTCGCTACAGTGTCTTCTACAGTAGATTCTACAGTGAAAACAGTGAATTCGGCGATAGGTGGGCCAGGTCCAGCGGCAATGGCGACTGCAGTGTCGTGTTATGACACCGAAAAGGGCGGAGAATATGCGAATGAGAAGCACTTATCGGAAGATGGGGGTGTATTTATTAGGGTACGGTGGACATGCGATGGCAAGGGGATAATTGCGGGAGACACCCTTGGCCGCGTGTTTATAATTGGTGCTTGAATTGTATGCTTTAAAGGCTGGGTGTCATGGACGGAGGTTTATAAGTTGTGTAGCACTCCAATAGCTTTGCTACCATGTTACACACTTTTGGGTTTCGCATGTTGGGTTGATTTACACCAAGGGAGAGGGCGACGAAAAAAGCTGGTCGCATGGGATCGACGATTCGATTCCCCCAGGGATCGCGTCGCATCGCAGCAAGCCCAACCACCCCACGCTCAACCATGTGCAAACAAACTGCAACTGCTTCTTACGTGAGACTATGTTTTGTGGAAGCTATACAGCTTGGCCCACAGATCACGTCGCTCTCCACGCACACCACGCACGCGATACGCGACGCTTGTGAGCGATCGCGACCCCCACCCACCAGTACGATTGCGACTAGTACGAAGGCGGCGAAATTTTATCACTACAATTCCGATTACGACCACTATTATAAGTAGCACACGGTCCCGATTCTGGCCAGATGGACGCTCAATCTGACGGGCCGCATCGCGCGGAGAGGCAGAATCTGCTGCCGCGACGTGCGGACGAGAAGCTTGACGCGAGACAGAAAGGCATGACGCGGCGGGGGATGATTGCCGCCGTTTCGTACATGATCTGCGCAGGTAGTAGTTAGGGTTCCGCTGCTGGTCATTCGTGGAATTTAAGCAATTTGGATTGTTTCACTAAATCGGGAAACAATAATTCGGGTACTTCGGATATTTAGAGTAATTCTGATTATGGTATTTTTTGTGACCCTAGTAATTCGGGAAATTCGGGTGATTTTGAAAATTCGAGTGTTTCGGATAATTCGGGGTAACTCAAACAATAATTTAGTGTGTATCACACCCCTTAGTATGTCCAGCGATCCGCGTGTGACTGTCACGATAAAGGTGACTATGTATCACACCCCCATCCCCTTCCCCTTCCTCTTTTCTCCTTTCTCCTTTGCCTATGCGTCCAGTTCATCCCCTCCTTACAGTCACACCCCTTTCGTTCAATATTTTGCTCTTTCCTCCACCAATGACTGAGCGGATCCGCGTCTGCCATACTCACTGTGTCTACCAAACTCACTGTGTCTACCATACTCACTGTGCCTAGCAAACTCCTTTCCATTCTCTCCGTTCTCCTTTGATATGTGCTCATCTTGTTCCCTCCATACAGTCACACTCGTTATGTTCAACAAGGCCGCCCTCTCCTCCTTCAACTTCCCTTGCGCCAACGTCATCACTTTGCTTCAGGTGACGTCATCACCCTTTTCACATGGTGTCACCTCTCTCTCCTATATGTGACGTCATCACCACCCTCCAGGTGACGTCACCACTCGCTCAAGGTATCCCCTGTTCTCTTCCTCTCCCCTCGCTTTAGCCCATCATGGGCATAATGTTGAGTGAAGCTTTTGAGTCGACTCAAAAGTCACTCAAGCTCTCCCCCTCCTCTCTTCAGCACATTATGGGCAGACGGTTGAGCCATTTCTCCGCCTGCTAGACGCTCTTGCTTTCCCCACCTCTTTCATTCCGATGTGCATCCTTCTTTCCCCTCCCCAACCCCCTCAGATGCTCTCCTCGACGGCCCTGCTAGCCATTCTCCGCCTAGCAGACGCTCTTGCATTTCCCCACCTCATTCATTCCGATGTGCATCCTTCTTTTCTTCCCCCTCCCCCTCCACTCCCCCATCCCCCCCCCTCAGATGCTCTCCTCGACGGCCCTGCTAGCCATTCTCCGCCTGGCAGACGTTCTCACCTTTGCGGATGGCTCTGCTGCTGACGTGGCTCTGGGCAAAAGGCGGCAGCAGCAGCTTGAGCAGCAGCAGCGTGGCTGGCAGGCTAAAGCGGCAAGGGAGGAGCAGCGGCATGTGGCTAGCAGCGGTGTGGCTAGGAAGGGTGGTGGCAGGCTTGTTTGCTCCCAGCTATTCCGTCTCTGTCGCACCAGCTGCTGCTGCTGGTGCTGCTGGTGGTGCTGGTGGGAAGGGGCGGAAGGGTGGGAGGAGCAGGGGCGGGGGCAATGGGTTTGTGCCTCTGCACACTCTCGCCAGAGTGCTGCCTCTGTCGCTCTCGTATCTCCTCTACATGGTGCGTCTTCATTGCAGGGTGCGTATCTCCTTAGGGGGTTGGGCTGGGAAGGGTGGTGGCAGGCCTGTTTGCTCCCAGCTATTCTGTCTCTGTCGCCCCTGCTGCTGCTGCTGGTAGTGGCGGTGGCGGGAAACTGGGGAAGGGAGGGAAGGGTGGGAGGAGCAGGGGCGGGGGCAATGGGTTTGTGCCTCTGCACACTCTCGCCAGAGTGCTGCCTCTGTCGCTCTCGTATCTCCTCTACATGGTGCGTCTTCATTGCAGGGTGCGTATCTCCTTAGGGGGTTGGGCTGGGAAGGGTGGTGGCAGGCCTGTTTGCTCCCAGCTATTCTGTCTCTGTCGCCCCTGCTGCTGCTGCTGGTAGTGGCGGTGGCGGGAAACTGGGGAAGGGAGGGAAGGGTGGGAGGAGCAGGGGCGGGGGCAATGGGTTTGTGCCTCTGCACACTCTCGCCAGAGTGCTGCCTCTGTCGCTCTCGTATCTCCTCTACATGGTGCGTCTTCATTGCAGGGTGCGTATCTCCTTAGGGGGTTGGGCTGGGAAGGGTGGTGGCAGGCCTGTTTGCTCCCAGCTATTCTGTCTCTGTCGCCCCTGCTGCTGCTGCTGGTAGTGGCGGTGGCGGGAAACTGGGGAAGGGAGGGAAGGGTGGGAGGAGCAGGGGCGGGGGCAATGGGTTTGTGCCTCTGCACACTCTCGCCAGAGTGCTGCCTCTGTCGCTCTCGTATCTCCTCTACATGGTGCGTCTTCATTGCAGGGTGCGTATCTCCTTAGGGGGTTGGGCTGGGAAGGGTGGTGGCAGGCCTGTTTGCTCCCAGCTATTCTGTCTCTGTCGCCCCTGCTGCTGCTGCTGGTAGTGGCGGTGGGGGGAAACTGGGGAAGGGAGGGAAGGGTGGGAGGAGCAGGGGCGGGGGCAATGGGTTTGTGCCTCTGCACACTCTCGCCAGAGTGCTGCCTCTGTCGCTCTCGTATCTCCTCTACATGGTGCGTCTTCATTGCAGGGTGCGTATCTCCTTAGGGGGTTGGGCTGGGAAGGGTGGTGGCAGGCCTGTTTGCTCCCAGCTATTCTGTCTCTGTCGCCCCTGCTGCTGCTGCTGGTAGTGGCGGTGGGGGGAAACTGGGGAAGGGAGGGAAGGGTGGGAGGAGCAGGGGCGGGGGCAATGGGTTTGTGCCTCTGCACACTCTCGCCAGAGTGCTGCCTCTGTCGCTCTCGTATCTCCTCTACATGGTGCGTCTTCATTGCAGGGTGCGTATCTCCTTAGGGGGTTGGGCTGGGAAGGGTGGTGGCAGGCCTGTTTGCTCCCAGCTATTCTGTCTCTGTCGCCCCTGCTGCTGCTGCTGGTAGTGGCGGTGGGGGGAAACTGGGGAAGGGAGGGAAGGGTGGGAGGAGCAGGGGCGGGGGCAATGGGTTTGTGCCTCTGCACACTCTCGCCAGAGTGCTGCCTCTGTCGCTCTCGTATCTCCTCTACATGGTGCGTCTTCATTGCAGGGTGCGTATCTCCTTAGGGGGTTGGGCTGGGAAGGGTGGTGGCAGGCCTGTTTGCTCCCAGCTATTCTGTCTCTGTCGCCCCTGCTGCTGCTGCTGGTAGTGGCGGTGGGGGGAAACTGGGGAAGGGAGGGAAGGGTGGGAGGAGCAGGGGCGGGGGCAATGGGTTTGTGCCTCTGCACACTCTCGCCAGAGTGCTGCCTCTGTCGCTGTCGTATCTCCTCTACATGGTGCGTCTTCATTGCAGGGTGCGTATCTCCTTAGGGGGTTGGGCTGGGAAGGGTGGTGGCAGGCCTGTTTGCTCCCAGCTATTCTGTCTCTGTCGCCCCTGCTGCTGCTGCTGGTAGTGGCGGTGGGGGGAAACTGGGGAAGGGAGGGAAGGGTGGGAGGAGCAGGGGCGGGGGCAATGGGTTTGTGCCTCTGCACACTCTCGCCAGAGTGCTGCCTCTGTCGCTCTCGTATCTCCTCTACATGGTGCGTCTTCATTGCAGGGTGCGTATCTCCTTAGGGGGTTGGGCTGGGAAGGGTGGTGGCAGGCCTGTTTGCTCCCAGCTATTCTGTCTCTGTCGCCCCTGCTGCTGCTGCTGGTAGTGGCGGTGGGGGGAAACTGGGGAAGGGAGGGAAGGGTGGGAGGAGCAGGGGCGGGGGCAATGGGTTTGTGCCTCTGCACACTCTCGCCAGAGTGCTGCCTCTGTCGCTGTCGTATCTCCTCTACATGGTGCGTCTTCATTGCAGGGTGCGTATCTCCTTAGGGGGTTGGGCTGGGAAGGGTGGTGGCAGGCCTGTTTGCTCCCAGCTATTCTGTCTCTGTCGCCCCTGCTGCTGCTGCTGGTAGTGGCGGTGGGGGGAAACTGGGGAAGGGAGGGAAGGGTGGGAGGAGCAGGGGCGGGGGCAATGGGTTTGTGCCTCTGCACACTCTCGCCAGAGTGCTGCCTCTGTCGCTCTCGTATCTCCTCTACATGGTGCGTCTTCATTGCAGGGTGCGTATCTCCTTAGGGGGTTGGGCTGGGAAGGGTGGTGGCAGGCCTGTTTGCTCCCAGCTATTCTGTCTCTGTCGCCCCTGCTGCTGCTGCTGGTAGTGGCGGTGGGGGGAAACTGGGGAAGGGAGGGAAGGGTGGGAGGAGCAGGGGCGGGGGCAATGGGTTTGTGCCTCTGCACACTCTCGCCAGAGTGCTGCCTCTGTCGCTCTCGTATCTCCTCTACATGGTGCGTCTTCATTGCAGGGTGCGTATCTCCTTAGGGGGTTGGGCTGGGAAGGGTGGTGGCAGGCCTGTTTGCTCCCAGCTATTCTGTCTCTGTCGCCCCTGCTGCTGCTGCTGGTAGTGGCGGTGGGGGGAAACTGGGGAAGGGAGGGAAGGGTGGGAGGAGCAGGGGCGGGGGCAATGGGTTTGTGCCTCTGCACACTCTCGCCAGAGTGCTGCCTCTGTCGCTGTCGTATCTCCTCTACATGGTGCGTCTTCATTGCAGGGTGCGTATCTCCTTAGGGGGTTGGGCTGGGAAGGGTGGTGGCAGGCCTGTTTGCTCCCAGCTATTCTGTCTCTGTCGCCCCTGCTGCTGCTGCTGGTAGTGGCGGTGGGGGGAAACTGGGGAAGGGAGGGAAGGGTGGGAGGAGCAGGGGCGGGGGCAATGGGTTTGTGCCTCTGCACACTCTCGCCAGAGTGCTGCCTCTGTCGCTGTCGTATCTCCTCTACATGGTGCGTCTTCATTGCAGGGTGCGTATCTCCTTAGGGGGTTGGGCTGGGAAGGGTGGTGGCAGGCCTGTTTGCTCCCAGCTATTCTGTCTCTGTCGCCCCTGCTGCTGCTGCTGGTAGTGGCGGTGGGGGGAAACTGGGGAAGGGAGGGAAGGGTGGGAGGAGCAGGGGCGGGGGCAATGGGTTTGTGCCTCTGCACACTCTCGCCAGAGTGCTGCCTCTGTCGCTCTCGTATCTCCTCTACATGGTGCGTCTTCATTGCAGGGTGCGTATCTCCTTAGGGGGTTGGGCTGGGAAGGGTGGTGGCAGGCCTGTTTGCTCCCAGCTATTCTGTCTCTGTCGCCCCTGCTGCTGCTGCTGGTAGTGGCGGTGGGGGGAAACTGGGGAAGGGAGGGAAGGGTGGGAGGAGCAGGGGCGGGGGCAATGGGTTTGTGCCTCTGCACACTCTCGCCAGAGTGCTGCCTCTGTCGCTGTCGTATCTCCTCTACATGGTGCGTCTTCATTGCAGGGTGCGTATCTCCTTAGGGGGTTGGGCTGGGAAGGGTGGTGGCAGGCCTGTTTGCTCCCAGCTATTCTGTCTCTGTCGCCCCTGCTGCTGCTGCTGGTAGTGGCGGTGGGGGGAAACTGGGGAAGGGAGGGAAGGGTGGGAGGAGCAGGGGCGGGGGCAATGGGTTTGTGCCTCTGCACACTCTCGCCAGAGTGCTGCCTCTGTCGCTCTCGTATCTCCTCTACATGGTGCGTCTTCATTGCAGGGTGCGTATCTCCTTAGGGGGTTGGGCTGGGAAGGGTGGTGGCAGGCCTGTTTGCTCCCAGCTATTCTGTCTCTGTCGCCCCTGCTGCTGCTGCTGGTAGTGGCGGTGGGGGGAAACTGGGGAAGGGAGGGAAGGGTGGGAGGAGCAGGGGCGGGGGCAATGGGTTTGTGCCTCTGCACACTCTCGCCAGAGTGCTGCCTCTGTCGCTCTCGTATCTCCTCTACATGGTGCGTCTTCATTGCAGGGTGCGTATCTCCTTAGGGGGTTGGGCTGGGAAGGGTGGTGGCAGGCCTGTTTGCTCCCAGCTATTCTGTCTCTGTCGCCCCTGCTGCTGCTGCTGGTAGTGGCGGTGGGGGGAAACTGGGGAAGGGAGGGAAGGGTGGGAGGAGCAGGGGCGGGGGCAATGGGTTTGTGCCTCTGCACACTCTCGCCAGAGTGCTGCCTCTGTCGCTGTCGTATCTCCTCTACATGGTGCGTCTTCATTGCAGGGTGCGTATCTCCTTAGGGGGTTGGGCTGGGAAGGGTGGTGGCAGGCCTGTTTGCTCCCAGCTATTCTGTCTCTGTCGCCCCTGCTGCTGCTGCTGGTAGTGGCGGTGGGGGGAAACTGGGGAAGGGAGGGAAGGGTGGGAGGAGCAGGGGCGGGGGCAATGGGTTTGTGCCTCTGCACACTCTCGCCAGAGTGCTGCCTCTGTCGCTGTCGTATCTCCTCTACATGGTGCGTCTTCATTGCAGGGTGCGTATCTCCTTAGGGGGTTGGGCTGGGAAGGGTGGTGGCAGGCCTGTTTGCTCCCAGCTATTCTGTCTCTGTCGCCCCTGCTGCTGCTGCTGGTAGTGGCGGTGGGGGGAAACTGGGGAAGGGAGGGAAGGGTGGGAGGAGCAGGGGCGGGGGCAATGGGTTTGTGCCTCTGCACACTCTCGCCAGAGTGCTGCCTCTGTCGCTCTCGTATCTCCTCTACATGGTGCGTCTTCATTGCAGGGTGCGTATCTCCTTAGGGGGTTGGGCTGGGAAGGGTGGTGGCAGGCCTGTTTGCTCCCAGCTATTCTGTCTCTGTCGCCCCTGCTGCTGCTGCTGGTAGTGGCGGTGGGGGGAAACTGGGGAAGGGAGGGAAGGGTGGGAGGAGCAGGGGCGGGGGCAATGGGTTTGTGCCTCTGCACACTCTCGCCAGAGTGCTGCCTCTGTCGCTGTCGTATCTCCTCTACATGGTGCGTCTTCATTGCAGGGTGCGTATCTCCTTAGGGGGTTGGGCTGGGAAGGGTGGTGGCAGGCCTGTTTGCTCCCAGCTATTCTGTCTCTGTCGCCCCTGCTGCTGCTGCTGGTAGTGGCGGTGGGGGGAAACTGGGGAAGGGAGGGAAGGGTGGGAGGAGCAGGGGCGGGGGCAATGGGTTTGTGCCTCTGCACACTCTCGCCAGAGTGCTGCCTCTGTCGCTCTCGTATCTCCTCTACATGGTGCGTCTTCATTGCAGGGTGCGTATCTCCTTAGGGGGTTGGGCTGGGAAGGGTGGTGGCAGGCCTGTTTGCTCCCAGCTATTCTGTCTCTGTCGCCCCTGCTGCTGCTGCTGGTAGTGGCGGTGGGGGGAAACTGGGGAAGGGAGGGAAGGGTGGGAGGAGCAGGGGCGGGGGCAATGGGTTTGTGCCTCTGCACACTCTCGCCAGAGTGCTGCCTCTGTCGCTCTCGTATCTCCTCTACATGGTGCGTCTTCATTGCAGGGTGCGTATCTCCTTAGGGGGTTGGGCTGGGAAGGGTGGTGGCAGGCCTGTTTGCTCCCAGCTATTCTGTCTCTGTCGCCCCTGCTGCTGCTGCTGGTAGTGGCGGTGGGGGGAAACTGGGGAAGGGAGGGAAGGGTGGGAGGAGCAGGGGCGGGGGCAATGGGTTTGTGCCTCTGCACACTCTCGCCAGAGTGCTGCCTCTGTCGCTGTCGTATCTCCTCTACATGGTGCGTCTTCATTGCAGGGTGCGTATCTCCTTAGGGGGTTGGGCTGGGAAGGGTGGTGGCAGGCCTGTTTGCTCCCAGCTATTCTGTCTCTGTCGCCCCTGCTGCTGCTGCTGGTAGTGGCGGTGGGGGGAAACTGGGGAAGGGAGGGAAGGGTGGGAGGAGCAGGGGCGGGGGCAATGGGTTTGTGCCTCTGCACACTCTCGCCAGAGTGCTGCCTCTGTCGCTGTCGTATCTCCTCTACATGGTGCGTCTTCATTGCAGGGTGCGTATCTCCTTAGGGGGTTGGGCTGGGAAGGGTGGTGGCAGGCCTGTTTGCTCCCAGCTATTCTGTCTCTGTCGCCCCTGCTGCTGCTGCTGGTAGTGGCGGTGGGGGGAAACTGGGGAAGGGAGGGAAGGGTGGGAGGAGCAGGGGCGGGGGCAATGGGTTTGTGCCTCTGCACACTCTCGCCAGAGTGCTGCCTCTGTCGCTCTCGTATCTCCTCTACATGGTGCGTCTTCATTGCAGGGTGCGTATCTCCTTAGGGGGTTGGGCTGGGAAGGGTGGTGGCAGGCCTGTTTGCTCCCAGCTATTCTGTCTCTGTCGCCCCTGCTGCTGCTGCTGGTAGTGGCGGTGGGGGGAAACTGGGGAAGGGAGGGAAGGGTGGGAGGAGCAGGGGCGGGGGCAATGGGTTTGTGCCTCTGCACACTCTCGCCAGAGTGCTGCCTCTGTCGCTGTCGTATCTCCTCTACATGGTGCGTCTTCATTGCAGGGTGCGTATCTCCTTAGGGGGTTGGGCTGGGAAGGGTGGTGGCAGGCCTGTTTGCTCCCAGCTATTCTGTCTCTGTCGCCCCTGCTGCTGCTGCTGGTAGTGGCGGTGGGGGGAAACTGGGGAAGGGAGGGAAGGGTGGGAGGAGCAGGGGCGGGGGCAATGGGTTTGTGCCTCTGCACACTCTCGCCAGAGTGCTGCCTCTGTCGCTCTCGTATCTCCTCTACATGGTGCGTCTTCATTGCAGGGTGCGTATCTCCTTAGGGGGTTGGGCTGGGAAGGGTGGTGGCAGGCCTGTTTGCTCCCAGCTATTCTGTCTCTGTCGCCCCTGCTGCTGCTGCTGGTAGTGGCGGTGGGGGGAAACTGGGGAAGGGAGGGAAGGGTGGGAGGAGCAGGGGCGGGGGCAATGGGTTTGTGCCTCTGCACACTCTCGCCAGAGTGCTGCCTCTGTCGCTGTCGTATCTCCTCTACATGGTGCGTCTTCATTGCAGGGTGCGTATCTCCTTAGGGGGTTGGGCTGGGAAGGGTGGTGGCAGGCCTGTTTGCTCCCAGCTATTCTGTCTCTGTCGCCCCTGCTGCTGCTGCTGGTAGTGGCGGTGGGGGGAAACTGGGGAAGGGAGGGAAGGGTGGGAGGAGCAGGGGCGGGGGCAATGGGTTTGTGCCTCTGCACACTCTCGCCAGAGTGCTGCCTCTGTCGCTGTCGTATCTCCTCTACATGGTGCGTCTTCATTGCAGGGTGCGTATCTCCTTAGGGGGTTGGGCTGGGAAGGGTGGTGGCAGGCCTGTTTGCTCCCAGCTATTCTGTCTCTGTCGCCCCTGCTGCTGCTGCTGGTAGTGGCGGTGGGGGGAAACTGGGGAAGGGAGGGAAGGGTGGGAGGAGCAGGGGCGGGGGCAATGGGTTTGTGCCTCTGCACACTCTCGCCAGAGTGCTGCCTCTGTCGCTGTCGTATCTCCTCTACATGGTGCGTCTTCATTGCAGGGTGCGTATCTCCTTAGGGGGTTGGGCTGGGAAGGGTGGTGGCAGGCCTGTTTGCTCCCAGCTATTCTGTCTCTGTCGCCCCTGCTGCTGCTGCTGGTAGTGGCGGTGGGGGGAAACTGGGGAAGGGAGGGAAGGGTGGGAGGAGCAGGGGCGGGGGCAATGGGTTTGTGCCTCTGCACACTCTCGCCAGAGTGCTGCCTCTGTCGCTGTCGTATCTCCTCTACATGGTGCGTCTTCATTGCAGGGTGCGTATCTCCTTAGGGGGTTGGGCTGGGAAGGGTGGTGGCAGGCCTGTTTGCTCCCAGCTATTCTGTCTCTGTCGCCCCTGCTGCTGCTGCTGGTAGTGGCGGTGGGGGGAAACTGGGGAAGGGAGGGAAGGGTGGGAGGAGCAGGGGCGGGGGCAATGGGTTTGTGCCTCTGCACACTCTCGCCAGAGTGCTGCCTCTGTCGCTGTCGTATCTCCTCTACATGGTGCGTCTTCATTGCAGGGTGCGTATCTCCTTAGGGGGTTGGGCTGGGAAGGGTGGTGGCAGGCCTGTTTGCTCCCAGCTATTCTGTCTCTGTCGCCCCTGCTGCTGCTGCTGGTAGTGGCGGTGGGGGGAAACTGGGGAAGGGAGGGAAGGGTGGGAGGAGCAGGGGCGGGGGCAATGGGTTTGTGCCTCTGCACACTCTCGCCAGAGTGCTGCCTCTGTCGCTGTCGTATCTCCTCTACATGGTGCGTCTTCATTGCAGGGTGCGTATCTCCTTAGGGGGTTGGGCTGGGAAGGGTGGTGGCAGGCCTGTTTGCTCCCAGCTATTCTGTCTCTGTCGCCCCTGCTGCTGCTGCTGGTAGTGGCGGTGGGGGGAAACTGGGGAAGGGAGGGAAGGGTGGGAGGAGCAGGGGCGGGGGCAATGGGTTTGTGCCTCTGCACACTCTCGCCAGAGTGCTGCCTCTGTCGCTGTCGTATCTCCTCTACATGGTGCGTCTTCATTGCAGGGTGCGTATCTCCTTAGGGGGTTGGGCTGGGAAGGGTGGTGGCAGGCCTGTTTGCTCCCAGCTATTCTGTCTCTGTCGCCCCTGCTGCTGCTGCTGGTAGTGGCGGTGGGGGGAAACTGGGGAAGGGAGGGAAGGGGGGGAGGAGCAGGGGCGGGGGCAATGGGTTTGTGCCTCTGCATACTCTTGCCAGAGTGCTGCCTCTGTCGCTGTCGTATCTCCTCTACATGGTGCGTCTTCATTGCAGGGTGCGTATCTCCTTAGGGGGTTGGGCTGGGAAGGGTGGTGGCAGGCCTGTTTGCTCCCAGCTATTCTGTCTCTGTCGCCCCTGCTGCTGCTGCTGGTAGTGGCGGTGGGGGGAAACTGGGGAAGGGAGGGAAGGGGGGGAGGAGCAGGGGCGGGGGCAATGGGTTTGTGCCTCTGCATACTCTTGCCAGAGTGCTGCCTCTGTCGCTGTCGTATCTCCTCTACATGGTGCGTCTTCATTGCAGGGTGCGTATCTCCTTAGGGGGTTGGGCTGGGAAGGGTGGTGGCAGGCCTGTTTGCTCCCAGCTATTCTGTCTCTGTCGCCCCTGCTGCTGCTGCTGGTAGTGGCGGTGGGGGGAAACTGGGGAAGGGAGGGAAGGGGGGGAGGAGCAGGGGCGGGGGCAATGGGTTTGTGCCTCTGCATACTCTTGCCAGAGTGCTGCCTCTGTCGCTGTCGTATCTCCTCTACATGGTGCGTCTTCATTGCAGGGTGCGTATCTCCTTAGGGGGTTGGGCTGGGAAGGGTGGTGGCAGGCCTGTTTGCTCCCAGCTATTCTGTCTCTGTCGCCCCTGCTGCTGCTGCTGGTAGTGGCGGTGGGGGGAAACTGGGGAAGGGAGGGAAGGGGGGGAGGAGCAGGGGCGGGGGCAATGGGTTTGTGCCTCTGCATACTCTTGCCAGAGTGCTGCCTCTGTCGCTGTCGTATCTCCTCTACATGGTGCGTCTTCATTGCAGGGTGCGTATCTCCTTAGGGGGTTGGGCTGGGAAGGGTGGTGGCAGGCCTGTTTGCTCCCAGCTATTCTGTCTCTGTCGCCCCTGCTGCTGCTGCTGGTAGTGGCGGTGGGGGGAAATTGGGGAAGGAGGGGAGGAGCAGGGGCGGGCGCAGTGGGTTTGTGCCTCTGCATACTCTCGCCAGGGTGCTGCCTCTGTCGCTCTCATATATCCTCTACATGGTACGCATGCATGTGTATGTCCCTTGGGGGTTGGCATGCGATCAAGTGCTACTGTGGGCAAAGAGGGAAAAGGGCGGGCGCAGCGGGTTTGTGCCGCTGCATACTCTTGCCAGAGTGCTGCCACTGTCGCTGTCGTATCTCCTCGACGTGGTACGCATGTGTGTGTCCCTTGGGGTTGCCCTTTCTTGCTCTCATAGATCCTCTATCCCTTTAATACCTGGTTTTGAGTCGACTCAGAAGCTGCCTGGTAGTTACCGCCTCTACATAATACGTAAGGTCTTAGGTAGTCACCACAGTCGCCTTCGATTCACCCTTGCGTATGTCTCTTTGTTCCCTCCCAATCCCACTCACAGGTGGTGGGCATGGCGAGCATAAGGGGAGTAAACGTGCCCATGTACACAGCACTAAGGCGCACCACAGTCGCCTTCACCCTTTGATTAATCCACCCTTTGTGTATTCTACCCAATGTTCTCCCTCTCAACACATAGGTGGTGGGCATGGCGAGCATAAGAGGGGTGAACGTGCCCATGTACACGGCACTAAGGCGCACCACAGTGGCCTTCACCCTCCTGGCAGAGAGACTCCTGTCAAGCAAGCGACACTCCTCATACACGCTCATCAGGTGGGCTTGAGGAGTTCTCTCTCTGCACCGCACTGCACTCCTCCACTCACAGCACCTGGGTGTGCGGCTGTGTCACTCAGCCGCACCACAGTTGCCTTCACTCTCCTGGCTGAGAGACTCCTGTCAAGCAAGCGACACTCCTCATACACGCTCATCAGGTGGGATTGAGGGTTGCACGTCACTCATTTCTCCTCCTCTATTCAAGGCATGTGTGTATATGGGTTGAAATCAGGTGACTTTTGAGTCGACTCAAATGTACGGGATACAATCAGGCGCCCACTGTGCCTTTCCCTTCTGGGTGCTGGCAAGCAAACAGCACTTGTCATACATGCTAATCAGGTGGGGTTGAGGAATTTTCTCCACCGCACTGCACTCCTCCACTCACAGCATCTGAGTGTGCGGCTGACTCAGCCTCACCACACAGCGGCCTTCACTTCACTCTCCTGGCAGAGTGACTCCTGTCAAGCAAGCAAGCACTCCTGAAAGTGTGTGAAGGCAAGCAAGCAAGCACTCCTGAAAGTGTGTGAAGGCGAGCAAGCAAGCACTCCTGAAAGTGTGTGAAGGCAAGCAAGCAAGCACTCCTGAAAGTGTGTGAAGGCAAGCAAGCAAGCGGCACTCCTCTCCTCATACACGGTAGACCGTCCTCCTTCATTGCTGTATGGGAGGCACTCGCTCACCCTGACATTGCACCACACCACAGTCGCTTTGACTCTGCTGACCGAGCTGCTGATGGCAGGCAAGCAAGCGACTCTCCTCATACACGCTCATCAGGTGGGGTTGGGAGCAATTCGTTCCTTCACTGCTGCTGTGCTTGTCTGCTTGTCTGCTTGTGTTCTCGTGTGCTCGTGTGCTGCTGTGCTGCTGTGCCTGTGCCTGTATATGTAGCAATCATATACCTGTCCGCTCTCCTTCAATCTCCCTCTCTGCAGTTCAGTGTGGCAGTCATCGTCACAGGAGCACTGCTGGCAGCGCGAAGGGACTTGTCTCATTCGCACTCATGGTTGTGTGATTGCTTCCCTCCCTCTCCTCCCTTCTCTGCAGTGCAGTGTGGCAGTCATCGTCACAGGAGCACTGCTGGCAGCAGCAAGGGATTACCCACTCACACTCACCGTGTGACGTGCAGCAATCATATTTCTCTCCTCTCGTCTCCTTCCATCTCCCTTCTCCGCAGTTCAGTGTGGCAGTCATAGTCAGGGGAGCACTGCTGGTGGCAGCACTGAGCTAGTGTCACAATGTTGCTTGTGTGCTTGTGCTTGTATATCTCATATTTCTCTCCGCTTCCCCTCTCTGCAGTTCAGTGTGGCAGTCATTGTCACAGGAGCAATGCTGGCAGCACTAAGGGACTTCTCATTTGACGCATACGGCTACTCGCTCGTCTTCCTATCCAACATCACCACCGCACTCTATCTCGCGTTCATCGCAAGGCTAGGCAAAGCCACCGGGCTTAACAGCTTCGGCCTCATGTGGTGTAACGGTGAGCTTTCGGTGCATGTGTCCTCAACCCATTGTGTGTGCCATGTGTCTATGACTGCTCGTTGGTCTTCCTCTCCAACATCACCACCGCACTCTACCTCGCGTTCATCGCAAGACTTGGCAAAGCCACCGGGCTCAACAGCTTCGGCCTTATGTGCTGCAATGGTGAGCCATTACTACTATGTTCTACCATACACCATGCACCATGCATCATCTGCCTGTGGCTACTCGCTGGTCTTCCTATTCAACATCATCACCTCACTCTACCTCGCGTTCATCGCAAGGCTATGCAAGGCCACCGGGCTCAACAGCTTTGGACTCATGTGGTGTAATGGTGAGCCTTCATTTCATTGCATGTGCAGTCAGCCTATAGTCTCCCATCCCTCTACTCCCTCCCTCTATTCCATCCCTCCATCCCATCCCTCTCTTCCTTCAACGCGTCTCAATAGTCCGAAAGTCCACCTCACTGCCTTTGCCGTCTCCTCTCACTCATTCCCCTATCTCATCTCCTCTCACTCATTCCACTATCACATCTCCTCTCACTCATTCCTGTATCCCATCTCCTCTCACTCACTCCCCTATCACATCTCCAGGCGTCATCTGCATCCCCGCCCTCCTTCTCTGGACATTCTTCTCGGGGGAAATTCAACGGACGCTCGATTTCCCGGCACTCCTGCAACCGAATTTCCTGGTGGGTTGGTGGTGGCTAGTGCTTGGTGCGCATGTGAGTCTGTGGGGCAAGGGGGAAAGGGCTGTGTCTGTGTGTTTGCATCCTCGTGCTGCTTCTCTGGACGTTCTTTTTAGGGGAGATTCAAGGGGCTCTTCCCGGCACCGCTGCAACCTAATTTCCTCAAGCTGCTCCCGTGTGTGTGTGTGTGTGTGTGTCCGTTACTCTTAGGTCGGCCTGGCTGTTGCATGTGACACGGGGGAACTGCCACGCTACCGTTGAAACTCAAACGGCGAGCGCTCAAGCTGCAGCAACTCGTGTTCAGGAGCTGGCTTGCCGTAGCTTGAGCGTTCGCTGCTTGAGTGTCAACGGTAGCGAGGCAGTTCCCCCGTGTTAAATGCAACAGCCGGGACGACCAAGAGCAACGGACACACACATAAACACAGACACACACACACACACGCACACACACACACACGGGGTCGAATCAAGTGGAGGGGAGATACATCTCAGCAACTTGCTATGCCGCCATGCTAAGTCAATGCCCTCTTGCCAGTTAGCAAAAGTTGAGTCAGTGCAAGGTTCTCCCCCTAACCCCTCCCCACCCCCCTCCCCCCACTCTTCTGCTCCCACCCTCCAGGCGGTGCTGCTCATATCATGCCTCAAGCCCTTCGCCCTCACCTACACCGTCTTTGGCTCAGCAGCTCTTGATACGTAGCGACTTTTTTGAGGCGCCTCAAAAATCTTGCCTCAAGCCTTTCACCCTCACCTACACCTTCTTTGGCTCAGCAGCTCTTGAAACGTAGCGTGCCCTCTCGTATCACCTGTCCCCCCATGCCCCCACCCACTTCCCCTCTTTTCCTGCAGGTGGTGCTCATGATATCACACCTCATGCCTCACGCTCTTCGTCCTCAGCTACACCATCTTTCTCAACACCTCTTAAATCTTCCTACCTTGATGTTTGTGCAATCTATGCCATCTCTCCCTCCCGCTCATCAGGCTGTGCTGGTGATGTCATGCCTCATGGCCTCATGACCTGCACCATCTTTCCCATGTTCTCTCTACTCATCTAACCTATTTTTGAGCAATCCATGCCATCTCTCCCACCGACCAGGCTGTGCTGGCGATGTCATGCCTCATGGCCTTTGCTCTCAACTACACCATTTTCCTCAACACTTCTATCAACTCCGCCCTCACCCAAACCATGTGCGGCAACATCAAGGTGTGTGGGAACATCAAGGTGTGTGGTAAGATTAAGGTTTGGTGGTAACATCAAGGTTTGGTGGTAACATCAAGGTGTGGTGGTAATTATAGGTGTGGTGGTAACATTAAGGTTTGGTGGTAACATCAAGGTGTGGTGGTAACATCAAGGTGTGGTGGTAACATCAAGGTGTGGTGGTAACATCAAAGTGTGGTGGTAATATCAAAATGTGTGGGAACATTAAGGTGTTGTGGTAACATCGAGGTGTGGAGGTAACATCAAGGTGTGGTGGAACATGGAGGTGTGGTGGTAACATCGACGTGTAGTGGCAACATCAAGGGGTGTGTGTGTGTGTGTAAGGTAACATTATACTGCATTCAGGTGTGCACACCCACCCCACCACCATCTTCCCCAACACCACTCTCAACTCTGCTCTCCACTCTGCGTCTGTTATTCTCATTTCCTAGACTAACCTCACCTCCTAAACTAATCCAGGAATTTTGTCCCTTCTGGCTGGTATCTGCAGGATTTAGGAACGGTTGGAATCGGTTGGGCACTTTTTGGAGGCTTGCCGTTTGACCTGGTAAGAGTGGCAAGGGGAGGAAGAGCGGGGAAGGGTGCGAGGATTTTTTTCCCCCTTCTGAAGGGGGAGAGTTTGGCAGGGAACCCTAAACCCTGAAATTGAGTTGGTGTGGGATGGTTTTGTATGGTAAGAGGGGTTTTAGGGTCTGCTATTTGCCACATGTTACTGTCTGATGTTTTTGTTCTCACTCGAGGTTTTCTTTTCATTGTTGGCTTTTTTTCTGCAGGGCAATATTATTGGGCAAGTTATGGGATTTATGGGTTCGGGTCTATATGCTTACTGCAAGGTCAAAGGTATCTAGAAGACAAGTTATATCTAGTGTTGTGTCCATTTAAATGCCATACGTAGTATAAATTCATTACCATAATCTGGCAATCTAATTCAAGGAAAGCACCTCAGTACAAACGCTTGTAGTAGGGGTGTGGACTATTGTGCCAAGATTGGTTGGAGTCAAAAGTGTTGATGATTTTCACGTAAGTTCCTTTTGCTAGGCCGCTTGTGTACAGTACAGTGAAGCTTCTTCAGTCGAGGATTTGGAATTCCACCAACCATTCCCACCAGCGCGGCACCCCCTCCAACTCCAGCCTCATCCAAAGCTACAGTGCCCAATTCGCCTTGCGAACGAGGCCAGCTCTGTTCCCTCACCTATCCCCCCCACCTCGCGATGTTCCGCAGCCAAGGAATAACGAGGGATTGTCAACTCAAGAATTTGCCTTTTAGGAGTGGCAGTACCCTGGCTCGAATTTCCTGATCGAGTTTATTTTCAGCTGTGGGGACTCATATGCAGTAGCGTATAGGCGGCGAGAATTTCCCCATTTATTCGCATTCTTTTATTTGTTGCGTCACTGAACAATTACCGCATTCTTCACTTCGATACCGCATTTCACTGGAATATTGTTTTGATTTTTTTTCCTCACGAGAGCGTCGTCTCTAGATATTGACCCTCACCACCCGTGATAGTCACATCCCGGTACAGTCACGTCCGTCGCCAGCGATCATGGATGCGAAGGTGCTGAGCTACGGCGACGTCCTTCTTCGCGCGTGCGACGTGGCGACGCTGGAGCCGTCGCAATGGCTCAACGACAAAATCATCGAATTCTACTTCGAATACCTCTCGCGAACCCTCCTCGCCGCAACCGACCCCTCCGCGTCCGCCGCCGGCGCTGCCGCTGGCTCTGCCGCCCGGTCAGCTAGCAGCAGCAGGAGCAGCAGCAGCAGCGGCAGCAGCAGCAACGGCGCCGGCGGCGCTGCTGGTGGTGCGGCGGGAGGGGAGGGTAACAACAGCGCCGTGCTGCTGGTGGGACCGTCGGTGTCGTTTTGGCTCAACATCTGTCCGAGCGACGATGACGTCACGGAAACCATGGCTCCCTTGGGCGTGGAGAGCAAGGAGGTAAGAAATGGGGAGCAACGAGGTTGGGGAGCGCAGGAATAAAATTACGTTTCAATATGTTCCGTCCGTTTTTTGTCACGCAATGCGTCACGGCTTTTCCAAGGCTCCCCTGGGCGTGGAGAACAAGGAGGTACAACAATTGGGTGTTATTGAGTGGAAAGGTGATGTGGTTCTGATGGTGGTGGTGGAAGAAACGAGAAGGTGGCAGGCCTGGGCGTGGAGAGCAAGGAGGTACGGCAATTGGGTGTCATTGGGTGGAAAGCTGATGTGGTTCTGATGGTGGTGGAAGAAACAAGAAGGTTTCAGGCCTGGGCGTGGAGAGCGAGGATGTACAGCAATTAGGTGGTTGTCACTGTGTGGAAGGTGGTTTTGGTGGTGGTGAATGGAAGAAGTGGAAAGGCAGCAGGCTTTCTGAGGGAAAGGAGGACCGGCAATTTGTATACCATTGCATTCGGAACCGTCCGTCCCATCCATTCCACGATGTCACACTGCTTCATGTCATGCTCCTCCTCCTCCCCTCCTCACCTCCTCACTGCCTCCTCACTGACTCCTCGCTGCATCCTCCCTTGCCTCCTCTCCTGCTCTCCTCTCCTCTCCCCCACTCCCCGTGTTGTCATGGCAGCTCATATCCCTGGCAGTCAACGGCAACAACGATCCCGCACTCGCTCAAAACACCCTCTCATTGCCTCTCTTGTTCAACAACTCTCCTTGCCTTCTCCCTCTGTGCTGCATGGCAGCTCATATCCCTGGCAGTCAACGGCAACAACGATCCCGCACTCGCTCAAAACACCCTCTCATTGCCTCTCTTGTTCAACAACTCTCCTTGCCTTCTCCCTCCGTGCTGCATGGCAGCTCATATCCCTGGCAGTCAACGGCAACAACGATCCCGCACTCGCTCAAAACACCCTCTCATTGCCTCTCTCCCTTTGCTCTCCGTTCTCCCTCCCTCCTCTTTTTCAACAACTCTCGTCCCCCCCTCTCCCTTGCCTCCTCTCCCCTTGCTTGCATCCTCGCTGCAGCTCATAGCTCTGGCAGTCAACGACAACAACAATCCCATCACGTTCAATGCTGTTCGCCCTCACTTCCCCCTATCCTCTCCCCCTCCCTCTCCCCTTGCTTGCATCCCCGTGGCAGCTCATAGTTCTGGATGTCAACGATAACAACGATCCCTTCACAGTTCACTTCACGACTCCACCACAACTTTAACAATATCCCCCTTCACTTCACGGCTTGCCTCCCTTCTATCTGTCCCCTTGCTTGCATCCCCATGGCAGCTCATAGCCCTGGCAGTCAACGACAGCAATGACCCCACACTCGTTCACGCTATCTTCTCGTTGCCTCGCTGTTTAACAACTCTTCGTGCCTTCTCCCTCCGTGCTGCATTGCATGGCAGCTCATCACCCTCGCAGACAACGGCAACAACTATCCCAAACTCGCTCAAAACATCCTCTCGTTGCCTCCCTTGCCCCCTCTCTCTCCCCTTGCTTGCCTCTGCATGGCAGGTCATAGCCCTCGCAGTCAACAACAACAACGACCCCACATTCGTTAAATATATCCTCACATTGCCTCCCCTGCTGCATCGCATTGCAGCTCATAGCGCTGGCAGTCAACGACAACAACGACCCCACACTCGTTCAATGCTGTTCCCCCTCACTGCCTCTCTTTCCTCTCCCCCTCTCCCCTTGCGTGCATCCCCACTGCAGCTCATAGCCCTGGCAGTCAACGGCAACAACGACCCCACACTCGCTCAAAACATCATCTCGTTGCCTCCCTTGTCCGCTCTCCCCTTGATTGCATCATCATGGCAGCTCATAGCCTTGGCAGTCAACGACAACAACGACCCCACACTCGCAGAGGCAGGCTCGCACTGGAGCCTTCTTCTCTTCATCAGGTAGCGCTGGTGCCGCTGCTGCCCTTTCTGAACATAGGCTCACATGCAGCGTAACACATCACATGACCGTTGCTGTTCCCCATAAGTTCAGCAGCAACAACGACCCCACACTCGCAGAGGCAGGCTCGAACTGGAGTCTCCTCCTCTTCATCAGGTCAGCTAGGGTTGGTGCTATGCTATGCTAGTGTCCCACTGGCTTTGGGATATCGCACAACTGCTGCTTTTCACATAGGGTCTGCAGGAACTACGGCCCCACACCCGCACATGCAGGCCTCTCTCTGCCTCTCTCTGCCTCTCTCTGCCTCTCTCTGCCTCTCTCTGCCTCTCTCTGCCTCTCTCTGCCTCTCTCTGCCTCTCTCTGCCTCTCTCTGCCTCTCTCTGCCTCTCTCTGCCTCTCTCTGCCTCTCTCTGCCTCTCTCTGCCTCTCTCTGCCTCTCTCTGCCTCTCTCTGCCTCTCTCTGCCTCTCTCTGCCTCTCTCTGCCTCTCTCTGCCTCTCTCTGCCTCTCTCTGCCTCTCTCTGCCTCTCTCTGCCTCTCTCTGCCTCTCTCTGCCTCTCTCTGCCTCTCTCTGCCTCTCTCTGCCTCTCTCTGCCTCTCTCTGCCTCTCTCTGCCTCTCTCTGCCTCTCTCTGCCTCTCTCTGCCTCTCTCTGCCTCTCTCTGCCTCTCTCTGCCTCTCTCTGCCTCTCTCTGCCTCTCTCTGCCTCTCTCTGCCTCTCTCTGCCTCTCTCTGCCTCTCTCTGCCTCTCTCTGCCTCTCTCTGCCTCTCTCTGCCTCTCTCTGCCTCTCTCTGCCTCTCTCTGCCTCTCTCTGCCTCTCTCTGCCTCTCTCTGCCTCTCTCTGCCTCTCTCTGCCTCTCTCTGCCTCTCTCTGCCTCTCTCTGCCTCTCTCTGCCTCTCTCTGCCTCTCTCTGCCTCTCTCTGCCTCTCTCTGCCTCTCTCTGCCTCTCTCTGCCTCTCTCTGCCTCTCTCTGCCTCTCTCTGCCTCTCTCTGCCTCTCTTGGCCTCTCTCTGCCTCTCTCTGCCTCTCTTGGCCTCTCTCTGCCTCTCTCTGCCTCTCTCTGCCTCTCTCTGCCTCTCTCTGCCTCTCTCTGCCTCTCTCTGCCTCTCTTGGCCTCTCTCTGCCTCTCTCTGCCTCTCTCTGCCTCTCTCTGCCTCTCTCTGCCTCTCTCTGCCTCTCTCTGCCTCTCTCTGCCTCTCTCTGCCTCTCTTGGCCTCTCTCTGCCTCTCTCTGCCTCTCTCTGCCTCTCTCTGCCTCTCTCTGCCTCTCTCTGCCTCTCTCTGCCTCTCTCTGCCTCTCTCTGCCTCTCTCTGCCTCTCTCTGCCTCTCTCTGCCTCTCTCTGCCTCTCTCTGCCTCTCTCTGCCTCTCTCTGCCTCTCTCTGCCTCTCTCTCTCTGCAGGTCTCACCTCCTCTTCCTTTGACAGCATGGATCTACACAATCTGCGCCCCTCTCATGCGTTGCCTGCCCAACTCCTCTCTCTTTTTCTCCTCGGGTGACCCCACTGTACGTCTCACTGCCTCCTCCTCCCATTTGACTGCGCCAGCTCACACAATCTTCTCCCCTCCATGCAGTGCCTGTCCACACCCTCCCTCTCTCTCCCTCTCTCACTTTCTCCTCTCCCCTCCACACTGCAGGTCACGTCGTCTCTTCCTTCACTTTGACAGCGCCGGCTCGCACAATCTGGAGGCCGCTAAGGGGCTTGCTGAGAAGCTTCAAGCCGTCCTAGGTGCGTTTTGGTGGGGGTGCGTTTTGGTGGAGGGGCGTTTTGATGTAGGTTAGCTTGTGGTAGGGGCATTTGCGATAGAGGCTTTCTGGTGTGGCAGCATACTGGTGTGTGCGCAATCACTTTTGAGAATTCTATGTGCAATCTATTTCCCCCTTTTTTTTGAATTTCTTTTCCCAATTTCTCTTTCATGCCCCCTTTTGTCATTCTTTCATTTCACCTTTTCTTTGTTCCTATTCTTGTGTATGCTTCCTCACAGGTGTTACAGTGACTGACGACACTTTCCAATCAGCATCTACACCTCAACAGCTAAACGGGTACGACTGTGGAGTGTACGTACTCGCTATAGCAAAGGCCCTCTGCGAGACCGCATCTGCTGCTCCCGAGGGGAAAGCATTGGCAGAGGAACTGGAAAGCTCAGCCAAAGGGGTGGATGCGGCAGCGGTTACCAAGTTACGGGGAGACGTGAAGCAGCTTATTCAACACCTGGGGAAGCAAAGCAAGGAGTAAAAGCGCTACCCAACTCCTGTGCCTGTGCTGCATTATCAACTGGGCTCCACCATTTTTGAGAAATCTAAAAAGTCGCACAACTTGGCCCCACCATGCATGCAATAAGGGAAGCTGGGGAGTTGAATGGCCGAGGAGGACCACTTACTGGCGGTGAAGCTGCTGATTCGACATCCGGGGAAGCAAGCAAGCAACACGAGTGAAAGACATACCGTGCTTGTGTTTCAGAATTCTCCGCGCTGCAGGAGACATGAGATCTCTGGTTGTGGCTATGGATGGCTGAGGACCAGCACATGACATTTGAGCCAACCCAAAAGTGGCCATGGGTTGGTATGGTAAGTGAAGAAACCGGAAGGTGTTTCTATGCTGTGCTGCGTGGTCTCCCTTGCGCCTCAGGCAGGCATGACACGTTATGGTGGCAAGGAAATGAAAACGGTGGTTGCTGGAATGGGTTGATTGCTATTGGTACATGCCAAATGCTTTAAAGACAAGATATTGTTATCCAGACATTCCTTTCAGCAGTCATTGGAGTGTACTATGAGACTTAACCCGTGTCCAAGCTAGAAGTGCCATGCCAGCTTTGATTTCAGTAGTTTTCCTTCTGTGCTCACTGTATCACATCCCTCTTTATTGAGCAGCACAAGTCTTAAGGACTGGAATGGAATCCAAACTGTATCATAAACCACTTCGTTCTGGAGTGTACAGCCATGGTACATACAGACAGTACTGGTTTGAGTACCGTACCAAGGACAGCACTTCCACACATGTAAATTGTTGGAAGGCCATCCAGGACAAACGCTGCTCCCACCTTATCTTCCCTAACATTGCTTGGCAGACAAACACTTGGAAGTACCGTACCGGTACCCCCCCAATCAAGCACGCCACCTAATGCTGAGCGTCTCATGCTGCTGCTTGTGGTCTCAGCTGGGCCTGGAGCTCTGCTGTCCACATGCCTTGAATGCTGGGCCGTGTTGATTCGTGCTGTGTCTTCAGCTTGCCCACTTTTCGCCCCGTGGAATTCCCACCTTATCCTCTGGTGTTCCTTGGACAAATGTTCATAAGGACTTCCCCAATACAAGCACACCACCTAATGCTGAGTCTCTTATGCTGCTGCTTGTGATCTCAGCTGGGCCTGGAGCTCCGGTGTCCACATGCCTTGAAAGCTGGGCCGTGTTGATTCGTGCCGCGACTTCAGCTTGACCACCACTTTCCTCTCCGTGGAGTTCCTTGGACAAGCACTCATAAGGATTCTCCCAATACAATACATTCATAAGAATTACGCTGCTTGTGATCTGAGCTGCGCCTGAAGCTCTGGCGTCCACATGCCTTGGATGCTGGGCCGAGTTGACTCGTGTCGCGACTTCAGCTTGACCACTTTCCGCCCCGTGGAATTCCGCAGCCTTAAAGCCTGGATGAGAATGGTCTCCGCCTCTTGATTCTTCACATCCACCACCCTCTCCCTCCCATTCACTGCGTGGAGTAGCACGGGAGAAGGGAGGGAAATGGGGGTGGAACATTGATTGAAAAGCCTTAAAGCCTGGATGAAGATTGTCTCTGCCTCTTGATTCTTCACATCCACCACCCTCTCCCTCCCGTTCACTGCACGGCATAGCATGGCGTGGCAAGGTGTGGGAAGAGAGAGGGAAATTGGGATGTATCAGTGTGCGAGAGATTAATCGAAGGTGCCTCAACAACATGAAGCCCGGATGAGTCTCAGCCTCTTGATTCCTCACATCCACCCACCTCTCCCTCCCATTCACTGCGAGGCAAGCAAGGCGTGGCATGACATAGCAAGTCACGGCAAGGTCTGGGAGGATGGCAATGGTGGTGTATGAGTGAGTCAAGTAGTATTTCAGAGGTGTCTCAAAAGGCTTAAATCCTGGATGTGGATGGGGTCTGCCTCTTAGATCTTCACACCCACCCCTCTCCCTCCCGTTCACTACGTGGACCTGGGATGACGCGGCATGGCAGGGAAGACAGGGGGAATTGGTGATGGATAAGTGTGAGTGACAGACGATGATATGTACAGGCACTCAGATGCACGCATGCACATGCACAGAACATTCATGCACATGCACAGATGCGCATAGGCATAGGAGCACGCAGACACATGCACACGCACATGCACACGCACATGCACACGCACATGCACACGCACATGCACACACTCATGCACACGCACATGCACACGCACACGCACATGCACACGCACACGCACATGCACACACATCACACACACGCACATGCACACGCACATGCACATGCACATGCTTACTCGTTTGTGTACATACCGTACTGTGCATGCAGGTTAGGGTGCTTGCCCCGGTTCACAACAGCTTCAACTGCCAGCTGCGGATTGGCCTCTTTAAATTGTGGCAGGAGAGAAGCCACAAACTCCCTGGCATGGCATGGGGAGGTGATAGTGAACGGAAGGAGGGTATTTACTGTCTATCCTTTGCTTTAAGCCTGACTAAGTTTGCAGCTGTGGATTGGCCTACTTAAATTGTGGCAAGACCACAAGCCACAAACTCCCTGGCATGGCATGGGGGGGTGATAGTGAACGGAAGGTACCAAAGAGCACAAACGTTGCTGCAAAGGGAATCATACATGGCACATGTATATGTATACGTATAGGTATAAGTTCGATTTCTTCATTGAATTTAATCAAGAATCATCACGATCACACTTTCAAAATTTGTCAAAGGGAGAGAGAGAAACACACTCGGATAAAAAAATAATCACAATCAAGGTTTCAGGATCTGTCAAAAGAGAGAGAGGTGGGCTGCGGAGTAACATGAGGTCTCAAAAATACATGGTTGCCACAAACTCTCTGCACCGTACCACTTTGCACCGTACCACTTTGCACCGTACCACTCTGCACCATACCTCCCTGTACCGTACCTCCCTGCACCGTACCCCTTGAACCATACCATACCTCACTGCACCCTACCTCCATGCACCCTACCTCCCTGCACCCAACTTCCCTGCACCCTACCTCACTGCACCCTACCGCTCTGCACCCTAACTCTCTGCACCCTATATCCCTGCATCCTACCTCCCTGCATCCTAACTCTCTGCACCCTACATCCCTGCACCCTACCTCCCTGCACCCTACCTCCCTGCACCCTACCTCCCTGCATCCTACCTCCCTGCACCCTACCTCCCTGCACCCTACCTCCCTGCACCCTACCTCCCTGCACCCTACCTCCCTGCACCCTACCTCCCTGCACCCTACCTCCCTGTACCCTACCTCCATGCACCCTACCTCCCTGTACCCTACCTCCCTGTACCCTACCCTACCTCCTTGCACCGTATCTCCCTGCACCCTACCCCCCTGCACCCTACCTCCCTGCCTGCGCCAATTGTCAACAGATAATAACAGCAGGACCGAGCAGAGAGGAGACGAGGGAGGAGATGCAAGCATGGTAACTTGGCAGTAACAGAGTTACTTGGTAGTAACAAGGAAAAGTGCGGTGACATGGTGAATTTGTGGTAACAGGAACTTTATGGTAGTAGGTTAACTTGGTGGTAAAAGTGTTACTTAAAACCGGGGTCTCAAGTTTCCCGAAGTTGCCTCATCCTTCCTACCTTTGGTTGGGTTACAAAGTCCAACCAACCTTCCTACCTTTGAAACCTGTGGACCCTGGGTTTTAAGCGTTTGTGGGACGCTACTAAGTGTCACTAAGGAGGCGCTTTCATCGCATCTACTGATAAGAAATATGAGTGGGGCTGGAAGGACATGTGTTCTTCTGACTTCAATCTCAACGAATAGAAAACTCTAGTGGCGCTTAACCATTAAAAAAAAAAAAAAAAAAACAGTTACACACGCTTTGTAAAACTGAATGAACGGGAACAGCGTTTTCTCAGCACATCACCCGGGATAGTGGGGGGACTCGTCGCTGTAGTGAGGAGAGTCAGCTGAGCGCCCTTGGCTACCCCAACTCGAGCTCAAACGCACTTCAACGCACCGTAGCGACGGGCGCGTTCAGGCCAACGAATCAGCGTCCTTAGCTACCCCAACTCGAGCTCTCAAACGCAATTCAATTCAACTCGGTCTGAACGCGCCCTTGGCTACCCCAACACTACCGCATCAGGTTGAACTTAAAGCAGTAAAAGTGACGGGCGTCGCCGCCAATATCTGCGCGTGCCGCGTGTGCTTGGATGCACACGCACGCAGTGATTGTTGAGTTGACGCGGCGCGTCAAAACTCGCACGCGCGTGTGGTCGATATTGCATTCTTCGACGCATCGCGAGAAACAAGGAGGGGGAAGGGCAGCGAGCAGCGAAGGGGCTATTTGGAGGGCTCAGCGCCCTTTCGCTGCCCGCTCAGAGCCCATTCGTTGCCCGCTCAGAGCCCTTTCGCTGCCCGCTCAGAGCAGTCTGGTCTGTCAAGAAAATGCATGTTCGGGCCACCTCAAGGGCTAAAGGCACTCAGGGCGGATGGAAAGCAGCGAGAGAGAGCTCAGACACTCCGAACATTCGAGAAAATGGCGGATCTGAAGCGGGACCGTGGTTTCGGACAACTGCATGATTCGAAATGAACGAGACTTGGTCTCCTACTGAAAAAACAAAGGCTTTCGTTTTTTGTGTCCAGATAAAGCATCGACGATAGAAGAGCTACCTCGCGCCGCGGCTACTGCCGGAGAAATCGCAGTGGTTGACGACTAGCCGTCGGAGCTGCCACACTCCGCGCACCGCCATATCTTATACCGAGACCTCTATTAACGCGTCAATCTTGCTGCAGCGAACGGAACAGCAACGGTGGCGTAGGAACGGAAAGTCACAGCAGGGAAAGTCGCGATCGCATACTAATCAGCTGCGAGCTGCAAACGAATACTGGTAGTGAAGACCGCGACGCGTGGAGCAGATGGGGAAGTGGGAAGGGAAGCGAAGGCGTGGGTGGGGGTGAAGAACAATAACAGGAGCTTCAGTAATGGCGTCCTCGCAAAACCTACAAGTGGTGTTTTCACAGACCGGTTTCCTCTCAGCATAGTTGTACCATGCATTATCGTGATGATAATTCCCAAGAATAAAGGAAAGTGCCATGAAAAGAAGTATGGAGCAGCAGCAGCAGCAGTAAGGAGCACAATATCATTGTTTTTATCTTCATATGTTCCGTGAAAAGAACTTTGCATCAGCAGTAAGGAGCACAATATCATTGTTTTTATCGAAGGAATTACGGTAAGATTTTTATTACAAAAGAACGAACACCAGCATGCGACTAAAGATTCCAATGCTCTCACACGGTTCAACCGTTCCACTAGTTTGCCGGTCAGACGATGGCTCGTCGCTTCATGCGGTTATCAAGGCTCACCTAATCTGCACCCAAATATTTACATACCCTCATCTCCCGGTTAGAAGACCCGGGGGTCTTATCCCAAATGTGCCAAAAATGGGTTGTGGGGTCTTCTGTGATGGCATATAGTACATAAGACCCCTGGACATCTATTAATTACCAAAAATGGATTGTGTAGAGTGCTGTGTTGAAGAAATTCGAAACTTTCTGTACTGAATTTTGAATTCCTTTACAGCGCGGAAATTTGTTCTCAGATTCTCGCACTCGAGTCTCGCCGATTCCTATCCGCTCGTTCTGTAATGCCGAATAATGCCATGCACGTCGGCAATTCTTGCTTGAAGGGCGGCAAAAACGCGTGATTGATGCGGCATCTTGACTCCCTTGACCACAAATTCGTCTAACAAAGTGAATTTGGCGGTTTTTTGTTTGACTCGCTAACTAGCTCATGAACTAAACACCACTCATTATAGCACGTTTCAAAAGAGGAGGGGTCTTGTATTTAATAGGGTCAAAAGACGGGTCCTCTACAGGAATGACATAATAAAAGACCCCTGGTCCGGATAAAGGACCCAGGGGCTTGTACGCGGGGGGGGTCTTCTTGCCGGGAGATTACGGTAACAGCCATCTAAAGTTTCCCAATGACAAGGCAGAAACCATGGGAAGCAAGCGTCAAAAGATGAACATGCCACAGCTGGATACATACAGACAGCATACATTTGCATCACAGGGCTTTCTTCAGCAGTGGATGCCGAGCGGGCTTGTGTAGCCTCGATGCAATCAGCTCCTCTACTGCTATCCTCCTCACTGTGTGAAAGTCAATGTCCGCGTAACGACCCCTGCAAAAAACAACAGGGAAGGGCAAGAAATAGCAAAAAGGGTCACCAGTATGGGCATGTGAGTACATTCAAGCATTTGCTTTGTGCAGCCCCCATGCAATCAGCTCCTTTAGTGCTCGATAACGGGAACTCTATCCAAGCCCTGCAAGGAACCGCACGGGAGTGCCAGCAGCAGCGGACGAATGCAGGTAAATGAATGTGGCCATTCGGCGAGACGAATGTAGGATTGATGGGAATCGGTGCTTCATGGCTTGACACCAAGGTTGGTGCACGAGAAGCAGTAAATGGACGTTCGTTTTGAGTAGGCTCACGTGTGCTTTGTGTCAACTTACCAGAAGTGGTGCTTGGACCAATCAGACGCAGGGAAGGCTGGGCTGGATAGGCCGTGGAGGATGCGGGCAATGGCTCGCGCGCTGACAGGTGGCGCATCGGGATTGGCTTGCTGGCAGCGCAGAAACACCTGGATTAGAGGGAAGATGGACAGGTGAATCAGTGTGAGATTGTTGGGAGTATGAATGTGCGCACGAGCGTGAGCGTATAAGTGAGTGTGCAAGTGTGCGGGGTTGCATTTGAACGACACAAAAACATTACACAAACCTTCATGTCCCACGCTGCATACCTCTCACCTTAATGTCGCTCACCGCCACCTTTGATTTTCGCTCACCTTGATGTCACTGCGGAGAAATTGACTGATGGGAGATGAAGTCCAAAGGAAGCCGGTCACAAGCCCAATGTTGCATGCACAGGCAGGGAGCAGGGGAACAGGTATGGAGACGCATGTTTTAGAGCTGAAACGAAGGCAGCAGGGCACGTGATGCAGCCTTATGTAAGCGTGATGTGTGTGTATGTGTCTATGAATGAAGTGGGTCACGCGCCCAATGGTGCATGCACATTCAGGGAGAAGGAGCACAGGCATGACGACGTATTTTACAGGGTCGAAAAGAAGGCTGCAGCACATGTGGACGCATGTACATGTGATGTGTGTGTGGATGAATGTGCCTATGCGTGCATATGTGAAGGCATGCATGCATGACAACCATTCACATGCCTTTAGTATTTGTTCGCACGCTCCGCTCCTGCATGCACGTGTGTTTGCATTTTTTGTTGTTTTCTGCGCATCTATGTGTGTACGCACGCACGCAGTACCATTCACATTCATGAGACCACCAACCTCACCTCGCAGTGGTGACAGGAGCAGGAGAAGCAAGCAGAGGCGGCACGGAGCCATCTGGGGAGTCAAAGTAAGCCGCGATGCAGCGCTGCAGGAGGGCTGTCTGCCTGCCTCATGTGCGCGTGTGTATGCGTGTCTGCAGCAATCTCACCTCGCAGTGTTGACAGGGGCAGGAGCAGCAGGCAGGGCCGGCACGGAGCCATCAGGGGAGTCAAAGTAGGCCACGATGCAGCGCTGCAGGAGGGCTGTCTGCCTGCCACCCTGTGACCTGCTGCTCTCCGGTTCAGCTGCCTCTTGTGCTGCTGCTGCTGGTGGTGGTGCTGCTGGTGCTGGTGGTTGTGTTGCTAGCTGAGCTGCTGCTGCTGGTGCTGGTGGTGGTTGTGTTGTTAGCTGAGCTGCTGCTGGTGCTGGTGGTGGTTGTGTTGTTAGCTGAGCTGCTGCTGGTGCTGGTGGTGGTGCTGTTGGTTGTGCTGCTGGGATTTGAGCTGCTGCGACTGCGACAGCGTACATGGCATCAAGCTTCGCCACCTGATGGCGGAGGGAAGCGGAAAACACACACACATTCGACACATACACTATAAAGACAGCACTATAAAGTCCTAAGGTGCAAGTCATAAGCGTGTGCATAATGGATAAAATATGCAGTAGCATGAATGCAACAGCACTCACCACCACAGCGATAAAACCTGTATACAAAAAAATGCCTGAAGAGACCTGAAAGATTTATCAGGAAAGGGGAAATGGCTCCGGTGGTGGTATGAGTGAGCGTTTAAACATACACGCGATATGCTTGAGCACTCACTGTTACCATCACCTGAGCCATACCCCCTCTTCTGGTAAGTCTTTCAGGTCTCTTCAGGTATTTTCTGGTATATGGTTCTCGTGGCTATCATGGTGAGCGCTTTTACATTCATGCTACTGCATATCTCATCCATCATGCACTCGCATATGACTTGCACCTCTAGACCTTCGTGTGACACTTGTACTGATCCACCCTCTCTTCTCCTCCTTTGATTCACTTTGCAGGTTTCTCAACATAGAAGGCCTTAGAGACGAGGGAGGACTCTTAGGGCGAGACAGCGGAGAGGGTGTGGTACGATCCACACTTGTTTGAAGAAGTGTTTTGAGACGTCTCAAAACACTTCTTCAAACACTTAGGGCGAGACAGCGGAGAGGGTGTGGTACGATCCACACTTGTTTGAAGAAGTGTTTTGAGACGTCTCAAAACACTTCTTCAAACACTTAGGGCGAGACAGCGGAGAGGGTGTGGTACGATCCACACTTGTTTGAAGAAGTGTTTTGAGACGTCTCAAAACACTTCTTCAAACACTTAGGGCGAGACAGCGGAGAGGGTGTGGTACGATCCACACTTGTTTGAAGAAGTGTTTTGAGACGTCTCAAAACACTTCTTCAAACACTTAGGGCGAGACAGCGGAGAGGGTGTGGTACGATCCACACTTGTTTGAAGAAGTGTTTTGAGACGTCTCAAAACACTTCTTCAAACACTTAGGGCGAGACAGCGGAGAGGGTGTGGTACGATCCACACTTGTTTGAAGAAGTGTTTTGAGACGTCTCAAAACACTTCTTCAAACACTTAGGGCGAGACAGCGGAGAGGGTGTGGTACGATCCACACTTGTTTGAAGAAGTGTTTTGAGACGTCTCAAAACACTTCTTCAAACACTTAGGGCGAGACAGCGGAGAGGGTGTGGTACGATCCACACTTGTTTGAAGAAGTGTTTTGAGACGTCTCAAAACACTTCTTCAAACACTTAGGGCGAGACAGCGGAGAGGGTGTGGTACGATCCACACTTGTTTGAAGAAGTGTTTTGAGACGTCTCAAAACACTTCTTCAAACACTTAGGGCGAGACAGCGGAGAGGGTGTGGTACGATCCACACTTGTTTGAAGAAGTGTTTTGAGACGTCTCAAAACACTTCTTCAAACACTTAGGGCGAGACAGCGGAGAGGGTGTGGTACGATCCACACTTGTTTGAAGAAGTGTTTTGAGACGTCTCAAAACACTTCTTCAAACACTTAGGGCGAGACAGCGGAGAGGGTGTGGTACGATCCACACTTGTTTGAAGAAGTGTTTTGAGACGTCTCAAAACACTTCTTCAAACACTTAGGGCGAGACAGCGGAGAGGGTGTGGTACGATCCACACTTGTTTGAAGAAGTGTTTTGAGACGTCTCAAAACACTTCTTCAAACACTTAGGGCGAGACAGCGGAGAGGGTGTGGTACGATCCACACTTGTTTGAAGAAGTGTTTTGAGACGTCTCAAAACACTTCTTCAAACACTTAGGGCGAGACAGCGGAGAGGGTGTGGTACGATCCACACTTGTTTGAAGAAGTGTTTTGAGACGTCTCAAAACACTTCTTCAAACACTTAGGGCGAGACAGCGGAGAGGGTGTGGTACGATCCACACTTGTTTGAAGAAGTGTTTTGAGACGTCTCAAAACACTTCTTCAAACACTTAGGGCGAGACAGCGGAGAGGGTGTGGTACGATCCACACTTGTTTGAAGAAGTGTTTTGAGACGTCTCAAAACACTTCTTCAAACACTTAGGGCGAGACAGCGGAGAGGGTGTGGTACGATCCACACTTGTTTGAAGAAGTGTTTTGAGACGTCTCAAAACACTTCTTCAAACACTTAGGGCGAGACAGCGGAGAGGGTGTGGTACGATCCACACTTGTTTGAAGAAGTGTTTTGAGACGTCTCAAAACACTTCTTCAAACACTTAGGGCGAGACAGCGGAGAGGGTGTGGTACGATCCACACTTGTTTGAAGAAGTGTTTTGAGACGTCTCAAAACAAGCCTACGTCACATGGTGACACCTGCGAAACGACTCAAAAGTCACTGGCAACACCCGTGGGGCTCACCGTTGGCCTCTCCACAGTCGCCAGTCGCAGGTGCAGGTGCAGCAACTTACTAAAGAAAGCCTGACTCGCGTGGAAACATAAAGATGACATGATGGGTGCATGCAACTCACTGTTGATCGCTCAACAGCCGCCAGTCGGTGGCAGATGGCTGCTGCCAGAGAGGAGAGGCTCTTGGGGCGAATCATAGGAGTGTGTGTGTGTGTAGTACATTTCACACTTGCTGAACCAGGCCTACTTCACGTGGCAATCTAACATGCCTTTGACTCACCGTTGACTTCTCAACAGCCGCCAGTCGGTGGCAGATGGCTGAAGCCAAAGAGGAGAGGCTCTTGGGGCGAGATATGAGCTGCACGCACAAGGAAGGTTCCTGGAACTCGCACACAATCTCCCCGCACCTCTGGAAGGGACAAGAGGAGCGAGGGAGAATGGACGGGAGAAGGAGAAAGTGAAGAGGAGAGGATAAAATAGGAGAAAACGTATCGATTTGTCATGTCACATATTTGGTGCAATTTCACCCACCGCAGCCATGGCATACCTGCCAGTTTCCTGAGGCAGCTAGCAGCATCTGCAGCGTTAGAAGAAGGTGAATGGAAGGCGGTGCAGCTGGATAGAGTATGTATTGATACCCCACCCATGGCATACCTGCAGGTCTCTCAACGCAGCAAGCAGCGTCGGCAGCGGCATGCAAGCGTGATTGGCCAGCAGTGCCAGCTGGAGGCGTTTCAAGAACATGTCTACTCTAAGAGGGGGGGGGGGTTCCCGATTGGCATACCTGCAGGTCTCTCAAGGCAGCAAGCAGCATGGGCAGCGGCATGCACGCGTGATTGGCCAGCGGTGCCAGCTGGATGGTGTACCGGCCATTGCGAGGGGTGGGGTTGGCCCTGAGGTAAGGTGGAGAGGGAGGGGGGGGGGGGGGGGGGGGGGGGGGGAGGTGAATGTGACACAGGCAGAGGCATGGGCATGCGCGCGTGATTGGCCAGCGGTGCCAGCTGGATGGTGTAGCGCCCGTTGCGGGGGCTGGGGTTGGTCCTGAGGGAAGGCAGAGGGAAGGTGGAGAGCGGAGAGCAGAGGGGAACATGAGGACATGATTAGCAGCAGTGCCAGCAGCAGCAACATGCGCACGTGATTAGCCAGCGGTGCCAGCTGGACTGAGTACCGGCCATTGCGGGGGTGGGGGTTGGACCTGAGGGAAGGTAGGGAGAAGGCAATAAAGATAGCGGGTGATTCCGAGGGCAATGGCAGCAGACGCAGTAGTGGCAGTAGTCACTTCCAATGGACAATTCCATTGAAAGTGGTGCATGTGTCACTGCCACTGGCAGAGATCAACACATCTCAAAAACACCGTTACCCCATCGCAAAACCAGTGGCAGTGGCAGGGGTGTGGGTAAAAGACAGTGGCCAGCTGTTCCCACCTGGATCGTGGTAGGATTAGTGCGGCGCATTGAAGGGGTTAGGGTTAGTGGTGGGGGAAGCACAGAGGATTGAGGTGATAGGTGAATCCGAGAGCATGGGTGGGTGGAATGGGTGGTGGTGGCATGGGTAGTGGTGGCCATGCCACGACACGGGTGGTCGTGGTAGGTGGTGGTGACAGCTGGGAGAATAGCAAGGAGTTTGGATGGGAAGGGGAGAATCGAACCAGAGGAGGACAAAGGTGAGCAGGTGCAAGGCATAAGTTTTTTGAGGCGCCTCAAAAGTCAGGTGCAAGGCATAAGCCACGAAGACTAGCACAAGAATAGTAATATCTGAGGCACCTCGTTTTGTAGAAATTTACAAGGGAATGAGGGAGGAGGGGAACAAGGGGGGGATTGGAGTGAAAGGCAGCACAGCACAGCGGACAATGCAAGAGACAGTAGAAGTATACTCACTCAAGAATAGCCTTCACAAGAGGTACCTTCCTGGAAAGAGCCTCCACTGGGGTCTGTCACGGAAACAAGAAGGAAATCGAAATCAGACACAAGTGAATAGGAACAGGGCGTTTGGCATTGAGAGCATAGGGCAGTAAAATGCATCGCCGCATGGGCAGGCATGGGCAGTAGGAACAGGGCGTTTGGCATTGGCCGTGAAACGCATGGTCGCATGCGGGCGGAAAGAGATGGGAAACGATCTAAAAGCACCGGTCATGAGGCATTGGGCATTGGCCATTGGGCATAGCTGTAGGGCGAGAGATTGGGATATCGAGGACTGACTGAGCACGGGACAGCACATGGCAAGATTCAAAGAAACAAGAACATGAGCATGGGAACGTTTCAAGGAAGCTGCACATGTGGACGGAGAGGAGATAGGAGCAGGAAGGACATGTTTGAGTGAGTGAGATGCCTCAGAATATGTAGGCGACATGTGAAAGTGAACGCATCTGTACCTTATCGAAAGAGGTGACGCAGCATGGCGAAGGAGCAGACGCAGCGGATGTTTGAATTGAGATGTCACAAATCTAGCACCCGTACCTTGTGGAAGGAGAGGAGGCAGGAAGCAGGCGCCTCCGGCATCATTCGCAGGTAAGCAGTGGCAGCAGCAAGGGGGGTGGGAGGTGAAAGTGGTGGTAACGATGATGATGATGGTGCTGAGGAAGGGGGCAGTGAATCCGCAGATGCTGGTGGGGTAGGAGTCTCGCAGAACACGAGAATTGTCTCCATGACCTGGTGGGGAAAGGGGTGGAAGCGAGAAGGAAGGCATGGATATTAAGGCGCCTCAGACAGGTACAGGGGGCTTTGGAGACGTCCCAAAAGTACGGGGGGCACTGCAGAGAAACTAGAGACGCCACGGAAGAGAAGGAAGAAGCAAGCAGGCTGTATTGTGACCACGCTTGTCGAAACAGTCCGATGGCAAAAAACGGGCAGTTTTTGAATTCCTTTTAGACAGAACCATGAAAAATCTGCTTAAGAGTTTGCAGTGAAGAGATGTTTTGGCCGACAAAAATATATACTTTCTCAAATCACACAGATTTGTGTTGAATGAAGAAAGAAGTTAAAGCTGCTAGACGGTTTGTGACGTTTCAGTATTGCGAATGAGCTGATTGGGATTTTTTTTTTTGTAGCTGCTGCTTCCCCAGTCAGTCTAAAAGCTGAAGCCGAATGCTCTCTGCCGCTGAAGGGTATTTTTGAGAATTCTCAAAAATACCCTTCAGCATCAGTCTAAAAGCTGAAGCTGAATGCTCTCTGCCTCCATCTCCCACCTCTGTATTCAACCCCCATTTCTCCCTTCTTCCTTCCCTCACCTCTGGGCGAATGTCAAGGGACTGAGCCGTTTTTTCCTTGGGAATGGTCCGGAACACAGGAATCTGCACTGCTGCTTCAGGTGGTTCTTCAGGTGATTCTTCAGGTGCTGATGGCAGTTGGAAGTCGCCAAAGACGAGGGAGAGGAAGGCAGCTACAGTGCTCTCTGATACTCCGTCCCTTCAGGCGGGGGAATATGGGGTGAGATGGAAGAATATGGGGTGAAATAGGGTGGCATGCACGTTTGTGAGTTTTAGCAGATTTCCAGCGCGGTTGGAAAAGGTCACTATGAGAACAAGGCACGCTCAATACAAGGTTAGGATTGATGCAAATCAACGTTGAGGTTACGAATGTGCTAATAATGAGGCAAGCAATGATGAATGGGCACCATGCAAGTGCTTCTGAAGGGAGAAATATGCTGCTAATAAGAGTGCTAATTATGAGGTGTGCAAGTAAAGAGGGAACTAGTCAAGGGTGCACTCAAAACGAGTGTGCTACTAACGAGTGTGTTACAGCTGAGTGTGTTACAAACGATTGCACTGCTAACAGAGACTGCTACAAACGAGTCTGTCACTAACGAGTGTGCAAGGCTGCGCAGGCGAAGGTAGCAGGGTCGGTCCACAAACAAATGGCAGAAGGCGGGTTGACCGTTGCGCCCCGCACGACCTATCTCCTGTGCGGGTGGATCATGGGGGAGGGGGAGGGCACGGAAGTGAGGAGAGAAGAGGTAGCAGGGGCGGTCCACAAAGAGGTGGCAGAAGGCCGGTTGACCGTTGCGCCCCGCACGGCCTATCTCCTGTAAGGGTGGAGCATGGCGGGGAGTGCGGAGGGGAGAGAGGAGGGGGAAAGACGGGGGGGGGGGGGGGGGGGGGGGGGATACGGGGATGGAGAGGGGACGGAAGAGAAGTGGGGAGAGAAGGTAGCAGAGGTGGTCAACAGAAGGGGGGGTGCCCGTTGCGTCCTTTGCGACCGATCTCCTGAGAGGGAGCGAAGATGGGAGAGAAGAGGGGAGAGAGCGGAGAGAGGGGAGAGAGGAAGGGGGAAACAAAAGGAGACGAAAGAGGACGCAGCAGTCTCATCCCTATTCTCCAACCTCCCCAGCCTCCCCATGGCTTTTACCTGTTACAATCCACGCTCGACCTTTCTGACAACAGTGCTGTCTGCAATGTCATGAGGCGTGGTTTCGTATGCCTTTACTGCATCACACTGCATCACACCGCATCACACTGCACGCACCACACCATACCACTCCACACCGCATCACACCACAACATACCATCACACCACATGACACCGCATCATACCTGCACATATTGCTCAGGGCTGCGAGGAAGCGAGTAGTGCACAACCTGTTGGGAGGATCGGATGGAAGGGCAGCAGGAAAAGCTTTTGAGTTGCCCCAATTTGAGATGAAGAGGGGAGGATATGCAGCAGCACATCCGTTTTAGGTGACTTTTGCGAAAGCCACACATGCTGCACGTGACATAATGATAATGGCAGATGGGCAAGAGATGCACAAAGTAGATTCTGATAATTGTGCCCGAGAGTTCTCATAACAGAGTGAGTATTGCATGGCAACAGCACTGCGGTAGATCATCGGACGGACCAGGTATCGGATCATCGGACTCAAGTTATATCAGAAACTTCCCATTTCCCTCTCACAGCGCGTATTCCAGACCAGGTAACCGATACCCATCACCTCTCATTCACACAACCCCATCCAGATGCTACTCACTGCGCCAACATCCGCCTTGTCCAAGCCCATGCCAAACGCCAGTGTCGCCACAACCTGCAGAGAGGCAGTCAGAGAGAAGTGGTTGGACACAATGGAAAAGGTCATGCAAGTGGTTACACAGGTGATGCAAATGAGGATCAAATCGCGGAATGGAATTTGATTGATTCTCGAGAGTCACCATAACCTGCGGCACACAACATCATGCCACCGGATAGCACTGGCAGCACTGGCAGCACTGGCAGCACTGGCAGCACTGGCAGCACTGGCAGCACTGGCAGCACTGGCAGCACTGGCAGCACTGGCAGCACTGGCAGCACTGGCAGCACTGGCAGCACTGGCAGCACTGGCAGCACTGGCAGCACTGGCAGCACTGGCAGCACTGGCAGCACTGGCAGCACTGGCAGCACTGGCAGCACTGGCAGCACTGGCAGCACTGGCAGCACTGGCAGCACTGGCAGCACTGGCAGCACTGGCAGCACTGGCAGCACTGGCAGCACCGGCAGCACTGGCAGGCAGCACATGGAGAGGAGCACAGGCAGCAGTGCACGCACCACTCGGAGCTTGTTGGCTGTGAAGCGCTGCAGAATGCGTGTCCTCTCCCCTGCTTGCAGCCCACCGTGATAGCTCTGGAGGTAGGTGGGAGGGTGAGCGGGAAAGGGAGGAGAAAGAGAAGGAAAGAGAAGAGACAACACATAAGAAATAGGAACAAAGTGATGCGAGCAGCGGAGCAAGGGAATTGAAGCCGGCAAGAGCAAGATGGGAAAAGAGCCCAAGTCAAACAACACGTGCCCTGAAGAAATAAGGGAGAAATAGCACAGAAGGATGATAAGGACTCTAAACTAACTCACCCGAGCTGCTATTTGGTTGTCTCGAAGCACACGTGCCACATCATCGGACTCCCACTGCCAACGGGAGAGGAGCGGGGGAATAAGGGGAGGGTGAAGGGGGAGGGAGAAAGGTCAAAGCATCCTACTGGCAGGGCGAAGGAGAGGAGAGTTGGAAGGGGACTGGTTCACGCGAGGGTGAGCAGAGAGGCGGTACCACGAGCACGGACCTGGAAGGAGCAGTAGACGATGATGCTGCGAGCAGAAGCAAAGGGGGGAGCCATCAGCAAATCCACTAGCGCCCGCTGCCTGCTCTGCCCTGCTGCTGCTGCCCCGCCCCCCCACTTGCTCTCTCCCTCTGCAGCCAAAGCCCCAGCTCCCAGAGCAGGCATGGCCCCGGTTATCGAGACTGAGAGGTGCAGGTTCGAGCGCACCACTCCGCGCCGAATCACGCCACCCGGCGGGATGCCCAGCGCTGCGATGAGCGATGACGTGGCAAGGCGTGTGGCAGTGGCTGTGATGGCGAGAATGCACGGCCTGCGGGGAATGTTGCTGCTGTTAGTGTGGTCACCACCAGCTAGACAACCATTGGTACCCTCAGCATCAGAAGCAGCAGCAGCAGCAGCAGCAGCAGCAGCAGCAGTACCACCACCACGTGCAGAAGAGGGATCTGCAGCAGAGGCCTTGCTGTCTGATGGCTCTTCGTCTGCTGCTGCTTCTGCTGCAGTAGCCTGCCTCTCACCAGCACCAGCTGCAGCCTGCTTGTCCAGGAGACCGCTAGAGAGGAGGATGGAGGAGAGGCGCAGATAGGCTGAGCGGAAGTTGTGGGACCTGCAGTTTGGGGAGAAGAGGGTTGGAGAGGAACAGAGACATATAAGATACGCCTGGAGCATGTCTCTCGGCAGCTAAAAAAGAGGATGGATGGAGGAGAGGCGAAGATAAGCTGAGCGCGGAAGTTGTGAGACCTGCCATGCACGACGGCGAGGGTTGGAGAGGGACAGAGACGCGTGGGATTGGCAGCTTGATTGGGAGTTAGAGAGAGGTTAAGCGAGGTCAAGAGAGGTGAAGAAGGGTGGTGAGTGGTGCAGAGAGGAAGGAGAGGACGGCCACCAAGGACCCTGAAGAGGCAGCTCGTTACAGACAGACATCCCCGTACCTATCAGCGCACACCGCACGTCACAATGTATGACTTCTGAGACGTGTCACACACCCCAAATGTCAGCTCGTGACAGACAGACACCCCCCTACCTACCTATCAGCGCAGCGCACGCTGCACGTCACAACGTATGTACCCGCAACCCATTCGCCCCTCCTTCCCACTCTGGAATGTAGTGGGTGTTGTCAAAGAGATTTGTCATTGAGAGGTAGAGACTGGCTTTTGAAATTTCTTCAAAGCATGATCACTACTCAGCTCTCACAGGGTGACAGGAACCTAGAAAAACCCTCAGTTTGTCTGCACGCACCCACATGCACCCATCTCACCACTCTGAAATGCAGTGCGCCTCGTCGAACACCACGAGGGACACGCCCTGGGGCAGGCTGGAGAGCAGGCGCAGGAAGGAGGGCGCTGCCAGGCGCTCAGGCGACACAAACAGCACCTTCAGTTCTTCTCCTCTCAGCCTCTCTATAACTCCGCTGCTCTCATGGGGTGACTGTGAGGGAGGGTGATGGGTGGAGGTCGAAGGGGTGGGCAAACAGAGAAATCTGAGAAAGCTGGAGAGGAGAGAGAGGAGAGAGCAGCCAGGCCCTCAGGCGAGATGAACAGCACCTTCAGGTGCCCTCATCTGAGCCTCTCTATCATTGCGCTGCTCTCATCTCATGGGGTGACTGTGAGGCCAGGCAGGGGGAGGCAGCGAGATGAGAGGGAAAAAAAAGGGGGGTGAAACGCGGGCAGGACAGCAGACAGAGGAGGGTCAGCACGGCCAGGCTCTCCGGCGGCACAAAGACCACCTTCAGGTCTCTGCCGGCCCTCAGCCTTTCGATCACTGCACTGCTCTCGTGGGGTAACTGTGAGGCAGGGGGGTGAGAGAGAGCAGAGGGGAGTGGAAAGGGATAGGACAGCACACGCAGAAGAGATGGTGCAGCCAGGTCCGCAATCGACACATACACACACACATCCAGCACGAACCACTCTACTATCCATGTATGTACCAGGCACACACCTGGAAGGACGAGAGGAGGGCACCGGGCAGGCAGGGCGGCAGGTGGGCGAGCTGGTCTTGCATGAGCGCAACCAGCGGGCTGACCACTAGGGTGAGGCCGGGGAGGAGGAAGGCTGGGAGCTGCGAGGGAGAGAAGTGGGGTTGTGGGGTTTGTGGGGGATTTGAGTGGGTGTGGAAGGGAGCACAAGACAAGGCAGGGCGGCAGGTGGGCGAGCTGGTCTTGCATGAGCGCAACCAGCGGGCTGACGACCAGAGTGAGGCCGTGGAGGAGGAAAGCTGGGAGCTGGGAGGAGGGGGAGGGGAGAGATGGAGAGGAGAGGCAAGGGATCAGGGAAGGTGGGCGAGCTGGCCTTGCACGAGGGCAACGAGCAGGCTGACCACTAGCGTGAGGAGGAGGGCTGGGTATGCCCAATCGATTGTGGAAGGTAAGGGATCACAAGGCAGTGTGGCTGACCACTAGCGTGAGGCCTGGGAGGAGGAAGGCTGGGGAGAGCTGTGAGGGCGAGGGGAGAGAGGATGAGGAGAGACGAAACATCAACGAACGGTGGGTGCGGCCCTGTTGTGTGAGATCAAACAGCGGGGATGACAGCTGTGCGTGCCTGGTAACAGTCACACCCACCTGGTAACAGTCACACCCACCTGGTAACAGTCACGCCCACCTGGTAACATGAAAGCTCACCTGGTAACATGAAAGCTCACCTGGTAACATGAAAGCTCACCTGGTAACATGAAAGCTCACCTGGTAACAGAGCGACTTCCCAGCACCAGTTGGCAGCACGAGGAGCGTTGATTGGCCGCGCAGCACCCGTTGGATGGCCGCCACCTGTCCATCGCGGAACCGATCAAAGCCAAACACACGCCGCAGCACGCTCAACAGATTGCCCTCCGAAGGGTCCCTTCGAGCCGCCTCAATCATCCGAGACTTCTCGGATCTCTCTTCTCCCCCTCCTGAATCCTTTCTCTTCATCTTCCTATGTACTCGCCTCTTGCCCAGAGTAGATTTCTCCTCCTCGCACCCATCATCTCCCCCTTCCACCTCCTCCACTTCCTCTTCTTCCTCCACCTCCTCTTCCTCCTCCCCCTCCTCTCTCTCCTCTCCCTCCGCTTTCCCGTGCACCCCCCTGCCTCCATCCTCCCGTCCCATCCCTCTCCCACTCTCCACCCTCCTCGAATTCTCCCTTGCCTCTCCTTCCTTTCCTTCCTCTCCTTCCTCTCCCATCCCCATCATTGCACCATCATCCATCCACCCACCCAAGCCCATCCCACACTCTCCCCCTTCCCCCGCTCCCTCCCCTTTCCCTCCCTTTCCCCTCTTCCTGTAAAACCCCTTCCTCCTCCCCCCTCCATACCCACCACCAAACCTCCCAAACCTATTCCCACCACCATTCCTACTCCCGAACCTGCTCGTCTTGGTACCATTCCCGAACCTCTTCTTACCCCCTCTCCCATTAATATTCAGGCGAACAAAGTTATCCCTCCCTTGCAACCCAGGCCGCCCCTTAACAGCCCTGCTACTGGTAAGACCATACCCTGTACGAGCTCCTGTGCGCCCTCCACCACCACCACCAGTGGTACCTGCGCCACTAGCAGCAGCCACCCTCCTCTGCTTCCTCCTCCTCTCAGCCTCCTTCTGTCGCAGGGCTTGCAGGGCTAACGGGTTGCCCCATCCGTACTCCACTGCTGTGCTACCAGCACCACCCCTGCCCGCAGCAGCACGAGTAGCAAGAGTAGCAGGGGTGGCAGTGGTAGCGGCAGCAGCAGCACCACCACCGTCACCAGCTGTCTTGCTGCCTGTATTTCTGCGGGCGGGCTTACCCGTTCCTCTCTCACCCTCATGTGTGACTGTACCTGCTGTGACTCTATCTGCTGTATCTGCCTCGCTCCTCTCCTGCTTCTCTCCCTCCACCTCCTCCCCCTCCATCCCCTCCTCCTCACTTTCACTGCTGTTGCTAACCTCTCCCCTTTCCTTCCCCCAATCAGAACCACTATCACTCCCGCTCTCGCTCCCACTCTCACTCTCACTCTCCTCCTCACTCCCATCCTCACTCCCTGCATCACTCCATTTCCCCCTCTTACTACCACTCTCCCCCTCCCTTCCCTCATCCCCCTGCTCTTCTTCCTCCAACCCATCCTCCTTTGCCTTACGAACAGCCAGTCGGGTGACTCTTCTCCCACCCACTCTCTCCCCTGCACTCCCTTTGCCCTCGTCACCTTCCACCTCCCTCCTTTCCCCTGCGTCCCCAGCATCGTCGCCATTGCCCTCCTCTGCTCTCACTCGCTTCCGCCCCTTCACCTTCACCACCTGCCTCCTTCCCTGCCCCCCTTCCCTGATCTCGCTTGCCCCAACCTTCTTTCCTCGTCTCCCAACAACCCTACCCACACGTCCCCTAACCCCATCTCTCTCACTCTCAAACCCATCTTCCCCCTTCTTTCCCCCCTCACATCTTTCCCCGCCCACACGTATCTCCCCACCCACGTGCCCTCCAGCCCCTGCCAGCCGGCTCACAAGCTCTGCCTTTCTGCCAGATGTCGGCAGCCCATTGGCCAGCAGGGCAGCTCTCAGCTGCACCACAGTCATGCGACTCAGATCACCTGATTCTGATTTTCCACCTGCTGCTGTTTCTGGTGGCGGTGGTGATGATGGCGATACTTCTGATTGCGCTGCTGATTGTGCAGCTACCGCCCCTGATGCTTCTCTTGCTAATAGTGGTGCTGCTGATAATGATGGTTCTGATGGTGCTGCTGCAGGTAGTGGAGATGGCAATGGCGTTGCTGCCGCTGGCCCTGCCGCTTCTGATGGTGCAGCCGGAAATTGCACCGTCCTGTAAGCAGCAGCTTCTGCTACTGCTGGTACTGCTGCTGCTGATGCTTCTGCTGCTGCCCTTCTTTCTGCTGCCACTGCTGTTTCTGTTGCTTCTACAACCACACATCGTGCCGATTCCACATCAGCTCGTCCCTGCAACACGTCAGGTTCTCTCCGCGCCACGTCAACCTCCCTTTGCGCCACGTCAGCTTCTACAGGTTCAGCGTCAGCCACATCATGCACCACATTCCCACCTGCCAGCTCAGCGGCTCTGCATTGAACGCCCCACCTCCCTGTCCATCTATCTATCCTCGTTACAAGCAGACTCGAGGGTGCAATACAGCCAAGCATGCCTACAGGACGAACAGGCACTGCAATCCCATCAAACATCTCCTCTCCTGCTCCATCACCTGCCAAATTCTCTCCCTCGCCTTCCCCTCCCCTTGTTCTTTCCTCTCCCCCCATTCTGTTCTCTCCCTCCTCTCCTCTCGCTCCACCTCCTCCCCCTCCCGCTCCCCCTCCCCCTCCCCCACCCCCTCCCCCTCCGCCTCCGCCTCCCCCTCCCCCTCCCCCTGCTGCGCACACAACAAGGCTGAACGGTCTGCTGATTTGCCACACACCTGCCGGTTCTACCTGCTGCTGCTGCTGCTGCTGCTGCTGCCTACGCAGATACGACCTGGAACCCAGGAAGGCTCTATCCACGCCCCCACCATCCCTCCCACGGGCCTCTCTACTATCTTGGTGAGCTTTTTCTCTTCTCGCCTGCTTCTGATCTCCCTTTCTACTCTTGTCCGCGGTAATAAGCCCCCTGCTGCCCTTTTGCATATCTGATCCCTTCTCGGCTTGTGCAGAAGCCCCTTCGTTAATGCCGCCTTCTTTAGTAGCAGCTTCGATAGTAGTAGCACCTTCCTGAGACCTCCTCCGTTTTCTCCTCTCCCGCTCCTTAAGCCGAGCGTATTTTTCATACTGCTCGGCTGCGGCCGAGATTGGCAGGGAAAAAAAACACGATAAAAGAAGGATTTCATTTTGAATCAGCACCATAGATTCCGCGCACTGCAATCATCGAACGTCACACGCATTGCTCTTAGCCAAAGCACTGTATATCCCCCTCCCTGCCCTGCACTGTAAGAATCAGCTCAGCTCACCTACAGTCGGATCGGCCTCCACGTCAGCACGGGACGGCGCACGGCCGTGCGACGCGGCGAAGCGTCTCTCCCATTCCTTCAGCCGCCGCCGTAATCTCTCCAACTCGCCAGCACCGGCGTCACCGGTATGACCTCTCCCCGCCTTCTCCTCATGTTTGAATCCACTCACGCGTCTACTCCTCTCCAAATCGACAGCCTCGGTGGTACTGGGTACCTCTGTCCCTCTCCTCCCTGTCCTCTGCTCTCTGTCCTCCGTCCCCGCATCATGCGATTTCTCACTCCCGCCTTGCGGCCGCCCTCTGCTGGCTTCAGGCGCTCCGGGACCTCCGTCAGGATAAGGACGGATCCCGTCGGGCCTTCCGTCAGAATAGGAACGGATTTCGTTCGGCTCTCGGTCTGCGTCTACTCTCTCCGTCACCTCGACTTTCGTACTCAACGCCTCCTGTTCCATCCCGACCTTATTGGTTCCTGTCATGCCCGGAACACGCAACGGCGCAACGATTTCGTTAGCGAGTCTAACAGTATCGCGGCCACTGCTATCCCTCGCAGTCGCGGATTCAAGTCCTGCAAACGAAGCCATGGAAAGCGGAAAATGCGCGCTACAGGGTTACGCGTGTAAAATTAGTACACTCGCAACATGCCGTGGCGGCTATCGCCACCGTGGTGGTCTTGGAATTAGGAGCCATGAACAAGGAAGGAGACTAGTAGTCTCAGACTACTAGTGTTGCGGTGGTAATGGGTGATGGTTGAGGTACGTTGATCAGCTGGCGGTTAGCTCGGAAATTCAAATTCTAAAACTGCAGGGCGTGTGACAAGTTTTGGCGGGAATAGAAGAAAACGCTCAGTAACATTGATTCGTTATTTTCCTTATAAATATCGTTCTGTATGTTCCATCTCCTTCGCAAGAATGTTGAACCTTCTTACTAGAAAACATGATGCTAAAAGAAGACAAATATCACTTAGGATAGTTCTGGATACATGTTCCCACAAATTCTCTGTGATGTCATAAACCTGTTGCAAGCAGGCCCTACGATATCAGGAATTTTTTCCTGAAATTTCTGATTTTCAGCCTATTTTTGGGTACCTACCCTGATTTTTCAGTGTGCAGATTTTTGTGAGACTGATTATTCAGCCTTCATTTCATAGCTAACACTGAGTTTTCAGCCTTTTATCGAAGTGTACACTGAATGCGGATTCGTAAGACTTCCTGAAAAACCCCTCGATATGATTTATTTGTGTAAGGTCCGAAATTCGACTCTCGAAGACAGCATGATTTGCCTGAACTGTACCCATACTTAAAGCCCGAGTCCCAAATTGCGGGCCGCGCGGGTCAAGCTTTTAAAACTTGACGAACTAGTGTTTTCAAGGTTTGAAGAAAAGCGTGCCTGCAATTTGGGACTTTTGGGAACTGAACCAACCCCCAGGGCGAAATACGAGGGCGGGCTGGGTTTGGCGAAAAAAAACGAAAAAAGCGAAATCGGAATCTTTCGCCAAAACCCTCACCACAAAAACCCCCTCGCGTCAACCTTTTAAAACTTGTGCAATTTGGGCTGCCGGCTTTAAGGTATCCGTATGGGTGAAAAACAGTGTTTTTTCTTTATGAACCCGGAAAAATCAGGCATTTTTTTCCAGGGACACTGAAAATCAGCCTTTTGTTTCACAGGGACCCTGATGCATCAACGTCCCTTTAAGTGAATCTGAGGGCCTGGTTGCAAGCTAACATTTTAGCCGTCCTCAAATCTCAACAGTTACACCATCACATAGGCTGTATTTCCAACCCTAAATCAGCCTTTTTTCGCTGAAATCTGAGGCCCTGGCTGTATACTATCTAATACTTTTGCCGTGCAGTGTAGCCTCAACGCTCAAATTAGAAATCGAGTTCTTCTTTCTTTTGTGTAATGTATCATCCCCGCCCTCGCCGTCCAGCTCTGCCGCTGCCCCTACCGCCGCCGTTGCCAGCAGTGCTCCCCTCGCCTCTACCTCCCCCATAACCATTCTCCACCCCTCTCCACTCCACAGTGCTGTTCTGATTCCTCCTACCCCTGCTCGCACTATCATCCCCCACCCTTCCCCCCACCCCTCCCCCTCCCCCTGTCCCTCCCCTTCCACCTGCCCCTCCCTCTGCCCCTCTCCCTCCCCTCCCCCCTCCACCCGCAATCCCCCCCACACCCACCCCTTCCACACTCTCCTCCGCCCTCCTCTTCTTCCTGCCCTCCACCGCCTCTGTCTTAGGCGCAGCAGCAATGAGCACCTTGAGAAAATTCACCAGGTAACTCACCACCGTCCCAATTTTTGCTACCTTCCTCACCCCACCCACTTCCTCCCCACCCCTTGCCCCTTTCCCACCACCACCTCCTCCTCCCTCTGCCACTCCTCCTGCACCCCCTGCTCCTCCTGCTGCTCCGGCTCCCATCCCCTCTCCTCCTGCCATTCCTTCTCCACCGTAAGTCTCCTCTCCTCCTCCATTCACCTCCTCAGCCTCATCCCCCTCAGTGGCCACCAGGAGAAGGACGGGGTACCGGCCACTCGCGTTGTACTCTTCGATTTCAGCGGCTGCTCGCTTGAAATCCGCCACTCCCGCCCATGCAAAGTCTGTCTCGATCTCTCCCATCGCCTTGGCTACTTTTTCGTTGGAATTGTTGAACACACGCTGTTGGTGCAAAGACGGGGGCAGACAGTGGTGGAAGGAAATGGGGAGAGACAGAAAGGAAATCGGAGGCAAGAGGCTTCTTAGGCGTCGCAAAACCCTTTCAAAGAAGAGATTACTCCATCCGTTTTGCGGACCCTTGGAAGGAGGAAAGATCGTTATACACACTTTAGCGCCCCCTCCCACCCACAAGAAGAGAGTTGACTTTGATTAGCGTTGGCTGCATACCTTGACAACTCTGTCTGTTTCTTGGACTCGGGAAACGACATACTCAGTAGACCTGATCGCATCCTCCCGTGCGGAGAACTCACGTGACTTTTGAGACGACTCAGAATGTACTGCATACCTTGGCTTGGCATGACCTGCTTACCTTGGCAACGCCATCGATTTCCTGGACGCGAAAGAAGTAATAATCAGTCGACCTAATCAGCTCCTCCCACGCGGAGAATTTCACAGTGAAATCCGCCTGCTGATCCCTCTCGTCCATCTCCTTCTTGCATTCCTCACACGCCCTGCACTGCTTGCAGGTCTCGCCCGAAAAATAGAGGTGATTTATGAGTCGACTCAGAATGTAGGGCATACCTTGGCAACTCCATCAATCTCTTGGACCCGGAAAAAGTCGTAGTCAGTAGACCGGATCAGCTCCTCCCACGCGGAGAACTTCACAGTGAAATCCGCCTGCCAGTTGGGGTCCCGCTCGTCCATCTCCCCCTTGCACTCCCCACACTCCCTGCACTGCTTGCACGCCTTCATTTCCTCCTCCCACCAAAAGCCAGAGGTGACTTTCGAGTTGACTCAGATGTACCTTGAGTATAGAGAGGTTTGCAGCATACCTTGGCAATGCCATCGATTTCCTGGACGCGAAAGAAGTCATAATCAGTTGACCGGATCAGCTCCTCCCACGCGGAGAACTTCACAGTGAAATCCGCCTGCCAGTTGGGGTCCCGATCATCCATCTCCCTCTTGCATTCCCCACACTCCCTGCACTGCTTGCACGCTCTGATCGCCTTGTTTGCCCGGCACGCAGTGCATGCCTTGCATGTGGGGCACGCGCGGTATGCCTTGAGCCAGAGGGGTTTCTTGAGCAGCCCCACTGTCTGGGGGCGCACAGGAGACTTGTTCACCAGCTCGGGTACTCCTGGGAGCGTCACTGCCTTGAGAAGCTTCTGATGCTCCTTCAGGAACTGGCGGAGGAGAAGGGGAGGGAGAAGAAAGGGGGGGAGACGACAGGGGGTAGGGGAGGAGGGAGAGAGGAGGGGACAGGGCGCATGGGAGAAGAAGAGTGAGTTGAGTGCATGACACGCAGTGCATGCCTTGCATGTGGGGCAGGCACGGTATGCCTTGAGCCAGAGGGGTTTCTTGAGCAGCCCCACTGTCTGGGGGCGCACAGGAGGCTTGTTCACCAGCTCGGGTACTCCTGGGAGGGTCACTGCCTTGAGAAGCTTCTGATGCTCCTTCAGGAACTGGCGGAGGAGGAGGGGAGGGAGAAGAAAGGGGGGGAGACGACAGGGGGTAGGGGAGGAGGGAGAGAGGAGGGGACAGGGAGCATGGGAGAAGACGAGTGAGATAAGCGCATGGCACGTGGGGCATGCCTTGCATGTGGGGCACGCGCGGTATGCCTTGAGCCAGAAGGGGTTTCTTGAGCAGCCCCACTGTCTGGGGGCGCACAGGAGGCTTGTTCACCAGCTCGGGTACTCCTGGGAGGGTCACTGCCTTGAGAAGCTTCTGGTTATCTTTCAGAAACTGGAGGAGGAGGAGGAGGGGGGAGAGGGCAGAGGGAAGAAGAGGGAGAGGACAGAAACGGGGTAGGGGAGAATAGAAAGAGAGGAGGACAGGGATCCGGGAAGAAGAAGACTGAGTTGAGCGCATGACAAAGAGAGCATGCCTTGCATGTGTGGCGCGCTCGGTAGGCCTTGAGCCAAGCTCTCAGCAACCAGGCAAGCACTCAGCAACCAGGCAAGCACACAGTAGACAGGCAAGCAAGAACACACCTGAAGGCAAGCAAGCACGCACGCACCTCAAGTACTGTCTTCCTGGCATGCAGCACATCATCGTCCTTCACCCGTGCATCCACGGACAGCCGGAAGAACCGCTCCTGCTCCTCATCCAACATCTCCTTTGCCTCCTCCAACTCCTCCTCCAGCCACCTCACCCTCTCCTCTGCCTCCTTGGACCCCTCCCCCTCCCCCGCTACTGCCTGCTTGCCCTTGGCCTCCTCGAGCTGAATTTCCCTCTGGTGCTTCTGCTCCACCTTCAGCCGCACCTGCTGGAACATCCCCTCCAGCTCCTCCATTTCCCGCTGGTGGGGGGGGAAGAGGGAGCGACGGAGGGAAGGAGGGAGCGGCAAGGTGGTTTGAGCCTTATTCGGGCTGCACCTCCATTTGATGCCTCTGCTCCACCTTCAGCCGCACCTGCTGGAACATCCCCTCCAGCTCCTCCATTTCCCGCTGGTGGGGGGGGAAGAGGGAGCGACGGAGGGAAGGAGGGAGCGGCAAGGTGGTTTGAGCCTTATTTGGGCTGCACCTCCATTTGATGCCTCTGCTCCACCTTCAGCCGCACCTGCTGGAACATCCCCTCCAGCTCCTCCATTTCCCGCTGGTGTGAAGGGGGGAGAGGGAGGGATAGAAACGAGGGAGGATGGGAGGGAGGGAGGGAGGGAGGACAGTACAAACCGAGACAGTTCGAGTCGAACAATTACTCATACCTAAGCTAGCATGAAGCATCACAGACTTATTCCATGTTCGGCTTCTTCCCTAGGTCTTCCCAATCAACCTCTCCATTATTCCATTCATCCCCTTCTACCCAACATTATCAAGGAGACACACACACGCACGCACGCACGCACACATGCACACACGCACGCGCGCACGCACGCACGCACGCACGCACTCATGCACGTACATACACAACATTCTTCATTCCCCCAATGTTAGCAACTCACCGCTCGCCTCTGAGCCTGCTGTTGCTGCAGCTCCCCCTGCTGCTCCTGCTGCTTCAGCTGCCGTGTCAGTTCCTCCAGCCTTCGCCTCGTCTGCCATTCACGGGTGCGAAAATAAGGAATAAGATAACAGCGAACTATCAAGGTGGCAACAAGAGACCCTCGTGTGGTGACAACATTGCACTTTATTGTATTGTCTATGTGTGTTACAGTGCAAGTGAGGCCGAGCATGTACGACAGCAATTGATGCTTGAAGCTCGAGGCCCAAATTGCGCAAGATTAGTAATTCATAGGGCCAACAGTCCGTTTGGGACCGAGAGTATCAAATTGCAGAATGCTGTAACTTGAAAGTTTTAGGATTAAGCGAGGACTTGACCACCACTAACCTTCGTACAGACTGTAACCGGAAATTCATCGACATACAACACCCAAAACATTAGTTGCGCAAGATTGATAATCTTGCCATGTGCGCTCCACAATTTTGAGCTTTGAGCAGTTACATGTCTTAATTAAAGCATCCCTTTGATAATTCAGTTCGTATCACTATTTGGGCTCGTATTGTGCATATATTACTACATCATATATTGTGCATATATAACAGGATCGCAATGTGAATGTGAAACACGCAGAAGACTGTGTCATTTTTTCCCAAGCACATCCCCAGCGACGCCATGCATAGCAGCAATAGCAAATACATGCGGTCGATTCGATAGCAGGGTATCAATCGTCTGCAGCAGTCAATGGAGCATAGTTGCTCGTTACCATTAAACCATCAGAACATGTAGCAAACGCTTCCCTGCTATTGAATCGAAAGCAGGTATATGTTATTGCTGCTATGAGTAGCGTCGCTGGGGTTAAGCTTAGGAAAAGATGGCACAATTCTCTACGCATCTCACCTTCACCATGCGATTCTATAAGAGGACGTATGCACAATACAAGCCCGAATAGTGGTAAGAACTGGATTATCAGAATGTTTCTAGGGTAATGAGCGATAGTTAATTGGCATTTGCGATACAACTATCAAAACACGCAACCGCTCGCCTCCGAACATACTGCTGCTACACTCCCCCTACGACTCCTGTTGTTTCAACTGCAGTGTCAGTTGCTCCACTTTGCCTAGTATAACATCAACGGGTGCGACTATAAGGAATAAGATAACAGCTTAACTATCAAGGTGACAAAAGACCCTCACTTGGTAACAACATAGCATTCAACTGTATTGTCCGTGTGTGTTTCAGTGCAAGTGCGGTGCGGCCGACCATGTACAGCAGCAAACGATGCTTGTGCCACGGTCCATGTGTGAGACAATGCATGTGCAGCAATAACGCTTAAGCCACGCGCAAGCCTTTTCCGCCCTCACCTCCTTCTCATTCGCTATCTTACCTCTCGCTGTCGCTGCAGACACATCACCCTTCCAAGCGAGTGAATCGAGAGTCTTATCACCACAAAAATCCTTTCATGGAGAACCGCTCACATGAACCTCCCGCATGTGGTCCCATCTGCCTCGCCACCCCCCCCTCACCTCGTGTTCCTCGTCTCACCTCCCCCTCTCCTCTCCCAACATCTCCCTACTAGGGATGAGCAAAAATCCGAACGCCTGTTCGGTTCGTCCGAACATGTTCGTGACAGAACCGAACCGAACATGTTTTTTTGGCCACAAATGTTCGGCCGAACATGTTCGATGTTCTGCCGAACATGTTCGATGTTCGGAAGAGGGGGGAAGCAGGCCATGGGGGAGGAGTTGCCCCACTGAAAACACACTCTCGAACCTCGAACATGTTCGGGTTCGCCACGAACATGCAGTGTTCGCCCCCCTATCACGAACACCGAACACCTAAAATTGCCAAAAAATGTTCGGGCGAACCGAACATGTTCGGTTCGCCTACAAGACATGTTCGTGGAGGTTCGGGCGAACATGTTCGGTGTTCGCCCGTTGCTCATCCCTGCTCCCTACCCCTCCGTTCCCCTCACCCCCCTCACCCCTCACCTGCTGCTCGTTCGCACTCCTCTCCTTTAGCTGTCGCTGCAGCCACTCCATCTCTCCTTCCATACGCTGCACCTCGCGCATGCGATCCCTCATCTGCCTTGCCACCACCTCCTGTGTGTGCGCATGTGCCTCTGCCAGCTCTGCAGCAGTGAGAAGAACATGAACGCAGCAGTGAGGGGAACGCAGCAGAGGCCAAGGTTTGCAAGTTAGAGCAGCCAGCAGCAGAGGTATGGCAAGCAAGGCATGAGCAGGTAAGGGAGCATGTGCCTTGCCATCACCTCCTGTGTGTGCGCGTGTGCCTCTGCCAGTTCTATAGCAGTGAGAAGCATGCAGAAGAGGAGCAACAGGGCGTGGGACAAGGCATGGGACAGGGGAAGGGGGCAACAAGAGACAGTCGCTGCATGTTTGAAGAAGTGTTTTGAGACGTCTCAAAACACTTCTTCAAACAGGGGAAGGGGGCAACAAGAGACAGTCGCTGCAACCAACCCATCTCTCTCTCCTTCAATTCACTGCGCTACTGGACCTCTCTCCACAATATCCACAATCCACACTTGAGAAGCGCACCACACGTATTACGTGGAACCCATTGCAATCTGCAAGCCGGGCGAATCTCAGAACTCCTTCATTACTAGGAATTTCAACCTCTTCTGCCCACCCTGCTCGTGTTTATTCCCGAGCGCCCTAGCAAAATCTTCCATTTTCTTGAGTCGCCCCTCCGTGCGCTGCAGTTGCTCCGACAGGCACATCCCACTCCACTCGCTCTTACAAGCATGCACCACCAACCCTCCCAGGCCCTCCCCACTCCACCCACAATGCTGCTCAGTGTAAAAAAAAACGACCGTTTTATTGAAATTTTACCGTAAAAAACGGTATCGTAAAAAACGGTCGTAAAAAACGGTTTAAAACGGTTCCAGGAGGTGTTTCCTGTTTAACAAACAAAACGGCCACTTAGTGGGACCAAATTGAACCCGAAATGCAGCAGCATGAAGGGGACGGACCCCTTCTTGCATGTATGCGCTTGTTGGCAACATTGAAAATGTTTTTTGACCTTGTTTTTCTCTTTTTTTTCTTGGTGAACAGAGTTCTCTAACAAAAAAACGGCCTTTTTTTGGAAAATCGCCGTAAAAAACGGACCGTATTTTACGAAAACCGTAATTTTGAACCTTGATGCTGCTCACTGCCCACCCTGCTCGTGCTTCCTCCTGAGCGTCCTGGTGAAATTTTCCATCTTCTAGAGCCGACACTCTGTGCGATGCGCTGCATAGAGGCATGCGCTGCACTCCGACTGGATTCCGACTGGATTCCTCACATACATGCATGCACCAGCAGCACCAACCCTCACATGCTGCTCATTCACCTTGCTCGTGCTTCCTCCTAAGCGCCCTACTTAAACGCAAGCACTCACATGCACGCACGCACCACCATCCCTCCCTCACATGCACACACCACCATCCCTACCTCCCTCACATGCTCTCCCATCCCACCTTGCTCGTGCTTCCTCCTGAGCGCCCTAGTGGAGTCTTCCATCTCCTTCAGCCGCCCCTCTGTGCGGTGCAGCCGCCCCTCTGTGCGTTGCAATCGCTCCAACAAGCACTCCCACTCCACACACTCATACATGCACCACCAACCCTCCCAGGCCCTCCCCACCCACACCTTGCTCGTGCTTCCTCCTGAGCGCCCTAGTGGAATCTTCCATCTCCTTCAGCCGCCCCTCTGTGTCCTGAAGCCGCTCTGACAGACGCATAAACGCCCGCTCCTGCACGCGCCTCTCCTCCCTCTCCTGCTGCCGCTTCACTGACTCCTGATCGTCCAACACCTGAAGAAGCGTGGAGAGGAGAAAGTAATGGAGAGGCAATGAGTTGAATGGACGTAAAAACGCCTGCTTTCTTGCGCCCGCCTCTCCTCCCGGTAAAGCTGCCGCTTCACTGACTCCTGCTCGTCCAACATCTGAGGGAGAGAAGAGGAGAGGAAAGGGGGTGAAAGGGGAACGGAGGGTCAGTGTGAGCTAGAAGAGGGCATAAACGCCCACTCCTACACGCGCCTCTCCTCCCACTCCTACCCCCGCTTCACTGACTCCTGCTCGTCCAACACCTGGCGAGGGGAGGCAGGGAAGAGACGGGACAGGCGAGGCAGAGTGAACTAGATGGGCGCATGTATGCACGCTCCTGCGCCCGCCTTTCCTCCCGCTCCTGCTGTCGCTTCACTGACTCCTGCTCATCCAACACCTGAGAAGAGGAAGAGGAGAGGAAAGGGGGTGAAAGGAAAACGGAGGGCCAGTGTGAGATAGAAGGGTGCATAAACGCTCTCTCCTGCACGCGCCTCTCCTCCCGCTCCTGCACCCGCTTCAATGATTCTTGCTCGTCAAACACCTGGCAAGGGGAGGCGGGGAAGAGACGGGACAGGCGAGGCAGAGAGAATTGGATGCGCGCATGAATGCACGCTCCGGCACGCGCCTCTCCTCCCACTCCTGCTGGCGCTTTACTGACTCTTGCTCGTCTAACACCTAAGAGAGGAGAGAGTAGGGAAAGAGAGAGGAGAGAGAGTGGGGAAAGAGAGAGGAGAGAGGAGGGAAAGAGAGAGGAGAGAGGAGGGAAAGAGAGAGGAGAGAGGAGGGAGAGAGAGAGGAGAGAGTACGGAAAGCGAGAAGAGAGAGAAGCGGAAAAAAAGGGCATCACCGCACCGCCTCCCCACTGGCTCATTCTCAGGCTCTACCCTTAATTCAAAGTCGCAATCATGAAACAACATAGCCTCGTCCAGTGGTAATTAATTAAGCAGCACACTCCCCAGCGACCCTTCTCACTCCAATAACCTACAGATGCCTTTCGGGTCAAATCTATAGACCAAACCAAACTCACCTCCCTCAGGCTCTTGGTTGCATTGTGCTTCTTGTGCAGCACACTCCCCAGCGGCCCCTTCTCACATCACACTCCATTAATCTCCAAAAACCATTTCGAACGAATCTAAAGGCAAAACTCACCTCCCTCAGGCTCTTGGTTGCATTGTGCTTCTTGTGCAACACACTCCCCAGCGGCCCCTTCTCATTCTCCTCCTTCAAGTCCTGCTCCCTTGCCGCCCACGCAAACAACTCCTTGGTCTCGCGCCTCCTCCCATTCGAATACCCCTTCCTCCCCAGCCCTGCCTGGTTGTATGTCTTGTCCAGCTTCGACGCTGCTTCCCACCCCTTGGCGTTTTCCTCAAAGAGAAGGAGAGCCATGCCGGTATGTCCCTTGAAGTCTGATGAAGGGTGGGGATTTGATGAGAAGAGAAGCCCAGATTGGAAAGGAACAGAGAGGGAGGCAGGCATGTGTCGTGTATTGTATGCATGTGGCCTCTCACAGAGTCCCACCCCTTGGCGTTTTCCTCAAAGTGAAGGAGAGCCATGCCCGTACGGCCCATGCCCATGTGTGCTGAGGAAAGCGGGAGGATCAAGAGAGTGCCGCGGTTTGGAAAGTCGCAGAGAGGCAAGCAGGCATGGATTGACCTTCCAGACCTTGGCGTGTTTCCTCAAGTGGCCCAAGTGATCTGAGGAAGGGGGGGATTGAACACGCAACAAGAAACTGGAGGGCATGAGAGAGGCAGGCAGGCAGACAGGCAGGCATGCTGCATGCAAATGCGACAATATCGAGTCAACACAAGACCTTTTTCGCTACCAACCCATATGTAGTCTCTCTCTCTCCACACACCCCCCCCCCCCCCTTCCTCCCTCACTCGCACCCCACTCACTGTATAGCACGTCCACTTTCTGCGCCCAGTAATTCTTAAGCGTGCTTTCCAGCTCCTCGCGAGTGGTGCCCCCCAGAATGTCCCTTCCCCGTTCGTACCTCTATAAGAGAGGCAAGCATCTGCACGAGTCATGTCATTCCCTCGCCCCCCATCATCCCCTACTCACTGTAAAGCACGTCCACTTTCCGCGGCCCGTAATTCTTAAGCGTGCTTTCCAGCTCCTCGCGAGTGGTGCCGCCCAGAATATCCCTCTTCTGAATCTTATCATACGTCCAATACGTCTGCAGGTTCTTCACAATCGCCACGGGCGGCCACAGAATCCGATCCTGCAGAACAAATATATGTATAAAAAAGAGGGAAATTAATGTACAAAAAAAAGGGGAAAAAAATCGATATGCAACGGAAAGACGTGCATTAAGTACACCAAAAAAAAAAAAAAAAAAAACACTTCATAATGGAGCCATGTCTTACCTCTTAAAGCTATGTCTTACGTCTTAAAGCCATGTCTTACCTCTTAAAGCCATGTCTTACCTCTTAAAGCCATGTCTTACCTCTTAAAGCCATGTCTTACCTCCACAACCGCAGGGGTCTGAAGAGGTGCCGCGTTTACAGCCCGAACAGGCTTTTCCGGCTGCATATCCGCCCGCATAAGCCGCTCCACCAGCATCTTGTGCCGCCGCCTCTCCTTCGCCCCTTTTTTCGAAGTCCCTTTCGATTGAGCTTCCGCGTGAGTCTTAACCTCGTTGAACAAGTAGTCCTGCTTCATCTGCCCCAGGCAGAACGGGCAGCGGTACGTTCCGTCGGGGTTGAGAATGGTCGCGGGGTCTTGAATGAGTACCTCGTCAGCTTCCAGCTCCGCCTCACCCTCGTCCGACAGTGCATCGTCTTCGTTATCGTCCATGGACGACGCGTACCCGTCGTCGTCGCTGTATAGCTCGTCCATTATTTAGTGCTGGCGAACGGTGCTGGCGAACGGTGCTGGCGAACGGTGCTGGCGAACGGTGCTGGCGAACGGTACTGGCGAACGGTGCTGGCGAACGGTGCTGGCGAACGGTGTTGGCGAACGGTGCTGGCGAGCGGTGGCGAAGAGCCTTTTAGAGGCGCCTCAAAAATCGTGATGACCAAGAGAACGACCGTCCTCTGAGAAGAAAACTGTAAGGCAGAGACCGCAAAGTCGAACTATTATTTTATGAGGTAAAATTCTTCCTTTGATTGAGCCTTTTCAAAACACCTGTATTCTATGGCGCAAGCTTGGGACGCGATGAAGATTTCAGGGGAAAGAAACTGACGACAAGGCTAGTAGGGTTGATGTGTGTGATGTTGGGTTGGGTTGGGATTGGAAAGTGGAGTTGCAGAGGGAACCGGCATGGAAGCGTGTTCAGTTACGGAGTTCGCGACTTGTGCCTGTTCTGACTAGTTCGGCTTAGCGGGTTTGGTTCGTTCATGTTTTCGCTGATGTACTGTTGGAGTTTCGAGCACAGTTCGATTGCGGTTGCGACTTCTAGCCGACAGGTTCTACTGTAACAAGCTTCGTTTCGCTCACGTTCGGGACACCAATTTTTGTCTGACACGAAGAAACCAAGAATGTAAACGGGTACCGCCACCCGAGTCTTTTGAAGTGCCACAAGAGCTGGTTCGCTAAAGGCCCAAACGGCTTCTACAAACATAAAAACCATAGCCAGTAACGAGAAAATTAGTCGCCATGGCACGCGCAAGCTTCGGCGCGAGCATCGAGGAGCGATCGTTGGAACTCGAGCTTTTGCTCGTTTCGCTCGGAGCGCCGCCGTCGTTCGCGCTACGGCATCGCGACGAGCTACATTCGCGAAGAATAGCGCGCGATGATAACGGGCTCAGCGCCTCAGAGAGCATCGCGTTAGTGTCGCATGAACGGCCGTCGAGCGAACGACCGTCCGGCGGACGGCCGTCAGGCGAACGGCCGTTAGCCGTATTGGCATCCGTGGTTGCGCTCATCGGCGCGGGCAAGTATGCCGCCGCGCTGGAGCGCACAACTTCCGCCCTCCCGGTCCTCCCCTCCGCGGATCATCTGGCGGAAGCCGTCCCCGCGGACGCGCGGATCCAGACGGGGGAAGCCGCCGCGGGCGCAGCGGCGGCGGAAGCGTTTTTCCGCTCAGTGCGGGGAAGAATCGCCACACTGCTAGCGGATCTGGGGGAGAAAACTCCGTCGGGAAGCGAGAAGGCGGAGGAGGGGGTTGGAGAGTGGAGCGGTGGAGAGAAGGCACTGCTGGTGCTGATGATGGGAGCAGCTAGCCTCTGCCTGTTCGTACAGGCGAATGTTAGCGGGTGGGTCTGACTGTGATAACGGCACGTGCTTATAACAAGGAATGGATGGATGTGGGTTGCCGATTTTTCAGGACGAGAGGGAGAGAGCCTAGAGGAGGTATCAAGACGTGCAGTGAGAGATGCGTGGGTTTAAATTGCACGAGTACTGAGAAAAACAGTATCCTACTCTAGGCGTGGGTACGATACTGAGAATCTTCTAAATCCGCAGTCAGGGTATTCAGGGTGGTGAGGGCAGTCAGGGTTCGGGGTTTAAGCTTAAGCCTCGGTATTTGGTTGATTTGCAAGCCCGCTAAACCTTAAACCCTGAGCTTTAACCCGAATCCTGTAAACTCCACAAGGCAAACCCTTGCCTAAACCTTTAACCGACCTTGAAATTTGATCTTGGACCCTAAACCCCTTGCTGTGAAATGGGGACCACAAAACAAGGTCCTCATTTAGTCAGAGGTCCAGAGGTCCTCATTTCGGTGAAGGGTAAAAAATTGATCTTGGACCCTAAACTGCGCTTCCAGTCACTCTCCTTGTAACAATTCGAGCCTTTGTGTGATCACAATGCCTCCAGTACCCATATTATCACAGATTCAATTATAAATCTAGCTGTTATCCCCTTTTCCACTTCCATCCTTTCCCCTTGTGCCCCCCTTTGCGTTACCTCCCTCCACCTCCCACGTCCCCCCTCCCTTGTTGCCCATTCCCTTCGCTCCACTCCCTCCTCTCTCACCATCCCTTCCCTCTTTCTCTCGCCCCACCACCAGTCCCGAGCCTTCTGCAGTCCCAACGCTCCCACTTAGCCCACCGCAAACCAACAACGACACATCAGCAGCCATACAAGACACATCAGCAACCCCAACTGACACGTCAGCACCTGCCAGCCACCCCCCGTTCCTCGCCAGCGAGGCGGCACGCGTGGCGCTGAGCAAGTGGTGCCAGGTGGAGCTCATGACAGATGGTGCTGACGTCACTGGCAGATGCCACCTCCCCCAGTACCTCCTGCTCGCCCGAACCCTCCTCCTCCCCCCTCTCTTCCCACTCCTCTTCCTCCTCCTCTTCCTCCTCCTCCTCTTCCTCCTCCTCCTCTTCCTCCTCCTCTCCCTCCCCCTCCTCCTCCTCTCCCTCTGTAAAACCTTCTGGAGCCTTCTCCCCCGCCCTGCTGCCGCCCTCCTGGGCCTGGTGGGCGGCCAGGGTTGTTGTTATTCACCAGAGGGTGCTACAGGAGCGCTCCCCCTCCCTCCGCGCCCTGCTGCTCCCCTGCACTGCTCACCTGGAAGCGACGCTGGGGAGGAAAGAAGCTGTGAGACAAGCTTTCTTTGGAAAGGAGGAGGGGGGAATGGAGGGAAGGAGGGAGGAGGAGGATGGAAGGGAGGAGGGGGGAATGGAGGGAGGAGTGGAGGGGGAGGGGGAGGGGGAGGTGTGTGTGCGGGTGGCAGCAATGGTGCATCTGGAGGTTGGGATGATGGAGATGGCCTATGCACACGTGGACACTGCCAGGTGTGTGCCTGCCAGGTGGACACTGCCAGGTGTGTGTGCCTGACATGTAAACACTGCCAGGTGTGTGTCTCTGACACGTGGACACTGCTACACATGAACTGTGCCTGCCAGATGCACCATTATATCTCTCACGCACCCCCATGTTATCTCTTACTTCTTACCTCACATGCTTTCTCACCCCGCATTCCTCTCTCCTCCTAATTGACCCCTCCCCTTGCACCGACAAACGCCTGCTCTGGTGTGCAGGAAGTGTTTTGACAGGGCTTTGCAGGAGTGTGGAGTGGTGCTGAGTGTGACTGGGGCGATGGGTTACCGCACCATACATCAGGTGAGTAGGGTAGAAGTAGAAGTGAGTGGGGATTTACGCTACAAGGGGTGGCACTGCAGCAGTGGTGTGAGGTGAAACGGTGTGGTGTGGGCCACCCACTCTTGGTCACACACACTCATGGACAGAGATTGAGGTTTGAGATGTGGACCAGAAAGCGATGGGTTAGGACGGAGTTGTTCTACCGGTGAACTAGGCTGGCAGTGACAAGTAGCGACACGTGAAGGAAGGAGGAGATGGGGCAGAGCAGAGGAGGCCACATGCCTTCATTCCGCTATGCTACGGCATTCCTACCAGAGGCGGTGTTCCACATGCCTTCCCACCTGTTCTTAACTCTTCTTCCTACAAACCCACAGGATGAATACAGGTTGATCCCAAGGCCCAGCTTGTGCTGGCAGTGACAAGAAGAGCAGCCGTGAAGGAAGGAGATGGGGCGATGCAATGCAACAGAGACTGGCAGGAAATTGAGGAAGCAGGGATGGATAGGAAGGAGGAGAAGGGGGAGGTGGTGTGAAGAGACAGGCGTCATTTCTCTTCCTGCATTCCCACACCTTCCTCCCATGTGTGTGCAGGTTGATCCCAAAGCCCAGCTCGTGCTAGCAGTGGAAAGAACTGAAGCTATAAAGGGAGGATATGGGGCGATGGGGCGATGCTAAGCGACAGAGACTGGCACGGAAGCGAGGAAGCAGGGAAGGATGGGAATAATGGAGGAAGGGGGAGGTGGTGTGAAGAGACAGGCCTCATCCCCCCCCTCCTCTGCATACCCACATCTTCCTCCCATGTGCGTGCAGGTTGATCCCAAAGCCCAGCTCGTGCTGTCAGTGACTAGAACTGAAGCTCTAAGGGGAGGAGATGGGGCAGTTCTAAGCGACATGGACTGGCAGGAGGGCGCGGAAGCACCAGCCAAGGATGGGAAGGGGGCGGAGGGGGAGGGAGAGGGGGCGAAGGAGGGAGAAGAGGAGGAGGAAGAAGGGGAGAGTATGGAGGAGTTGGAGTGTTTGTTTGAGCCCGAGAGTGATGTCCTGCTGGCCCCACGCCTAGTGGAAGCGGGGGCTGGTGCGGGTGAGGCAGTGGTAGGGAGTGGGGGTGGTGGGGGTGAGGCGGTAGCGAATGGGGTTGATGAGGGAGAGGAGCAGAGCGCTCGCAATGGTGGGGGAAGCAGTGGCGACACGAGTGGGGGTGGAGGGGGCGGTGTGCTGAGGGGTGTTGAGCAGGCAGCAGTGCTGGCGATGGGTGTTGACACGATGAAGCAGAATGCGGCAGATGAGCTGCGAGGTGAGTGGGATGTCGTTTGAGACGTCAGGGCGGAGGTGGGAGGGAAGGGGGGACTATTGAAGGGTTTTGAGCAAGCAGCGGTGCTGGCGATGGGTGTTGACACGGTGAAGCGAAATGCTGCAGATGAGCTAAGAGGTGAGTGGGATGACCTCTAAGACGCTGAGGGCTTTTGAGACGCTAAGGGCTTTTGAGACGCTGAGGGCTGCTGTTGGTTGTTGGCACGGTGAGGGAAAATGCAGCGGATGAGTTGTGAGGTGCATGCATGAGAGTGTGAGTGAAGACAGAAGTGTGAGCAGCATTGCAGGTTGCAGTGAAGGTAGCAATGCATATAGCTGTGCAGACCTGTGTAGGTGCAAGTCTAGGAGAGTTCGTCTCACTTTTAAGAATTTTCCTAAGAGACACAAGTACAGCTCAGGGCTTAGTCACGGAAATGCCTACATCAAGTTCGAAGTTGCTCTTTCTCGGATCGCCAAGCCTAGCAGCACAGGGACAGTCAACATCAAGCCAGTTTCTGGGAAGACAGCGATGCTGATTGCGTCTGGTGGAGATCTCGAGGTTCTGCCACGCTGTTGAGAACCTGACAACTCTTTGAGATTTTCGCAATCAGCATCGCTGTCTTCACAGAAACTGACTTGACGCTGACTGCTCTTGTGCTGCTAGGCAATCCGAAAAGGGAGCACCTTCAAACTCAATGCAGACATTCCCGTGACCAAGCCATGAGCTGTGCTTGTGTCACTTAGGAGAAATCTCAAAAATGAAACAAACACACCTAGGCTTGCTCCTCTATTTGTACACCCACCCATCTCGCTTCAAGGTTCTTTCTGTTTGTGCAATTGTGTGTCTGTTGGTTTGCTTTTCCGGTTGCTTCTCTGTGCGCTTGTTTGTTTGTGGACATGCCTTGTGCTAGTGCTACTTATTTTCATAACAAGTCAATGTGTGAAAATTGTGTTACAGGTTGGGAGGCAGCACCTTATATCGAAGCCATCACTCTCCAGCAGCACATTCCGCCCATGGTATGTTCCTGCTGCTGCTGCTGCGTTGCCATGGTGCACATCTGTTTTGTAGGCAATTTCAAAACGCTGAGTTCAAGCTACCCTCTCCAGCAGCACATTCCGCCCATGGTATGTTCCTGCTGCTGCTGCTGCGTTGCCATGGTGCACATCTGTTTTGTAGGCAATTTCAAAACGCTGAGTCCAAGCTACCCTCTCCAGCAGCACATTCCGCCCATGGTATGTTCCTGCTGCTGCTGCTGCGTTGCCATGGTGCACATCTGTTTTGTAGGCAATTTCAAAACGCTGAGTTCAAGCTACCCTCTCCAGCAGCACATTCCGCCCATGGTATGTTCCTGCTGCTGCTGCTGCGTTGCCATGGTGCACATCTGTTTTGTAGGCAATTTCAAAACGCTGAGTTCAAGCTACCCTCTCCAGCAGCACATTCCGCCCATGGTATGTTCCTGCTGCTGCTGCTGCATTGCCATGGTGCACATCTGCTTTTTACGCAATCTCAATGCTCTGTCTTCAAACACAAATTTTCTCCAGCAGCACATCCCGCCCAGGTGTTCGCGTCCCCACCCTAACGCCCCACCTCCACAGGTGAAGGCGAGGTATGAGCTGCTGAGAGTGCGGTGGGAGCGCAAGCGACACTAACTAACACCCGCGTCCTTCCTCTTGCTCCTCCCTTCCCTCCCTCTCCTCTCTCCCTCCTCCCATTCCACCCTCTTCCGCTCCTCCTCTCCTCCCGTCCACCCCACCTCTACAGGTGAAGGCGGGGTACGAGCTGCTGAGGGCGCGGTGGTAGTGTGGGAGTCCTCTGTACCCGTGCCCTTCCACACATGTGTTTCCTCCTCCGTTCTCCTCCCCCCCTCTCTCCCCGAATTCCACGGTTGAAGGCGGGGTACGAGCTGCTGAGGGTGTGGTGGGAACGCAAGCAAGGCCAACACTGTCCTTCCTCTTCCCTTCTCTTCTCCCTCCTTCTTCGCGCCTCCCCACCTCCCCTCATTTCTTCCCACTCCACACAGGTGAAAGCAGGGTGTGAGTTGCTGAGGGTGCGGTGGGAACGCAAGAGACCGCACACGCGGCAGAGGGCAGTTGCAACGATGGAGCGACTGGTGAGTGGGGAGTGTGTGGGGCCACTGGTGAGAGGGAAAGGATAGACTGGACTGGAGGGACACACTTCTGCTGATTTCACATACGGCAGAGGGCGGTTGCGACACTGGAGAGATTGGTGTGCGGGGAGTGGTGGAGCGACTGGTACCGTGATTGATCGGATAACCTCTGCTCGCGAAACTGGTTTTCCTTTTGTTTTCTTTTTTTTTTGGGCTTCCGTTTGCTTATCTCATGAATTCAGGTTTCAGATTTCTGTAGGTATGTTACTTGTGGGTGGCCCAGCGGATGAGATGATTAAATGTGTTCTGTCTGGCATCCATATTTTGTGTTGTTGTCCAATTTTGTTTCAGATTCAATCCATCTCTCATCAAGAGAGGAGAAGCCAGGAGCAGCAGTTGCAGTCATCCTCTTTACAAGCAGCCTCAGGACCATCAGGAGGAGCTATGCCGGAGGAAGCGAGAGAAGCAGCAGAGAGGATGAAATACTGCTTCGCTGTCTGGTTCCCCACCATGCCTGCTCTCTTCAAGTGAGCTTCGCTGGAAGTGATCCTGAAGGCTCGATCAAACAACTGTCCATCCAATCTGCTTCCTGTTCATTTCTACCATGTGATGAGACCCCATTGCGGCGTTCATTTCTCCATTTAATGGTTCCCGTGTGATGAGACAATTTTTAGTCAGACTAAAAAAGTGGACCACTTGCGCGCCATTCATTTCTCCATGGTCCCAGACTCCATTGCCCGGTGTGCCGGGCAGTATTTGCCTCTTCCGCTCACCCCAATTATTTCAATGTTTGTACACCTCAAACCCCCCAACCTCATCCTGACCTCCTTATGTCCCTGCTGCCAGGCAGTAACAACTCCGTATGTACCTCCTTATGTCCCTGCTTAGTCCTGCCAGGCAGTAACAACTGGTGTTGCATCGACTGAACCACTGCTCTCAACCCACCTCGCCCTCCCTCCTCCATCCATCACCCACCCACATGCGCAGAGAGTATGGAGAGCTGCTGGTGGCGAGCGCGTGTGTGGGCGAGGCCATGCGTGCGTTGCATCGGCTGAACCAATGCGCTCTACCCAACACCTTTTCCCCCCTCCCACCCCACTTGTCACCATCAGAGAGTATGGAGAGCTGCTGGTGGCGAGCGCGTGTGTGGGCGAGGCCATGCGTGTGTTTGAGACGAACGAGCTGTGGGACCATCTAATTGACTGCTACAGGTGAGCTCTGCGAGCAAGGGTGCACTTGGTTCACACTTCTCTGGCAGCAGGCTCCGTGAGCCTTGAGATGCCTTGAAGCTCACAAGGCCATGCGTGAGTTTAAGACGAATGAGCGCTGGGGCCATCGATTGACTGCTACTGGTGGGCTGTGTGCAAGGGTGTGATTTGAGGGTGGCGAGCGGGTGTGTGGGGGGGGGCATGCGTGTGTTTGAGATGAACGCCTCAAAGCACACTTCAGGGATGTGAGCAAAGGTGCACATGACACAGACAGCTGTCAGTCGCATCGCTTTCTGCCTCACCAACCTTGTCGCTATTCCCAGCAACCGACAGCAACTGCCGTATTAGTATAGACGAGATTGTTCAAGTCTTCCCATCCACCCCTCTCCTCCCATTCCACACCCAGCCTGCTGGGCAAGCGGGCGGCAGCAGCAGCGCTGGTGACAGCAAGGTTGAAGGAACAGAAAGAGGATCTGCGCCTGTGGTGCTGCCTGCCTGCCTGCCTGGTTCCATCTTGCTTCCTCTCCGCCCCCTTCCCATCCCATCCCAGTCTTCTTGGCAAGCGGGCAGCAGCAGCGGCGCTGGTGACAGCGAGGCTGAAGGAGCAGAAGGAGGATCCGCGGCTGTGGTGCTGCCTGCCAGGGACCCGTCTTGCTTCCTCTCCGCTCCCCCCCCTCCCATTCCACACTCAGCCTACTGGGCAAGAGAGCAGCAGCAGCCGCGCTGGTGACGGCGAGGCTGAAAGAGCAGCAGGAGGATCCGCGGCTGTGGTGCTGCCTGGGGGATTTGACGGAGGAGAAAGAGTGCTATGAGAAGGCGTGGGAGTTTTCCAGACACAGATATGCGCGCGCTCAGGTATGGAGAGCGGTACAGTGTGGTGAAGTGCGATGCATTGTCATGTGTAGTGGTGGTGTGGTGGCCTGAGGGATGACGGGGGAGGAGCGCTATGAAAAGGTTTGGGAATTCCCCTGGCACAGATATGCACGTGCTCCAGGTGTGGAGCGCGGTGCAGTGCGATGCTTTGTCAAGTGTTGCATGTGGTAATGTGGTTCTCTTCATCCCTCTCCACCCTTCTTATACAGAGAGCACTGGCGCGCATGGCGATGAACACAAAGGACTTCACAGCAACCATGGCTCACTGGGTGAGTGGGGAAGGCTGCTCCTCAACCCTCTTCACCCCTCCCCACCCCTCTTCACCCCTCTAATTCAGAGAGCACTAGCGCGCATGGCGATGAACACAAAGGATTTCAAAACAGCCATGGCTCACTGGGAGGCTGCGCTGGCCATCAGCCCGCTGCATGCGTCTGCGTGGTTCTCCCTGGGCTACTCTGCCATTCAGGTAGGTGTATTGAGCCCACCTGTTGACCCACCTGAACAATAGGTGGAATTGGCTGCGGAGCGGATCCCACGCACGTGTTTGTTCATTCAGCCCACCTGTTCACCCACCTGAATGCATCCGTTTCACCCCTGCCTGCTTTCCACATGTCTCCTACCTCACATTCATGTGTTTGATGCAGGCGTGTGACGGGGACAAGGCTCTGTACGCCCTCACACGCTCAGTACAGATTGACCCTGATAACGGGGAGGCATGGAACAACCTGGCCGTGCTGTGAGTGTTCAGTCAGTCCATGCTGTGAGTGCTGCTGGATCGTGCACGCACAGCGCTGGCTGTACTTGCATGGCACTATTGCCATTTGCACTGCATTGCAGTGCAATGCGTGTTAAGCATCACTTGCAATACTTGCTGCACATCTTGACTTTTCAGGACTGATCTCAGCATGGCATGCGATGCTCATTGCATTGATTTGCTACCATGCTACCTCATGCTCAGCATGGCATGCCACACCTTATTCGTAATGCTCTTTTTCTTGTCTTTCTGATGGTGGGACCTTTTGTTTCCGTTCGCACCTTATTCCCCCTCTGCATGGCTTGAGAAAAGGTCGCAACTTTTTCTTCCTCCGTTTCTTCACAAGAGTCTTTTACAAAGAAAACTATCAACAAACACAGGTGTTAATCCCTAAGTTTCTGCCACGTGTCGACCTCATGGCACTTATCTGGTGTTCACACGAACTCCCCCATACGAACTCCCCCACATTATGCCATGCGAAAAGGTCCCCCCTTCATGCGCAAACGGAGGTTCCAATTTATTCTTCCTCCGTTTCTTCCCCACCTTATACCCTTTGATCATCCTTGCATTGATCCCCCCTGGCATGGCAGCAACCTACAGCGAAACCGCATGCAAGAGGCGTTTAAGACACTACAGGAAGCACTCAGGCTTTGACCTGTCTCAATTCTTGTAACTTCCCCCTTCCTCCCTTTATGTTCACTCCTTGCTTCCCCTTGGCATGGCAGCAACTTACAGCGCAACCGCATGCAAGAGGCTTTTAAGACTCTACAGGAGGCACTGAAGCACAAGTGAGTGGGATGCGATATGAGGGAGTGTGAAGCGGTGCGAGGGAATGCGATGGGATATGAGGAGTGAGGGGTAGCAAGAGGGCAGGATATGTGACGAGTTTTGTATAACTGTATACGAGTTTTGAGGTGTTTTGCAGAATTACTGTGGTTCATCACTCCTGCTTACCCATCACTCCTCCCCATCACTCCTCTCCATCACACCTCCCCCTCTCCCCCCTCCTCTCTCGCTTCTCTCTCCCCTCCCCTCCACAGAGGGGAGGACTGGCACTTGTGGGAGAACTATGCAAAAGTGGCTCTGGACGTGAAGAGCTACCAGCAGGTGTGGTGCGGTGCCAACAGGTGTATTGCATTGCAAGCAGGTGATGGTGTTGCAGGTCTATTGCGGCGCCAGTTAATGCAGTCCTGGCATGTGAAGTGCGATGTTAGTTTAAGGAGTGCCACCAGGTGGAGTGCAGTGTTCTTCCCTGTCTCTTTTTTATCTCCACCCTTGAAGGCGGTCAGAGCAGCATCACCAGTGCTCAAGCTGACTCAGGGCAAGCGGGTCCACACGGGTGTTTTATCTTCCTCTCTTCCTGCCCTTTCAGTCCCTGTCCCACCCTTGCCTCTGGCCCCACCCCATTCTCCCCTCTCTCTTCTCCTCCTCTCCCTCTGTGTTCTCCCACAGGCGGTGAGAGCAGCATCACGAGTGCTGGAGTTGACTCAGGGCAAGCGGGTTGACACGAGTGCTGCTTCAAGCCACTCTCCCCCACCCCCCACTTACCTCCCTCTCCCCCCCTGTTGCTCCCCACAGGCGGTCAGAGCAGCATCGCGAGTGTTTGAGTTGACTCATGGCAAGCGGGTCGACACGGGTGTGCTAGAGGGGTTGACAGGGGTGGTGGAGAGGAATAGACGAGGGGGGCGAGAGGAGGAGGGGGAGGAGAGGGGTGACGGGGAGGCAGGGAGAAAGGGAGAGGAGGAGGGGGGAGTTGAGGGTGGTGGAGAGAGGTTGGAGGAGGGGGATGGTGGTGGTGAGCTGGATGATTTGATGATGAGTTTACAGCCGTTGGATCTGGCCAAGATGGCAGGGGGAGAGGAGGCGGTGGGAGGGGAAGGTGGAGGAGAGGAGAACGGTGTGCCAGAAACGAATGGTGCTTATAAGGAGGATGGTGGAACGGAGGCAGGGAGTGGTGGTCACATGAATGAAAGAGAAGCTGCCAGGCTCGAAACTGAGCTGAGGAAGCTTCTGGGAAAGGTGCGATGTCATCCTCTTTGCTTACAGCCTCTGCTTGCTGCTGCCTTTGCTGCCACCTTTGCTGTCTTTTGCTTGAAAGATGTGTCCTTCAGCCACCATCTGTGCTCAATCCCCCACCACCTCACTTGCCAACCTCTCCAAATTCAAACAAATGCATATCAACAGGCAATTGCTTCTGAAGCAGGAGTGTCAGACAGAATGGAATGACAGGAGAATCACCTTGGCCACCCCCCCCCCTTCACCTTGACAGAGGGGTGTACTTCTGAACCCCCCCAAACCCAAACACATACCAACAGGCAGTGGCATCAGGAGCAGGCGTGCCAGAGATTTACCGCCTGCAAGGAACCTTCCTGGAAGTCGTGGGCGATGCTGACGTGGCAGCGGAGGCCTTCCTGCGCCACGTGCGCTCGCTGCAGTCCGCCAGCTGGCAGCACGGCGAGCCAGACGCGTTCCGCCAGCTGGCGCAGGCGGCGCTGAGGTGGACGGCGGCGGTGGTGCGAGGGGTGGCGGGGGAAGAGGGGGTGGAGGAATTGAAGAGGGGAGGGGTGGAGGAGAGAGAAGGGGAGGGTGTGAGAGTGAGTGGTGCTGGCAAGAGGAGGTTGGCATCGGTGCGCATGCTTCTAAGCAACATCTTGAAGCAGGTAACGTGGAAAAAGAGAGGTTGTTCCTACAATCTGGTACATTCTACCGGTTTTGTGATTGTATGTCTGAAAGCTTTCGCTTGAAAGGGCTGGAAAGACCTACTAGGCATTTGTGAAGTCTGAATTTGAGGCGCCTCGAGTGTTGTTCATTCTCCCACTTCCCAGCACGTATGCGCATTTGAAAGCTCCTACCTTTCTCTTGTTTGTATGCAGGGAGACCATTTTTCTGATGTTGGAGAGTTTGGAGAGTTGAAAGCAGCTTTGGGAGCGGTTAGCACTATGGAGGCTAGAGGGGAATAGTTGTGGTGGTGATACTGGTGTAACATGACTAAGAATTTTGTGTTGCTTTCTCAAATAGCAATGGTCTAGACTAAATAGTTTTACTAGTTAACACAAGAAATCCAGAAACTTGTCAAGATAAACCTTTTTAACAAACTATAGCAGTGTTACTGATTGGCACTAATCTTGCGAGGGCTACCAAAGCCCTGTTAATATGGCCAGTTAATATGGCTACAGGCTCTAAGATGGTGCACACGTACCAGACCGACAGGTTTGAAATATTTCTTTTCGTCAGCCAACATGCAGCTCACGCACTGTACCAGGGTCCTCGCCAGGATTTGAAGGGGCATGCCTGATGCATCAAATGGATGCTTCTATCAGACAGTTTTGTTGTATATTTGTTTTTCCTGAGTTTCCAGACGTTTAGTTTTCAAGTAATCTGATTTTTCAAAAATAGGTTTCTTGGTATATCTGATTGATCAGAAAGAATAACATGTTTCCATTTTATTCATCTGAACAGCATTTTGTGATTCATCTGAGAACGAAGCATGCTAATAAAGTAGCGGGATTCTAAGCAGAACATCCAATAACCAGCACATTCCACTCGACACGGCAGCGTCGTCTTATCCCCGGTAGCGGCCTCGGCAGCCGCTACCGGGTTTTGCTCCCTGCACGCGAGCTCTCGCGTGCCGCACTGAACCGCCCGACACCGAGCACGCCAGCGACAGGCTGGCGTGCTCGGAGGCCGCTGGTTCTAACTTCTAAGCCAGCTGAACCCCCCGAGTATCGCTAACAGCACCGCCGCTGACTGCCCCGCCGCTAATCTTTTAGGCTCCTCAATAACAGCACCGCCGCTGACAGTGCCGCCGCTCGCGGGCTGGGAGGTACTTTCGGAGCCATTCGAGCATCTGAACCGACCCAAATGCCATCTGAACCAAATTAAAGGCCCTTTGAACCGACGCAAATGCCATCGAAGGCAGCTGCGCCGCGGCGATCGCTGACGGCAGCGGAGCTGGCGGGATACAGCGCTCTCCCCGTGCACTCGTTCCTCGGCCTGCGCTTCCTCTCCGCCTCGCCCCACCGCGTCGTCGCTACCCTCACCTCCTCGCCCCAATCGGCTCAGGTAAAATCGAACCCTTCTCATCTCCCTAGTCCTTCCCGCCCCTTTCCCTCCGCTTCCCCCTCCTTCCCACCTCCTTCGCGCCTACTTTCCAACTCCCTGTTAATGGTGACTGCTGTTGTCCTTCTGGATGCGTGGAGCTGCCATCATGCGTTTCTCTCTCTCCCTGTCCTCTCCTTCCTCACCCTGCGCGTCCTCTCCCCCTTCTGCTGTGCCTTCCTCTCCTTTCTCCTCCCCACTCCCACACTCTTCCCCACCGCTTCCAGCCGTTAGGCAACCTGCATGGGGGGGCGTCAGCATTGGTAATGGAGGCAGTGGGGAGTCTAGGCGCGGAGTTGCTGTATATAGCTCTACAGCTTTGCCAGCTTTAATCAAAGGCGCAAATGGGAAAGTGCTCAATGTTCCAGTAAATCATAGGCCCCCTTTCCTTTCCTTTCCTTCCCATCCCTTCCAGCCGCTTGGCAACCTGCATGGGGGGGTATCAGCATTGGTAACGGAGGCAGTGGGCAGTCTGGGTGCTGCCGTCGCTGCTGGTGCGCCGGTGGTGGGGGTGGAAGTGGCGTGCAGTCACCTTAGAGCCGCACCCATCGGCACTCCTCTCATTGCTGTTGGCACTCCTTTGAGAGTTGGCCGCACCGTTCAGGTGTGTGGGGTGTGGGAGTGTGAGTGGGTGTGTGAGTGTGTGTGTGTGTGTGTGTGTGTGGGTGTGTGTGTGTGTGAGAGAGTGGGTGTTTGTGCGCGCGCGCGTGCATGTGATGGCGCACTGCAGGCAGATTTAGCCACAAACCATCCATAAACCGTTTATAAACCCTTGACACATCACTCAACCGTTCTCAAACCATTCACAAATCCAGGTGTGGGAGGTCCGCCTGTCAGCTCCTAGCGACCGTGTGCCGGCCCAAGGAGAATCGGCCCCTGTCAGCGAGTTGACTTTTGAGTCAATTAAAAAGGGAGCAGCAAGACGGCCCAGTCACGCACAGTCACCAGACAGCAAGGCAGCACCGAGCCTAGAGCCTCAGCAGCAGCCGTTGCCACCTGAGGGCACACCTGAGGGCACACCTGAGGGCTTTAAGGCTGGCCGGCTGCTGGCAGTGGGGCGACTGACATGTGTGCCCTTGCCCCAGAGCCTTGGAGGAGGGGCGAATGGGGAGAATGGGGAGAATGGGAACGGAGGCGGCGAGAAGGGAGGGAACAGGAATGGGGGAGAAGCATCGAGGAGAGAGGAGAGTGGAGCGTTGGGGAACCGAGAGGAGGGAAGTGGAGAGGCGGAGCAGTGGAGCGGAGAGAGTCAGGATGAGCATGAGGGCACACATACCTGTCGCTGCATCGATTTCCCTCCCTTTGACACGCCTCCCTTCAACGGTCTGCCCATCCACAAGTTCATCGGCCTTCGCTTCCTCTCTGCCTGCCCTCACCGCGTCGTTGCTGGGTTCGTCTCGTCCCCGGCCACCGCTGAGGTACTGCTGCTGGCTGGTCAAAAGGCGACTGGAAAGTCGTCTCAGGCACTGCTGCTGCCTGTGCATGTCCATGCCTCTCATTCGCTCTCTTAACCCCTCTCCTTCCCCACATTTCCCGCATTTTCTCTCATCCCCTCTCTCTCGAATGGTCCATGCATTACTTAAGGGATGGTACAACGGAAGAAGCAATCTCTCTCTCTCTCGTTCTCCCTCATTCTTTCTCTCAGTCGCTCTCGTTCCTCCTCCTTTCCCAGCCAGCCCAGATCAAAGAGTCTGTGTGGGGCCAAGCCTAGCAGCAGCAGGGACGATGGCAGGACTGGTAGCAGGCATTACAGGGACGGGACGACTAGACAGCAAGCCTTGCAGCAAGGGGGGCCGAGGCAGAATGCCAAAGGCACACACCTCCTCACTGTCACACTCCCCTGTCATCCCCTCCCCCTCCGTCTCCCATCCCAGCCCTTGAGCCATAGTCACAGCGTCTCTGGGCAGTACGGGCGCGAGCCTAGCAGCAGGGGGAGCGGTGGCAGATTGCTTGCCAGGCATACATTTCGTCTCTGTGTTCCCCTTCTCTTTGTCCCCCTCCCCCATCCCAGCCCTTCAACAACGTGCATGGGGAGTATCAGCCATAGTCACAGCGTCTCTGGGCAGTGTGGGCTCCAGCCTAGCAGCAGTGGGGGCCGGTGGCAGATTGCCAGGCACAAATGCCGTCTCTGTGTTCCGCTTCTCTTTGTTCCTCTCCCCCTCATCCGTCCCCCTTCCCAGCCCTTGAACAGTGTGCACGGGGGAGTATCAGCCACAGTCACGGAGACTCTGGGCAGTGTGGGCGCGAGCCATAGTCGCGGAGACGTTGAGAAGCACAGGAGCGAGCCTAGCAGCAGGGGGAGCCATCACAACAATCCCTACCTCCCCCTCCCCCTCCTCCCTACCCTATTCCCTCACCCCCATCCCAGCCCTTGAACAACGTGCACGGGGGAGTATCAGCCATAGTCACGGATACGTTGAGCAGCACGGGAGCGAGCCTAGCAGCAGTGTGGGCCGGTGGCAGATTGCCAGGCACACCTTTCGCCTCTGTGTGCCCCTCCCGCTCACCCCTCCCCCATCCCAGCCCTTGAACAACGTGCACGGGGGAGTATCAGCCATTATTACAGAGACCCTCGGCAGCACGGGAGCGAGCCTAGCAGCGGGGGGGCTGGTGGTGGGAGTGGAGGTGGCTGTCAGCCATCTCAGGCCGTGCCCCCTCGGCACTCCCGTGGTTGCTGTTGCTGTGCCGCTGCGAGCGGGTCGCACTGTGCAGGTAGGTGCGCCAGTGGCAGGAGTGTGCAAAAACAGAGAGTCTAGCAGCAGCAGCAGCAGCAGCAGCGGGGGGGCTGGTGGTGGGGGTGGAGGTGGCCGTCAGCCATCTCAGGCCGTGCCCCCTCGGCACTCCTGTTATCGCCGTCGCAGTGCCTCTGCGCGCGGGCCGGACTGTGCAGGTATGCAGGGCAGCAAGTAGGGATCATCACACTAGCAGCAGGGGGGCTGGTGGCAGGGGTGGAGGTGGCTGTCAGCCATCTCAGGCCGTGCTCCCTCGGCACTCCTGTTATCGCCGTCAGCCATCTCAGCCATCTCAGTGCCGCTGCGAGCGGGTCGGACTGTGCAGGTAAGGAGTGGAAGTGGCCACCAGCCATGTACGGCCGAGCTGTGCCCCCCTCCGCACTCCCGTTGTCGCTGTCGCAGTGCCGCTGCGAGCGGGTCGGACTGTGCAGGTAGGCGGGGCAGCAAGTAGGGATGATCGCACTAATAGCAACGGGAGCGAGCCTAGTGGCAAAGGGGGCAGTGGCAGGAGTAGAGGGGGCCGTCAGCCATCTCAGGCCGTGGCCTCTGGGCACTCCCGTTCTCGCCGTTGCTGTGCCTCTGCATGTGGGGCGCACTGTTCATGTAATGACAGGCTAGAAGGTGTTCAGGCAGTTGTTGGTGCTTGGAGGGTGGGCAGTGGCAGACGGGGGGGCAGTGGCAAATGGTCTAGCAGCAGGGGGGCCGGCGGCAGGAGTAGAGGTATCAACCAGCCATCTCAGGCCGTGTCCCCTCAATACAGCCACGTGATAAAAGCGTAAGTTTGAGACGTCTCAAGATTGCAGTTTGTCTAGCAGCAGGAGGGGTGGCGGCAGGAGTAGAGGTATCAACCAGCCATCTCAGGCCGTGTCCCCTCAATACAGCCACGTGATAAAAGCGTAAGTTTGAGACGTCTCAAGATTGCAGTTTGTCTAGCAGCAGGAGGGGTGGCGGCAGGAGTAGAGGTATCAACCAGCCATCTCAGGCCGTGTCCCCTCAGGACAGCTGTTCTCGCCGTGTCCCTTCAGGACAGCTGTTCTCGCCGTGTCCGTGGCGCTTCGTGTCGGGCACGCTGTTCAGGTAGGCAGGGCAGCAGGTAGGGACTATCAGATTAGCAGCAGTGGAGCGAGCCAGCAGCTAAGTGTAGAGGGGGCGCTGCGTGTCGGGCACACTGTTCAGGTTGGCAGGGCAGTGGCAGTGGTCTGTCTGTGCATTGCTTGTTTTGAGACGTCTCTAAAAACCTCTGTCTAATTTCACGTGCGGTCCGTGCATTGCCTCTCAGGTGTGGGAGGTGCGCTTCTCCGTTCAAAAGCAAGACGAGCAGAGGCGGGACGAGCAGAGGCAGGGCCATTCAAACCACGCGCATCAGAATATGGTGACAAGGGCAGAGGGAGAGGTATCAGGAGGGAGGGCTTCTTTGACTGCTCCCAGATCGGGGCAGCTGCTGGCAGTGGGACGGTTGACAGCAGTGGTGGTGGGGAAAGGGAATGGAGAGGAGAGGGGCAAGGCGAGGCTGTGATGGGATTGGGGTGATGTTGACACCAATTAGTGCACTTGATTGGTGAAGTGAAGTGATGCTGCTTAGAAAGGCACTGAAAAAACACAGATCTTTTTAAAACGTTAAAAGGGTGGTTGTTTTGCCAGCGATATGTTATCGTGGCCCGAGTTGCAAACTACATTTTTTGATCTTAATACAAATATCTTATTATACATTCATTTCTGTTGCACAAATATGTCTCATTACAGAATCACCAGCCAAGGTGTTTGGGTCTCAACTGGCAACCCCCATTCTGGCCCAGCCTCTATTATAGCCCGAGCCTTAGACATCATAAGAAACTCTGCCATAGTGGGGAGGCCTCTATCGAGACTCCCAGTGCTTGCTTTAGGCGTGTGGTTCTCATCTTGAGAAATATCATTCTAGAATCATTGTAGATTTATCTCATGTTTGTACTTTGCATCATGCACAGCTAGAATACAGCATGGGCTTGTAATTATTGCTTGTACATATTCCGTTTCTTGCTGGTGACAGCAGAGATAAGAGATATGGCAGTCTGAACGAGTCTCTCAAGGCGCCATAGTCCTAGAAGTGTGTATATAGCTGTTCACCCCTTGTATGCCATTCTCGTTTTGAGAAAATTACAGAAATCATGCAACCAATTTTATGTCGCAGTTTTATTCTCCACGCTTAGATTTCACAGATATTAACAGCCTTTGAGCTGTTTCAGCGGTCGTCGCATGATCAGGGCCGGTCGTCGCAGAGACGGTCGATGCCGAATGATAGGGAGTGGTTGGGAGCTGCTGATGCGGCCCCGTGAGAAGCCGCCGGTGCTCCGAGTATTTGTGCGACTCGGAGTCGCCTGAGTCGTCAAGCTTGGCGCGCTTGTCGCTCAGTGTGGCTTGCGCCGTCGCTGCGGCCGCGAGAATGCTAAGGGCGAGCGCGAGGAGGAAGAGAGAGAGAAGAGCACCCTTGGCCGTCATTATTTGCTACTGAAATACTCGATTAGAAGCTTAGCGAGAGGAAGTTTTGATGGAAAGGTGATGGCTGTGCTGTGGCTTTGGTCGATGATCGATGGCTGATGAGTAGTTCGAGTAATCGCGTGGATTTATACCTGAAGCATAAACATCGGCGAGTCTAATCGCAGCCGAGGAGAATTTTCCCTTTCACCACGCCTCTCGTGGCGCCCCTCGTGACGCCTGATATTTATTGGGCTTCGCAGCGTCGGATGCGGCGCTTATCACTTGAGATATCTGGATGACGCTCATTTAAAAAATACATGTTTATGCATAAAATGTACATCTCGAAATTATGATGCGGCTCTGCTGCTGATTGCTGTGACCTGTGTGAGGGAGGGGGGGAAGGGATGGGCAGACGGGGTTGGTGGGGTGAGGCCTGTTGGGGTGAGCTTGGCAGACTCATATCGAAGGGAATTCGCGACGATAGGGAGGGAAGTGCGAAAGATTTCGGTTTCATTGGCCCGCGGCACGTGCGGGCAAACAATAATTACAGAACAGTTCGAAGCGCGCATTGCGCACGCACCGCATAATGCAACTCGCGTCGCGTCTGCCAGAAATACATACTTGCTTTAGTAAGCCTCTACAACGTGTATTGTTCTCTCACGTACATGCAGATACAGAGTTCTCGCAAACAAATATACACGCGAGGAATTTCCATACTCTGCATTTGATCTCCTGCTTCTGCTTCTGTTGTGCCACACCGCACTACCATCCTTCGACTCGCGCTGTGTGCTGTGCTGTCAAAGTCGCAATTCGACCTGCAGTTTAACATAAAACGTCTATTTATTCCGCAGTAGTAGTATCCCTTCTCAATCACTCAATATACTTGGAAACGGCACCCTCGTTATTATCCATCCCAGCGACGCGATTCGGAGGTCATCAACAGCAGCGAAGATCGCGGGATCCAAGGCGGCTTTGGAGCCAAGCCGCGATTCCGAGTCAGCTCAAATGCCGAGCGACGCGACTCGGTCGCCGCCCAGGGCAGCTGCGCCGCGGCGGTCGCTGACGGCAGCGGAGCTGGCGGGATTCAGCGCGCTCCCAGTGCACTCGTTTCTAGGCCTCCGCTTCCTCTCGGCCTCCCCCCATCGCGTCGTCGCTACGCTCATCTCCTCGCCCTACTCCGCCCAGGTAGAAACGAACCCTTCCCATCTCCCCAGCCCTTACCACCTTTTCCCCCCCCTCTTCCCCCTTTTTCCTCCCTCCCCCCTCCTTCCTACCTACTCTCCAACACCTTTTTTTCCACGCCTTACTGCCGGTGGCCTTCTGGGCGGCATGGAGCTGCCATCATGCGCTGCTCTTTGCCCCTCCCTACTCCTCCCCACTCCTCTCCACTGCTTCCAGCCATTTGGCAAACTGCACAGGGGAGTGTCAGCGTTGGTAACGGAGGCAGTGGGCAGTCTAGGTGCTGCTGTGGCTGCTGGAGCTCCGGCGGTGGGGTGTGTGGAGGTTCCATGCTCTAATCCTCTCCTTTGAACTCCTTCCCGCCCCTCCTCACTCCTGTCCACTGCTTCCAGCCGTTTGGCAATCTGCATGGGGGGGTATCAGCGCTAGTAACGGAGGCAGTGGGCAGCCTGGGTGCTGCCGTCGCTGCTGGTGCTCCTGTGGTGGGGGTGGAGGTGGTGTGCTCTTATCCCTCTCCTTCCCTGCCCTGTGCACTCCTCCCCACCCCTCCCCACCGCTTCCAGCCGTTTGGCAAACTGCACGGGGGGGTGTCAGCTCTAGTAACGGAGGCAGTGGGGAGTTTAGGCGCTGCCGTCGCTGCTGATGCTGCTGTGGTGGGGGTGGAGGTGGCATGCGCTATCCCTCTTTCTCCATCTCTTTCATACTCCTTCCCACTCCTCTTCGCCCCTCCCCTCTCCTCCCCACCATTCCCCACTCCTCCCCACCGCATTCAGCCATTTGGCAAATTACACGGGGGGGTATCAGCGTTGGTAACGGAGGCAGTGGGCAGTCTAGGTGCTGCCGTGGCTGCTGGTGCGCCGGTGGTGGGGGTGGAAGTGGCGTGCAGTCACCTTAGAGCCGCACCCATCGGCACTCCTCTCATTGCTGTTGGCACTCCCTTGAGAGTTGGCCACACCGTTCAGGTATCTGTGAGCGTGGGAATGGGGGGAGTGGTGGGGAAGTGGGGGGGTTTGAGGGTGAAGGGGTGTGTGTGTGTGTGTGTGCACGTGTCTGTGTGTGTGCACGTGTCTGTGTGTGTGCACGTGTCTGTGTGTGTGCACGTGTCTGTGTGTGTGCACGTGTCTGTGTGTGTGCGTTCAGATAAGCATTGGGTGCTTCTGTGCGGGCATGTCTTCAATCATTCAGTGGTGGGGGTGGAAGTGGCATGCAGTCAACTCAGAGCAGCACCCATTTGCACTCCTCTCATTGCTGTTGGCACTCCTTTGAGAGTTGGCCCCACAGTTCAGGTGTGTTTGAGTGTGTGAGGGGGGGGAGAGGGGGAGAAGTGGGGAGGTTTGAGGGTGTGAGCGTGTGTAGGCATGCCTTCAATCATTCAGTGGTGGGGGTGGAAGTGGCGTGCCGCGCAGTCACCTTAGAGCCGCACCCATTGGCACTCCTCTCGTTGCTGTTGGCACTCCTCTGAGAGTTGGCCGCACCGTTCAGGTGTGTTTGAGTGTGTGTGTGTGTGTGTGTGTGTGTGTGTGTGGGTGTGTGTGTGTGTGTGTGTGTGTTCGTGTGAGTGGGTGGGTGTGTGTGTGTGTGCGTGCGTGCGTGCGTGCGCGTGCGTGTGCGCGCGTGCGTGCGTGCGTGCGTGCGTGCGTGCGTGCGTGCGTGCGTGCGTGTGTGTGTGTGTGTGCACGCGCGTGCATGTGGTGACGTGTTGCAGGCAAATTTAGCCGCAAACCATTCACGAACCATTTATAAACCATTGGCACACCACTCAACCTTTCTCAAACCATTCACAATCCCAGGTGTGGGAGGTCCGTCTGTCAGCTTCAAACGACTGCGTGCCGACACAACAAGGCAAACCAGCCCCTGTTAGCGAGTTGACTTCTGAGTCGACTCAAAAGGCAGCAACAACACGGTCTAGTTACTTGCCCCCCCTATCGCAGTCACGGTCACCTGACAGCAAGGCAGGGCCGAGTCTAGAGCCTCAGTTGCAGCCGTTGCCACCTGACTGCACACCTGAGTGCACACCTGAGTGCACACCTGAGGGCTTCAAAGCTGGTCGGCTGCTGGCAGTGGGGCGACTGACATGTGTTCCCTTGCCCCACAGCCGTGGAGGAGGGGAGAATGGGCGGAATGGGAATGGAGGCCGGGAAAGACGGGGGAATGGCAGTGGAGAAGAATCAGTGGAAAATGGAGGAGAGATAGGAACACTGGGGAACACTGGGACACTGGGGGACAATGGAGTAGAAAGTGGAACACTGGAGAACCGAGAGAAGGGAAGTGGAGAGGCGGAGGAGAAGCAGCGGAACGGAGAGGGTAAGCATGAAGACGACAGGTCTCATGCTTGTTCCTGCCAACACCATCCAGTTTCCACGGCAACGGAATTCCGCTCGCCTCATTCAGACTCCCCGCTGTTCAGCTCCCCGCGCTTCAACGGTCTGCCCATCCACAAGTTCATCGGCCTTCGCTTCCTCTCCGCCTGCCCTCACCGCGTCGTTGCTGCGTTCGTCTCGTCCCCAGCAACTGCTCAGGTAATGCTGTTGTCTGGTCAAAAGGTGGCTTTTGAGTCGACTCAAAAGTCACCTGAGCAGCCTCAAAACCCTCTCAGGTTGCTCAGTCCGCCTGAGGCAGCGTCAGTACTGCTGCTGGTTGGATGGTTCGTGAGTTGCCTCGGGTTTAGAGGCTGCTAAGATAACTGGGCTGCGCATGGGACGCCTCAAGGTACTGTTGTGGTCTTTGTCCCCTCCGCAGCGTCCGCTCAGGTACTGCTCCTGGTGACTTTTGAGTCGACTTTTAAGTCACCCTGCCCGCGGCATCCGCTCAGGTACTGCTCCTGGCTGGTCCGTGCAATGCCCATGCAATGCCCATGCAATGCCCATGCAATGCCCATGCAATGCCCATGCAATGCCCATGCAATGCCCATGCAATGCCCATGCAATGCCCATGCAATGCCCATGCAATGCCCATGCAATGCCCATGCAATGCCCATGCAATGCCCATGCAATGCCCATGCAATGCCCATGCAATGCCCATGCAATGCCCATGCAATGCCCATGCAATGCCCATGCAATGCCCATGCAATGCCCATGCAATGCCCATGCAATGCCCATGCAATGCCCATGCAATGCCCATGCAATGCCCATGCAATGCCCATGCAATGCCCATGCAATGCCCATGCAATGCCCATGCAATGCCCATGCAATGCCCATGCAATGCCCATGCAATGCCCATGCAATGCCCATGCAATGCCCATGCAATGCCCATGCAATGCCCATGCAATGCCCATGCTATGCCCGTGCAATGCCCATGCAATGCCCATGCAATGCCCATGCAATGCCCATGCAATGCCCATGCAATGCCCATGCAATGCCCATGCAATGCCCATGCAATGCCCATGCAATGCCCATGCAATGCCCATGCAATGCCCATGCAATGCCCATGCAATGCCCATGCAATGCCCATGCAATGCCCATGCAATGCCCATGCAATGCCCATGCAATGCCCATGCAATGCCCATGCAAGTCCATTCCCCCTCATTTTCTCTCTCAATTCCCCGCATCCCTCACTGGGGGAGGGGGGTTTCGGCCCCTTTCACCCCTCCCCCATCTCCCCCATCCCCACACTGTCCAGAGACTGTGCGCACCAGTTTAGCAGCAAACCATCACAATCTCTTATCTCCTTCCCCCGTCGTCCCTCCTCTCTTCCCAGCCCTTGAACATCGTGCACAGGGGGGTATCAGCCCTGCTCACCGAGTCGCTGGGCAGTGTGGGAACGAGCATAGCAGCAGAAGGGGAGGTGACATAATGAACAATGCGCTTTTCTTCCTGTCTTCCCTTCCCACTCGTCTCTCCCCGTCATCCCTCTCCCATTCCAGCCCTTCAACAACGTGCACGGAGGGGTATCAGCCCTGATCACGGAGTCTCTCGGCAGTGTGGGCGCGAGCATAGCAGCAGGGGGGCCAGTGGCAGGGGTGGAGGTCTCAACCAGCCATCTCAGGCCGTGCCCCCTCGGCACTCCCGTTCTCGCCGTCGCTGTTCCCTTGCGAGTGGGGCGCTCTGTTCAGGTGGGCGAGGCAGCAGGTAGGTTTATCACACTAACAGCAAAGGGAGGGAGCCTAGTGGCAAAGGGTGCAGTGGCAGGGGTGGAGGTAGCGACCAGCCATCCCAGGCCGTGCCCCCTCGGCACTCCCGTGGTTGCTGTGGCTGTTCCTCTGCGAGTGGGGCGCTCTGTTCACGGGGCAGCAGGTAGGGGTCATCACACTAGCGGCAGGGGGAGCAAGCCTAGTATCAAGGGGTGCAGTGGCAGGAGTAGAGGTGGCCAAGAGCCATCTCAGGCCGTGCCCCCTCAACACTCCCGTGGTTGCTGTCGCTGTCCTGCTGCGCGTGGGCCGCACCGTGCAGGTAGGCAGGGCGGAGCAGCAGGTAGGGACTATCAGGACGAATGTATGCAAGGAGGCCAGCAGGTGGGATGTATTCACATGGTCTTTGATCACCGTTGCTTGGTCTCACTTGTCCCACCCACCCATGCCTTGCGATGTTTCAGTTGAACTCACAAGACAGGCATGTACTCACTGCTACTTGCTCTCACCCACTCCCTCTCGTCTGTTGTGGTCCTCGCATTGGCTCTCAGGTGTGGGAGGTGCGATTATCCGTTCAGAAGCGAGACGAGGGAGCAGCGTTTGGAGGGAGAGCTTCTTTGAGGGCTCCCAGGGCAGGGCAACTGCTCGCAGTGGGACGGCTGACAGCGGTGGTGGTGGGGAAAGGGAATGGTGAGGAGAGGAGAAACGCAAGGCTGTGATGAGGTGGGCAGCTGCTTGGAAGTGTCAGGAGGGAGAATTTCTTGTTGCTGCTCCCAAGGCAGCGCTGCTGTTGGCAGTGGGACAGCTGACAGTGGTGGTGGTGGGGAAAGGGAATGGCGAGTAGAGGAGGAGCAAGGCAAGGCTGTGATGGAATTGTGGTGACTCCAAGTGGTGCAGTCTATTGGTACTGTCTGGCTAAAGAGAATGAGGGGCTGCAGTTAGTGGGGCGGCTGACAGCGGTGGTGCTGGAGAAGGGAATGGGGAAGAGAGGAGGAAGGCGAGGCTGTGATAGAATGGTGGTGACGTGTAGTGCATTCTGAACATTGATCAGTATGTATTTAGAAAGCTTGCTTTCTTGTGTTTGCAATGGCAACGTGCTTCGTTTCAAATGGGTCGTCGCCACGTGTGCCTGTGGCGAATTCGTCGCCACGTGCGCCTGTGACGATTTCGTCGTCATGCGCGCCTGTGACGATTTCGTCACCACGCGCGCTAGTGGCGCTTCCGCCTTCTTAGCCCCAAACGCCCGCGCCTATTGAGCAGACGGGTGTACCCGCAAGTCATTTCTGAAACTCGTATTGTGCTATGTCAACCAAGCTAAATGCCTACTATTTCTTGAGAGAAGCGAGAGACTGAGGGAAAACGGGAAGCACCAGGTCGACGGACGAGAATGAAATAATACATTTGAAATTTCAAACGAAGACGTGGGTGGAGGCCAAATGGCCTCCACCCCCTGCTATATAGTTCGCGAAGAGCGTCTAGCACTTCGCATTTGCCATTGCTGCATTACAAGCAGCTTCACTTTCAAAATATATATTTTTAGAAAGTGTGACACTTTCAAAAAATTTCATATTATCCCGCGTTCCCTGCTCTATATCTTGTAACAGTTAAGTAGTGAGCCCCTTCCTTCTCCCGAAACTCTCAAGTCATGCTCCTAGCCTAGGCTAGAGTTTCTCCTATCCTATCTTAAGCCTAGGTGGTTCTCTATTCCAACATCTTAATGCGTCACAATACCAGTTGGCATCTATATGTTGAGATTAGTCTTGGCAATTACTTCTACAGTACACAGTGTACTGATTTCCAGTACAGTACTGTCAGAATGAAGAATGGATGATGCATTGATGTTGGTTGGGGTACATATAGCTAACCCTAAGTTTTGTACCCCCTAAGACAAACCTCACTATAGGCTACAACATTTGACACACCCCCATAGCCTAAGTGAGGGGTGTCTAGCAGAACCAAACGAGTACGGTCACAAGACCAGTCCAAGAAACAAAGCTCAGGGTGGATCACAACGTCACCACACAGTCTGAGCACAAACAACAGTGGCCACAAGGCCAGTCCAAGAAGTAACAGAGATATATAGAAAGCAAAGTAAACAGTACACTCAAGTCTAAGCAACACGAGAACCAGTGTCAACAAGGCCTAACTGCACACAGCACCTCTGGTGGTCACAAGGCGGAAGCGCCTTGGTGAAGATGTCTGCAGTGTTGGCCTCGGACTCCACAAACTCAAAGCGAGCCTGTCCACGCCTCTGCAACTCTCGCAGAAGAAAGTACCTGACGTGAATGTGCTTCACTCTGCTCTCCAGTCGTGGCTCTCGACAAAGGAGAATAGACGCCTTGTTGTCAGTGAACAAGGTCGGTGCAGAGCTCGGCCGCTCACCAAGGTCGGTGAGCAAGAAGGTCAACCAACGCAGCTCCTGTGCCGCCATGGCACCAGCGTAGATCTCAGCCTCAGCTGTAGAGGTCGAGACCGAAGAGGAGCGCGTGGACCGCCAAGAAACAGCTCCAGAACCCAGGCTGAAACAGTACCCCTGAGTAGACCTGTGAGTCTCAGCGTCGTCAGCGTAAGAGGAGTCACAGTGACCAGTAAGTACGACAGACTGCTGCCCTCCAAGAACTAGCCCCACGCCTGACGTCGTCGCTAGGTACTTCGCCACCCTCACAGCTGCTGTCCAGTGAACAGGACGGTGTCTCCCTGGCGCAACAAAGCGCGCAAGAACGCTGAGAGGGAAGGCGAGGTCCGGGCGAGTACAAGTCATCAGGTACATGAGGCAACCCACAAGCTCTGCGTAGGGACCACTAGGCTCGAACGGCTCGTCAGGAAAGGGTCCAGTGAGTCTGTGGTCAACAGCAAGAGGTGTGCGCTGTACTGTGGAGTGCTGAAGCCCGAACCGCTGAAGGACCTGCTGCACCATGTGCGACTGTGAAAGTGTAATGGTGCGAGCAGCTCTGTCCCTGGTGATCTGCAGGCCAAGGTAGTGGCGCAGCTCACCAAGATCAGTGCAGGTGTGTCTCTTCTGCAGTTCGGACTTCACGTGTGCCAAAGCAACCCTGTCAGGGGTGGCGAAAACAAGGTCGTCAATGTAGACCAGAACAAAGAAAGGTGTGGTGCCACGACGAACGAACAGCGACGGGTCAGCAGAAGACGGCTGGAACCCAAGGTCAGACAGGGTAGAACGCAGGGTGTCGTGCCACTCACGAGGAGCCTGACGAAGACCGTAAACCGGTCGCCTCAGCCTCCACTGGGTCCCAGGAGGGAAAGAGCCAGTGAAGGCAGAGGGACGACGCAACCAGACCTCCTCGTGAAGACTGCCCTGAAGGAAAGCAGTAGAGAAGTCGAGAGAGTGTAACTCGTAGTCTCTCTGTGCTGCTACGTGTAGTAACACCCGAAGAGTGGTCATCTTCGGGGTGGGCGCGAAGGTCTGAAAGAAGTCAACTCCCTCGCGCTGACTGAAACCTCTAGCCACGTAGCGCGCCTTGAAGACCGGAGGAGATCCCGGTGGCCGCTTCACCCTGTAGATCCACATGCCGTCGACTACGTTCGCCCCCGGAGGGGGAACCTCATCGACGTAGGTGCCTGTGGATCTGTAGGAGGCCATCTCTGCGTCCATGGCAGCTCTCCACTGAGAGGCCCAAGGCCCTGACACTGCCTCAGCGTAAGTGCGAGGAGTCGGAATGTCAAGGGCGTCGGGGTCACCCTCAGGGGCGAGGAGCATGGCACAGAGATGAGGGGAAGCGGCGGCCAGGAACTCTAGCTCAAACTGCCTGTCCTCTAGGGCGTCACAGCCAAGGGCAGACACACCCCCGACGGCCAGAGGACTGGAAGGAGGAGCAGCCACAAGAGCGGTGGCGAAGTCAAGGCGGCGGGTAGAGGCAAACTCAGTGACTGCGGCAGTAAGAGCGGACACAGAGGACACAGAGGCACGAGGGTGGGTAACAAGATAGGTGAGAACACGAGAGAGAACAGGACGGTACGTGCGGTAGTAGTCAGTGACAGGAGTAGGGAGCGACGCAGTGAGAGCCGACTCAGGAGGAGACGGAAGCACAGACGGAGACGGACGAGGTGGACTAGAACGAAGTAAGGCAGTACGAAGGTCAGTGAAGGGAACAGGAGACGAGGGACGAGCACGAGGGGAGCGACGAGAGGCCCAAGTCTGAGAAGGAGGAGGGGACAACGAAGACTGAGAACGAGGGAAAACAGCGGGAGAGGGGTCAGGAGGAGGAAGCGGAGGACCAGAGACGGGAGGAGAGGGGGAGGAGGAAGGAGAGGGAGACGGGAGACCAAGGGTCCGAAGACCCGAGACAGGAGGAGGAGACGGCAGCTGCTGCTGCTGCGGCTGCTGCGGCTGCTGCTGCTCCTGCTGCTGCCCCTGCTGCTGCTCCTGCTGCTGCTCCTGCTGCTGTCGCTCCTGCTCCTCGAGCCGCTGCAACTCTCTCTCCTCTCTCTCCAACTCCAGCTGCTCCTCACGAGCACGACGAACACGAGCCTGGAACCTGGTCGGGTAGGGGTGGGGGGAAGGAGTAGTGTCCGGGGCAGCGGCAGCCCCAGAGTCGACCTCCGAAGCACCAAGCACACCACCCCCAGAGGCAGCACCAACACCAGCTCCAGACCCAGGCTCTCCAGAAACCGAAGGAACACCCTCACCCCCAGACGCAGCACCAGCACCCCCAGACTCCGCACGACCAGTACCAGCCCCCGGAGGAGAAGAGTCCTCTGCAACCCGCGGCTCAGCTCCAACTCCAGCACCCCCAGAACCAGAGACCTGTACAGGGACAGTCGCAGGACCAACCTCCCGAGAGGGAGCACCTACAGGAGGCGGTGAGGAAGACTGTGGGGAGGGAGGCTGTACAGGGGGGGCTACCGAAGGGGGAGGGCTAGCCTGAGACACACCAGACGGGGCTGGACCAGGGGGGGGAGGCTGTACCGGGGGAGCAGGCGGGGGAGCGGCTGTCAGGAAGAGGGGGGGAGGAGGAACCGGGAGACCTCGACTGGGGTACCTGACGTAGTACGGGGTGGACTCCTCGAAACGGACGTCACGGGAGTCAAAGAACCGGTGAGAGGGAGGGTGGTAAAAGGTGAAGTCAGAGGAGTCCTCAGGGAAACCAAGGAAGACACAAGGAACGGCGCGAGGCGAGAGCTTGTCCGCGGAGGTGTCGCGGACAAGAGCCAAGCACCCCCAGACACGAAACCTCGACGCGACACCAGGGGACCCTGTCCAAAGACTGGTCGGTGAAGCCTCCGGCCGAGAGACGCGTGGCCAGAGGTTCAGCTGGTGCGCGGCGTACCTGACTGCGTATGGCCACAGGAAATGGGGGGCACGGGCGTGAGTCAAGGAGGTGCGGGCAATCTCCATGACCAGGCCTATGCGACGCTCAGCAACCCCATTCTGCTGTGGGGACTCCGGAAGCGTCCAGGACTGACGAATGCCCTGTTCGCGACAGAATCCAGCGAGAATGCCGGAGCGAAACTCGCCCCCGCGGTCGGAGTGGAGACAGCTGACACGACGACCACGAGTGTCCTGGGTGGTAAGCAACCACCTGATCAGCGTAGAAGTCACCTCAGACTTCCTCGCCAGGGGGAACACTGTGGTGTAGCGGGAGTAGTCGTCAACGACCACCAAAAAGAAACGCTCACGCTCAGGGCCAGGGCGAGGAGAGGGGCCCCAGACGTCCAAGTGCAGCGTCTCAAAAGGCTCGGTGGCCGGACGAAGGGAGGA